TTCGTCCTCGCTGGGACGGTTCTTCCCTCCTTCCTCTGTCTCCTCTGGTTGTCTCTCCTCCTCCTCGCTGTCCGAATAGGTTCGTAACTTATTCATTACTAATCCTACTAGGGCATCGAGCTGGTCCTGAGACATCCCCGTCTGGCAGCTGGGTTTTCTGCCGCCGTTGGAGCTGCAGGACTCAGCTGCATTGCCTTGACGCGGCGTTTTGGCTTGCCGCGTCGCTTCGCTTTTGCCTTCTGCTTCTTTGCAGGGCAGTCCGCTGCTCGATGGCCGGGCTTTTGACAATTCAAGCAGCGGCCAGAGCGAAAAATGCGGACTAGCTCGTCATCGCTCAAGTCTCTGAGCGCGGCGAGCCGGAGGCGAAGGGCGTCCACTTGCATTGGATCATCGAATCCAATGCTGGCGGGAGCGGGAGTGGAGGGCGCGCTGTGGGCACTGCGTTCGACGGAAAGGTCCTCATCGTCGTCGCCCTCAGCGCTAATAATCCTCAGCATGTCGCTGAGTGTCTTGGGCTTGCGGATGTCGAGCTCCTTGCGAATGCGTCGCTTGACGCCTTCGTGGAGGACATCCATAACCGCCCATTCGGGGAGCCGAGCGTCGCCTGATACTGGTTCACCTTGTCCACGAACTCGTGGACCGAACCAGTCTGGCGGAGGCGGTAAAACTGGCGTCGATGCTTGTCCAAAGCATCGGTAGGGATGAAGGCATCCCGCAAATACGCCTTGAAGGCTTCCCAAGAAACCTTCCCGTCCTCGAGCTGGCTGAACAGTGTCGTGTCCAGCTCACATCTCGACGCGGCCTCTCCTGTCAGATTGTGGAAGGCCATCCAGGCCTTCCTCTTAGCAGAGGTCTTGTGCCAGCGGAAGAATCGCTCAAGACCTTTGATCCACTCCGTGAAGACGCGCAGATCGCGTTGTCCTCTGTACGGAGCGGGCTTGGAAACCCAGGACGAGGTTTCCTTGTCCTTATCCTTCTCTTTCTTTGTTAGAGCGAGAAGGATTTCTCCCAGACGTTGAATCTCTGGGAAAGTAGCAGCGTTGTCCTGCTCAACGCCTTCCATTTAGATCGTAGAAAAATAAAAAAGTTGTAAATTTGAAAAACGAAAAACTTTCCACGACAAGATAAGAACTCTTCTATTGGATCAGAAGAGCCTCGCAACCAAATGTAGGCCTTGTCCCGTAGGTATAGTTAAGATTAGTTTTATTCAATAATTATCTACCTATTTATACAATTCTAGGGCGACGCGTAAGTGTAAACAAACGCGTCACGGTGCGCGTTAATTAATTAACGCGCGTTGCGTGGGTGCGGTCAGAGACCGCAGGCTTTCGTAGCGTAGTGCTGCGTGGCCTAGCACAACGCTGGAGCTCTCGGTGTGGTGTCCAGGTTCAGGCCCTGGTCACGTGCACACTTTTGTGAGCTTAAGGCGTTACAGAAGGCTTCCCAAGAAACCTTCCCGTCCTCGAGCTGGCTGAACAGTGTCGTGTCCAGCTCACATCTCGACGCGGCCTCTCCTGTCAGATTGTGGAAGGCCATCCAGGCCTTCCTCTTAGCAGAGGTCTTGTGCCAGCGGAAGAATCGCTCAAGACCTTTGATCCACTCCGTGAAGACGCGCAGATCGCGTTGTCCTCTGTACGGAGCGGGCTTGGAAACCCAGGACGAGGTTTCCTTGTCCTTATCTGTAGGCCTTGTCCCGTAGGTATAGTTAAGATTAGTTTTATTCAATAATTATCTACCTATTTATACAATTCTAGGACGACGCGTAAGTGTAAACAAACGCGTCGCGGTGCGCGTTATTAATTAACGCGCGTTGCGTGGGTGCGGTCAAAGACCGCAGGCTTTCGTAGCGTAGTGCTACGTGGCCTAGCACAACGCTGGAGCTCTCGGTGTGGTGTCCAGGTTCAGGCCCTGGTCACGTGCACACTTTTGTGAGCTTAAGGCGTTACATCAGGAGAGACTGCATGGTGTAGGTGTCTCGTCTTGGTACAACTTCGTTGCAGGTTCGAAGTTCGAACCAGGAGAGCATAACGATTATAATCGTTACATGTAGTGTTGGGAAAGTGGTGTGGTAGTTGTCCGGGAAAGGGCCCTCTTAGGGTTTAGGGTTCCCCGCTTTCCTCGAACGAGGAAAGCATTCGTTACAGGCGTAAGCATTGGCCGGCAGAAAGTAACGCTTCATTTCCGATATTAGCATGTCCTTGTCGGTGGGAGGTATTGGGGCCCCAGCGATGCAAATGCGGTACCACTCGAGGGCCTTACCGCGGAGAAACTGGCCCATCACGCGATGGTGGTAGAGCGGCGGGACGTTGTTGAAGAAAAGGTATTCTGACATTAGATAACACCAATTCTCAAACGTCGAGACATCCGATTCGCCACTGTACATCGGCGGTTTCTCGATATCCAGCTTGCTGAAGTCGAAAGCTGTCCCCATTGAAGTTGAAGGCTCCATTAGGACGAGGTGAGACAAGGGCTCGAGAAGAAGAAGACGAGGGGCGGGGGGTCCAAAGGCAGAACAGGGTAGAGAACTCGCAATCAAATGCAAAGTCGAGCTAGGGATGTTCTGTAAAATAAGTGGTGGTTATTTGATACTAAGACTAAGGTATTTATACTGAAGAAACGGTTCTTCAGTATAATGGTATGACTAAGCGTGGCATAAATTATACAGTCACGAAGAGGTAAATTACGCGACTGCAATTGTTGTCGCGCGAACCTCGTACGATGCCTGTAGCGATCATAATCGCTGTTTGAAGTTGGCGATCGTATTTAATCGCATGCGCGCCGCTTGAGCCTATAAACCTTACAATAGGTGTGTTTAAGATTAGTTTTATTCTATAGTAATCGACCTATTTATACCATTCTAGGGCGGTGCGTAAATGTAAACAAACGCATCGCGGTGCGCGTTAATAAAAAAACACGCGTTGCGTCGGTGTGGTCAAGGACCGCAGGCTTTCGTAGCGTAGTGCTGCGTATCCTAGCACAACGCTGGAGCTCTCGGTGTGGTGTCCAGGTTCAGGCCCTGGTCACGTGCACACTCTTGTGAGCTTAAGGTGTTACAATATTCATACTTAGTCTTACTACAGAGACTGGGCTTACATCTACTATATTCAAATACGGTGACTAAGTGTCCAACTCGTACTGTCTACGAATGGTTTTCTAGGGGCTGGCTTACGCCGTTGCACTATGCTAGGAAGGGTGTAGGCCTCGAAGGTACCGGGTGCTCCAACAGCTTTTGAGGGTACACACATAAACACGCACGGGTCGGACTATAAGTAGCACATTTTAAATTAAGTGGTGTTACAATGTTAAATATTGTGTTACGTTTAAAGATACACTAATAATTAAATAAAATACTATTTCGAAATGCTACTTAATTAGCATTGGCTTGAGTATAATAAAACATTGTACAATAAAAGGACGATGAAATTCAATGATTTTTGTCAGAAATTAAATGAAATAGCTAGTTTATGAGTACAACACATCAACAAATATACAAAAGTATAATGATCCTTGAGTTCATTCATCAATGATAAAAAATTAGTGGTAAGGTGATCACGAATAACCTCGTCTCCGTGATAATCATTTCCCGTATCTGTCAAGTTGAAGATTTACATTCAGTCACTTAAAAATCAATCGATTCACTCTTCTTGCCTTGAGAAATTACTCCCTTTAGAGCCTGTTTGTAGACCATCTATGAATTTCGAATTGATCAAAAGCCCTATGCGAGTTACGAAAAGCTGGTTTCAAAATTCTCGTAACCGACTTTCAGGCAATCAAAAGTACTCCTGTTCGTAAGTGAATTATGTATTAAAACTTAGGATGCTATACCGGAAACAATTGTCAGCACTTTTGTTTTTGATAATGATTAAATCAGTATACGTGTTCTAAAAACAGTAACACAATGGCAAGTGCCATTACGTATTGTTTCGTCTGTATAAACGTATTAAAAGTGAGAACTATGTTTAACCGTTTGTTACGGACCTTCCTTTTTGTTTGCGTCGTTTCACAGTATTAGTCTGATAGAGTGACAAAGTTACACGAGGTCGACTTGATGAAACTTTACCGCTTGGAGGTAAACGCGGCCTCGTAGGTCTAATTCGTGGCCGTAAATCTTCATCTTCAGGAAGTTCATTAGCTCCCAAACTATCCATTTGTTGTAATAAAAATTGCTTAATTAGCCCGACCTCTTTGCTGACATTTTGACGCGTTATCCTCGGGAAACGAGCAGTTAGAAGATAACTTTTAGTGTCGTTATTTGAACTCCTTGTTCTGTTAGCTACCAGAAAGGAGCCTACCACATACCCTTCAACTTCCCAGGTCGTGTTTGTTTTTAGCTTTCCTTGAAATAAACTGAGAGGTATATTCAAATTGCTTAATCCAAACTCATCTGCGAGACCAAGGTTCTTCAAACCAAAAAAGTCCTCGCCGGTTTCTGTGCTAAATTCCCCAGTGACGAATGCATTCCGGTCATCAGAAAACAATTTCTCTTCATCCTTTCTAGAATCAAGAGCAGGCCGCTGGCAGTGTTAATAACTGATTACTTACAGATACAACATACCAATAAATCCATTAGATGCTTCTGTAATCGCTTATAGGAGTCTTTCAATTTCAAGTTGTTTTTCTCAAGACCATCATTTAGATACTTTGTGAACATGAAAAAGTCATCAATTCCAGATTCAATTAACGCTTGGTTCAGAAACAACTATAAGTGGTTAATCAATGAATTCGCAACTTTGGATTATAACCATACAGAGACAGGGGCCGTAACATAATTTGACGAATAAGAGCTTACTATCATTCCTAACTTCCGTAAGTAGTCCATGGAAATATCCGTAAATGATTCCAGTGCCGCAACTTCGAACACTTATTACTTGTTAGCTTCATGAATTGAGACAATTCCTACCTTCAAAACCAGAATGAAATAGAAGAACTGCACACAATTTGCGGAGTAGCGAACGACAGTAAACGGAAAATGAAGGTTGTCTATTAAAGTCGTTTGGAATTTGCAACGACAGACCGTCGTTGCATATGTCAAAGTGGTCAAGGCTTTTTGAAGCAGAAGTGTAGTACTTATTTCATTAGCAGACCGAATAAAAAATGAGCGTATACCGTTTGCGTAATTTGCAATTGTCGTATTGCAGAGAGCTTAGCACATAGTTTCCTTATTCCCTGCATAAGAGAAATGTTCTTGAAGATCCTACCGATCGTACCTCCTGACTTCCGACTTAGACTTAGAGACGTTCTTAAGGGGGTACCTGAAGCTGGAGTTTCAAATGCATCATCTAAACCAGGCATAGTAGGAACTGCTAAAAGCTCCAAGCGCAAAACTACATCAATATTTAGCTTCAATTGTGACACATATTTTGCGAATGTTGAGAAAGATTCCGGATGGTAACTAGAGAACACTGATTCTCGAAGACCGGATAATATTAGAAGTTGAGGAGACACATTGTTTTCTGCCACAGGTTCCTGCGAACGTAAGTTATCAAGTAATTGTTTGCGCTCATGTAAAATGTTCTGTCGCGCCTTTGTAGTTACTTTTAAAAACTTTTCTTGTAATAGATTTCTTTTGCAGTTTAAGTTAAGATTGCTAACGTTTTCAACCTCAGAATGTGGTGATACCTCCTTAGTCTCCGAGACTTTCGATGAGGCGGATTGTGAACTATGATCCTCAAACTTTCCAGAGTAACATTGTTGTTTCTCATCACTTATTGTAGAAGGTCTTTTTACTGACCATCCCTTATTCGATGGTGATGATTCTACTTGGTTAATAGCTGCCTGGAATTAATCAAAGTATATTACACACCTTCATCGCTTTCAGGATCTTGGTCCAGTGCCAACTCGTTCTCCTTTTTCCGCTCATGAATAATTATTTCCGGTATAGAAGGTATCAATTTAGAAGCCACCGCCATCATAGACAAAGCGTGTGTTCTTAATGGATGTTGCTTGACGTTAGCTTATGGAAAAAAAGATAACATACAGGATGGTTGTTATAGCTTAAACAGTTATTCCAAATCAAATTCAGATCATAAACAATTTCACTCTTACTGTTATATTGCAGACCTCTCAACTTCCGCAGCATAGTCCCCAGGTCCATGGGCTCTTTAATTACTAAATGCAGTTATAGTCAGATGATGCTTTAAAAAAAACAAACCTTCATAATAGTCAGGAGCATCACGCTTGCTCACTTTCGTCAAAAATGCTGACGAGTGTTTCGTATGATTACGAAGATCAAGGATAACTCTCTCAGCAGCTGTATAGAGCTCCTCTTGACCCGGTCTGTCATCGTTTGCCTAACAGTTAAAATGATGAAAATGTGTTGATTTGCTTACCCATTTTGATTTTGTTTTATACACTTCTGTAAGAATATTTCTTAGTTCTAACGCCGGTTTTGGAAGCTCGTGCAGTCTTGAGTGAAGCTCTGCCGAAAGAAACTAAACCAGTAAGTGCAAAATAGACAGCCTAATTACCTTAAATCCCGCATTGTAATCTTTAGTATCTCTGGTCTAAACATGTTTTAGTAAGTAGTGAAGGACAAGCTTATTTTACCTCTTCCGTATTCTGAATCTGCTGCAGATGAGGATTATTGCATTTAGTGATTTCTCGCTGAGTTTCCGTTATATTCACAAGGTCGTCCTCGAGAATATGGTAAATAGAACATGACTCAATCAATGCTAGATTAACTTGCTGACAATCTGGATCCTTAAAATCTGTTTTTGAGTCGAACATCGTGTCGTAATTATCGGCATTCATTTGATCAACATTTCCTGAACCCTGTGAGCCATTGAAAATAATATTTTGTGCAGAAGCAGATTGTAGAAACCCGGGAAAACCCACGTTTTGACTGCGTTCCTTGTTTTGATTTGGATATAGCAGCTCCGACATGGCATAATCGGAAAGCATTACCCGCACTCGAAATAAAAAAGCATCATCATCAAAATCAGTTGGTTGCTCAGTAACGACTGTTGTATTTTTTAATGTTTGGATAGCGGATTGAACATTGCTGTTCTCGAATAATAAAAGGGAACACTCTGAGTTTGAAGCCAGTTTTTCAAGCAAACTGCTTTCATATTCCGTTAAATACAATTTCCAGAACCCATTTTTTATCAAAGTTTTAGTAACTCTCTGAAGATTTTTCCCATCGTAAAACTCAATCATATCAGGCAGAAAATGAGAGTTTATTTGAAAAACTATTAAATAAAGCCTGCATGAAAGCTTGCTTGTCAGAAGTTACGTTCCGAGTGTTACTTCCCGATAGTAAGTGTTTGGCCTACGTAGCCGGTGGTGAATGGGATCAGCAACGATGAAAAGCAATAGTTTCACGCTTTAAAATCGGACCAATAACGCAAAGTTGAACATGTCACTCGCCATTAGAATAACGTAGTATTTATTTGATATCTGGACTAACTAAACAAACTACGGTTTCGTAAAATAGATTAGCGCGCCATTCCACGACCTCTTCCACGAAGAACTCTATTTGCTGCACCAGGAGGCAATGCCCCGGGTGCTTGCGGTTGAGCAGAAGGTTCATTTTTTATAGTCTCATCGACGGAAAGAATTAACGTTGCGGCTTCCGTTGCCGACATAATGGCATTCTCCTTTATTGTACTGGGCTCCCAGACAAAGAGCTTCATGTTGTCAGATATACATTCATTCTGCATATCAATGCCAGCCCATGTTGTTCCCTTGGCATGTTGCATACGCAACTTGTTGAGCAAATCAGTCGAATCGAAACCAGCATTGTCACAAAGTTGGCGAGGTATAATTTCGAGCGCACGGGCGAATGCAGCAATGAAGTTCTGTTGCTTTCCAGTAATTGAAAGTGAGTACTCGCGTAAGCACCTTGAAAGTTCCATTTCACAAGCACCTCCACCAGCAACAATCTGATTATTGGTGATAGCACGTTTCACGATCATAATAGCATCGTGTAAGGACCTCTCAATCTCGGCAATAAATTGTTCGGCACCTCCGCGTAAAATCAAAGTACATGTCTTTGCCTTTGGACAACCTTTGAAGACATTAAATCGTTCACCACCAATCTGACGTTCTTCAAATTTGTTGCATTCACCCAATTGAGAGGGCTGGATATTGGAACATGTGGATAGTATACTTCCACCGACAGCCTGAACGACTCGATCCAAATCATCAGAAGCAACGCGACCCGCACAAAATATGTTTCTGTCAGCAAAGTATTGGGTAGCAAGATCGCCGATAGGAAGCTTTGACAAAACAACCTGAGCACCGGACGCAACAATTGACTCTAACTTTGAGAAAATAATGCGCCATTCTGCATCAACGATGTTTTGATACTCATCGACTCGCTCAACACGAACCTCAGCGTTGTCCTTCTCAGCCTTCAGTTCAAGTTCGACATTAAGACACAAAATTTTAGGCTTTGTAAAAAATTTGGGTTGTTGTTCGAAACCGGCGTAAGAGAATGTCTTTTTGAATGCGACACCGTCAACGAGTTCCGTTTCTTCCATGGCCCCACCCGGTACCTTTTTTATGCCAATCATATTCTCGTTTAAATCATTTTGATCTAACGTGAGTACAGCATCCACAACCATGTTCGTAAAAAAGGCTGAATTGGAGCGGATCAATTTGGAATTCATGGCGGTGCTTGCGCACTTCTTCAACAGATCACGAAAACGCGTCTCGTCTTCACGATCGATGCGAACTGCAATTTCTTTGATTTTATTGACAGCAAGTTGTGCGGCACGCCAATAGCCTTTGATGATTAGGTGAGAGCTAACGCCCTCTTCAACAAACGCACGTGCCTCCCGAAGCAATTCGCCAGCAAGAACAACAACAGATGTCGTTCCATCTCCGATTTCGGCATCCTGCGCCCTGGCAATATCAACTAATGTTTTCGCTGCAGGATGGACAATATCCAATAGCTTCATAATCGTGGCACCATCGTTTGAAATCACCATTTCACCTTTTTCATCAACAAGAAGCTTATCCGCTCCCAAAGGACCGAGTGTAGTCCGAATCGTCTCCTGCACGGCAACGCATGCATTGATATTCGACAATAATTGACCACGACCTTGTGAATCGTCCGTTCCCTCTTTCAGAACTGATATTTGGTTAGTAGTTAACACTAAACGTAATACTTACCGATAACAGGAATCTGAGAACCGCCGAACGACATATTCAAACACTACTAGGAAACTGTAGGTTTTTTTCTGCAAGAGAATATGTGTGTTCTCGGTAGAGGGACTCAAGGTGTGGTGGGGCAGCAGCTGAGCTGAACTATGGTGTAGTAATCAGTAACCAACAACGCTCGACAAAATAGTAATTTAATTAACATATCGAATGTTTTATTATAACAGCAACTTCATAAATACGGATGTAAATTCATAAAATAGATATTACTGAATTCCTTATTGACTGACGTTCAGCGTAGAAAGGGTAAATGACTACGAAACAGTTTCATTGCAACTCCAGTAACTAACAAGCCATGCCTTTTGAAATATTCATAGCAAACAGTCTTACTTACACAACCGAAGAACGGCAATATCCTGGACCACCCTTAATCGATAACACGTCTTAACATCTTCACGAAATAAATTTAAGGCAACGCCAAACACAAATTATCTTAACCTTACAAAGTATATTAACTAACTAAGAAACCCTTATACACACAGACTAAAAAAAACCTCAGAACAAAATTTACTCCGATTAGGTGGTGAGAGGCGGAGTAAGCTCAACATGACCCACACCGTAAATGCATACGAGCGAGCTAGGCACTTGATTAGGGCGCCAAAGTCAGAAGTTTACCGTTCATCATTTGGTTTTTTAGTTGTGTGGAGAAAAATTCGTTAATGCGTTTGCCTTTATGCTTGATACAAAACAGCAGTCACATTGATGACATGATGTCATTGACAGATTTCGTTGTATCGCATCCGTAGTTGTAGAATAAAATAGATCACAGAGGGCGGTGTTGAGCGAATGCATTCCTTGCGTATTGATGCATTGTACACTGATGTTCTCGTAAAAACAATATGTTCTCCATTGCGAAAAGATATCCTCACGCAGCAAGTTTTCCCTCGTGGTAGGCTAGCATTTAAACGAGAGCTATTTTCGGTGATTATTCTAAGACAAAGTTGTAGATTTTCTCATTGCTATTAAAGACACGAATGATAAATCGTCTAAGGGAACTCAAGACAAGGTCGCAGTGAGCGGAATGCCACGGACTACTGCTTATGCGTACCGGAATGCCTTTTTGTGGGAACAAGTTGAATTGAAGTCACCCAGTAAAGTATCAGGGAAACTGTCAGTTAACTCGCGCGAACTACTTTTTGAAAAAGGCAATTATCTGCTACGAGCGCTGTATCAAAATCTGTCCGACTTGTTTAAATGCTCTGGTAAATTTGGTTTGCGATATGTTTCAAGCAAACAACACAAAACTGAAACCGAAAAAGATAAATGTTTCTTTTCTTCTACTGCTATCTGTTTTGGTATGCCTAATGATGGATTATATGCACTACAAACTAAAGGTCAAATGTCGCGGCTTTGTTATCATTTGAGCCCCATTGTCCAAGGTACTGAGGTTGAGGGTGCGATGCAACAGCTGATGGCTCGGTTTCGCATGGTCTACATCCCACAGAATCTTCGGGCTACCCAACAATTGCTTTGGCAATCGGCACAACTACGTGAAGTGTTTTTGCCGAACAAAGGAATGACAAAGACAAAGAAGAAATACCTCACCACTTAGCACTTATAAATTGTCCTATAGATGATTGCTCATGTTAAATCGTTAGCACTGGAACGTGCTTGAGTTTTCTTTATCAAGAAAAGTACAAAATGTTTAAAGCTCTCCTTGTGTGGACGAAGCGATTGGTTCTGATAATTTCATGGATACTGCAGACAATTGTTGTTACCGGGTGTTCTAAAACAAGTTCATTAGGTGTCTATTTGCTACGCGTTTCCAACAAGTTTGGTGATGCCAGTTTCGGGTTCGGAAACACATGCGTTCGAGAAACGAATGTAACTACTACATGTACGAACACTGCCAAGCTGCTTCCTGGGTCACCTACGGTAGACTTGGTTAATCTGAGAACTAAGTTTGTGAATGAAAAGGTACACCCATGGTTGGTATACTTGTCATATGCTCTTTTGACTGGTTACTTTCTTTCAACCCTTTTAAATTCTCTTCCTTTGCTGAAAAATGTTAATGTATTTGTTCGTGTGATGATTCCGTTAGGTGTTTCGTCAACGATAATGAATCTTATTGCGCTGGCATTTGTCAACATATCAGTGTGCTCATTCGCACTGGCGTTTAACAACAACACATCCTCCTCAATCAATATTGATGCCGGGCAACATATGTTGGGGATGTTTTGGACGGCGTTAGTTCTCGTTTTTGTTGCTACGGTTGCAGACAGCATTCTTCTGGCAACAGAATCCAAATCATCAAAATCTGAGACAATCCCTGCGGCGGAAAAGCAAGGAACTTTCCGACGCCTTCCGTAAGTCTGTAAATTAATTATAATTTATTATGAAATAAAATCGTAACATAGTTAAAGTCAAAAATGTATGTTAGTAGGAGTGTTATGATTTTTACCATGAATTGTGCTCTGACGTAAGTCTGTCGGCTGTGTTAGTTTGGTCGTTTTTGTTTTGTCGCCATGAAATCACAGGGCGACTTTGTATGAGCTTCTCTCCACATATTTTGACCACAGTACATTACAGAAAATGCGTACTGTTTTATTGCTAAAAAACAAATCGAATGGTGCAGATGAATACGAATTAGCATTCGCGAAAAAGAACTACAAAATAGCTTACCTTCCATTATTGACGCATACATACATTCACGAAACTGAATTGCGGAAATGTTTCCAAAACCTCCCTTCAAAATACAGTGGCCTAATCATAACAAGCCAACGAGCCATTGAGTTTGTTAACACGATTCTAGGCGACCTGAACGACGAGGAGTCCTCAAATATAAGAAAGGACATACCTGTCTTCATACTTGGGCATGCATCTGACCGTTACGCAAGAACAGCCGGATTCTACAAACGTTACGGAAAAGATAGTGGTTGCGCTGAAAAATTGGCAGACGAGATTATTGAATGGTATCTTAAATTCCAACCACAAAAGCCAATGCTGTTTCTTATGGGTGAAAAACATCGCGAGACACTTCCTGTAAAGCTAAACGTGCACCGTATCCCACTAACCACACTCACCATTTACAAAACTACAGAAGTACCAAACGCAAGCGATCTTATAAATAATTGTCTTGACAAGGATCATAGCATTACATGGATAGTCATTTTTAGCCCACTTCAATCAGTCATTTCAGTTTTGAGGCATTGTACAGTCAACATAGCAACCATCGGTCCAACAACAGAAAGCCATCTGTTAAATAACGGAATTATTCCCAGCGTGGTTGCTCCGAAACCAGAGGCGCTCTCACTAGCTGAAACCATAGATGTGTTTGACAAAGCGAAACCGCAGGAAATCTAGCATAGAATTTCATGATATAACATCGACTTAAGAGTTGATGTCGTTAATCGCTCCTTGTTCGATTCAATATCGATATATTGTTGAGGAATGGGAGAAGTGACGGGTTCATCAGTGGGATCATGATATGCGGCGACATAAGGATGCCCTAATGCTTCGTCAACAGTTATTCTCTTCTCTGGATTTAACGTTAACATGCGCTCCAATAAATCAATGGCCAGAGGGTTCGCGTTTGGAAGAAGAGCTTTAAACGGCACACGTTTCGTCAACGGCAGGGAACGAATATAATCCCTGGCCCTCCGCGACTTTATTTGATTAAAATCATCCATTGTAGGTGTTCCGAGAATGCCGATAATAAGGGAAATTTGGTTGTGATAATCCTTGCCGGGAAACAGTGGCTTCGTAGAAATCATTTCCGCTAAAATACAGCCTGCACTCCAAACATCGATAGCTTTCGTGTACTCGCGATTGCTGAGCATAATTTCAGGTGCGCGATACCATCGTGTAGCTACGTACTCAGTCATAAAGCCACCATCACTTTGAGAATCCACAGACCGAGCCAAGCCGAAGTCTGCAACCTTTAGGTCACAATTTGCATTAAGAAGGAGATTAGATGGCTTGAGGTCACGGTGAATAACTCCCGCACTGTGAAGCATTTTTAGTGCCCGCAATAGCTGATAAAGAAAGTATTGACAGTGGTCATCGGACAATGGTTGCGAACGGATCACACGATGAAGGTCAGTTTCCATGAGTTCTTGGACAATGTACACTTCCTGGAAAGCTTGATAGCTTGGGGGTGGTAATATATCGAGAATGGAAATAATCTGCCGAGCACCAAAAGTGCCGTTAAGTTAGTCACCACATTACAACACGGAAATAAATGTGTCAACGTACGTTCTCATGTTGAAAATATTTTAGCAGCTTAATTTCTCGGAGGGTACGCAAACAGAATACCGGATGCCCAAAAGGGCAAACTTTTTTTATTGCAACTTTGGTTCTTGTTTTCTTGTGAATAGCAGCGCAAACAACACCATACGCACCTTGCCCTATGATGCTAATGACTTCGTAGTCAGGACTGAGATGAAAAACGAACTTCTCCGAGCGTTGACGAGCAAGTGTAGTTTGCGTGCTTTGTTCCGGAACCGCTGAAACGGATGTACCATAAACCATATTTTTGGATTGATTTCGTCGCAATATTCTCGTTAAGTGTTTATAACTCAGCAAATGTACGCAAGAAAGAAGAGTGAACGAAAACGCAGTGGAAGTTTTACTCGTGAGAACTGAAGAATTGCAAAAATCAGCGACCGAGAAATTGTCCCACGAACAATAATAACAGAACTCGTATAAGTTGATACAAAATCCTATCGCTTCAATATGCTTTCAATTAGTTGAAAATATGACGGAGTGTTGATTTTAAGCTCTTGCACTTAATGTACAGAATAATAAGTGACAAATGAGAGGGAGTCTAAAAGTATAGCACAATGACCAAATGAATAGAGCTTCACAAAAGCAAAAGGGTAATCGCTGGACCAGAAATTGTTGAAAGACACCACTAATCCACGTTTAATGAGGTAATATGAGCAAAAAACAAAACTGTTATCTAATAATTGAATAACAAACTTGGATACTGACAGAAATTGTTGGGCTAAAAGCCAAAAAGAGTGAAAGCCTTTCAGAAAGTATGAATGGGAGTAGACAAGTAACAGCTCGTCGACAGATTCTTTATATCCTAGGATGAGACAAAGAAAAAGGGATGAAGGCGTTAATGAAAGCAACTATACCATTACGTTGATAGAATTTAGTTTAGAGAACTGAATACTATGACATAGCACCAGCCATATCCGAAGATGCTCTTTGTCTTTGCTGTGACAAAGAGTTTTAACTCTGCACGTGCTGTCACGTGAATAGATTAATTTTCCTATGTACCCAAACCGATACCAACGATAAGAAAAGTTGAAAACTAACAAATATCTAGCACTAATTGTTATTGCTTTTAAGTGAGTAAGTCGCTTTTCGCGATAAAATTTTGTTACTGAAGTGAACTTCAGCAACTGGGCTTCTGTGTCATTTATGCTATTATTGATGCAAAGCATAAGATTACATTAAAGAAGGTAAGAATTGAAGATAATATATTCTGAAAACGGTACAACTGAGAGTCCTTCCACAAATCACATTCACGAACTAGTTTTCAGCTGGTCGTTACTGTGTGTCGGTTAATTGCAGGGCATTATGATTGAGCGTTTGAGTAAGGTTACTAATTCATCGTCGCTTTCAGTTTGATCCACTACTTCTTCCTTCATAAATTTTTCTTTTTTGTTTTCCGTTGATTTACGTCTTTATTACTTCCTACACACTATATCCTTGCTAAATTTTTTATTTCGACAAAATGGTAAAGGCGGCGGATGAAGTTTTAGACTCAAATAAACTAAGTCAGGAGCTTACAAACTGCCTCAGCCAAGTTAAGAGTTTCAATAGCTCACAGAAGAAACGACGGCTTTGGGATCCAAACCATATCGCTCACACAACCGTATATGACAGTCCCGAAAGACCCGTTAAAAACGGAGCAAGACGGCATTCAAGTGGTTACAAGGCTGCCGCAAAAGCAGACAGCGAGTTACTTCAGCGTCCTCGTACTCTATCAGATGAAGGATTGAGTACTCCAGGTGCTGGAAATGAGAGTAACGGGATGTTCTCTAATTCTCAATTCTCAAAGTATCCGGGCCAAACACGAGATATATACGATTTCACAGACGACGAACGCGATCTAGAAGAAGAAGAGGTCGATTGGGTTAATGATGCTGAAATTGACCTGAGCCTACCGGTCCCGAAAATTACATTAAAGCGTTCTCGTTCAAACTCACGGTCGGGCAAGTCGTCTTCACCAAATGTTAAACGTACTCATGAAAAGAATCGTCGTAATTCTCAATCGGCGTATACAGATGATTCTGAACAGAACTCGACTGCTTTTACCGATTCTACGATGACGGTACCCGTTAAGCGGCGTGTATGGACACACGAGCAGGAAAGTCAGCTGCAGTCTATTACCGAAACATTTTGCCGGAAACGGGGAATCAATACTGATAAACTAAATCAGGTTCTAGCCCACTCTAATCCCTTTCAACAGCTACCGGGCCTACTGTTGCGGTTAACGAAAGTATTGCCCTACACATCGCGCTCTATTTTACGGCACCTTCGTGGCATTTATGGTTTGAAAGGTTATGAACAGTACTCTGTCCAGCACCGGCGCAGCGATGGATCAAGCCTATTTGCTCTTAATGACGCATCACGCAGGCACGTTCACGAATGTATATTACAGTTTTGTCGAAAGCAAGAAATCTCGTTGGATGAATTTAAACGACAAGTTTGGTCACCAAATAAAACGTGTCCGCGAGAAATTCGCATGCTTTACAAGGAGATACGTGCTGGCCTCTCACAGAAGGTTCATTCTCGAGCTGTGTATCGGTATGTCCGGCAAACATACTTTCCGTACGAAAACAGCACTACAGAGTGTAGCCGCAAATGGAGCACAGAAGAGGAAGAAGCGTTAGCATCTCTGGTCAAGCTCTATGGAAATGAGTGGACCCGCATTAGCAAGGAAATTAACCGATCGAGTCAGGAGTGCCGAGACCATTGGCGCGACATCGTTCAATTTGAGGATGCCGGCCCTGTCTCCGGAACCGCCGGTCATCGGATTCCATGGACTAAAGATGAAGACGATCAGCTGATAAAGCTTGTCCAACAGACCTTGACACGTCATGCAGAACCAGCTGCTGAATTGGGGTCTGCTACAATAGCAAAAACCTCGACCGACGAGTCTCATGAGTCGGACGGTAAACAGGATACAGAACCGTTTAGCAGCACCGATCTTGTTGCGCCTGCCTTCCTTAGTTGGACAGTCATCTCTAATGCACTACGGACCCGTTCGCGGCTTCGTTGTCAACGGCGCTATGAACATCTCGTCGCCATGGGTCAGGCCCCACCGTTGCCAGCAGAGAATACAACAGCTCCCAGTACCCCACGTCCCAAAAAACCAAAACAAGAGAAGACATTCCTTGTGGGTGATTCCATTTGTCTGCTAGAGTGCATTGTGCAGTGTATGAATGATGATGAAGTCATAGACTGGGATTCTGTTGCACAAAAAATGCCTCAATGGCAACCAAAACTTTTGAGTCGGCAAGCAGAAAAGCTTCTCGGAACGGTTCCGTCCAAAAAGCAGCAATTACTCGATGCTCTAGAAGAGCTCAACAGCCTTCCCGATATTATTCGCGATCGCTCTGTACTGCAGAAGTAGCGTACACAGTACATTTGCGCCATTCTCTGTTAACTGCTAAAGCTCCTTTCCCGCTTCTCCCTCTCCTGTCCCCTTTCTCAGTTTATGCCTGTACCCTTGACTATGACCCGCCGCAAAACTTTAAGCAAATACCTTCCGTATACACCGCGCTGTATAAGCTATTGCAAATCAAATCACGCAAACTCTCGTTAAGATTCTTTATTTTATGTAAACTTCGTTCGATAGCTTTCCCGCCTTATAGCACCCGATCACACCACAGTGTAGCGCATTACAGTGCATGAGACTACCTTAAATCTCAAAATCTCTCGTTCATTTTCGCTATCTTGACTTCGTGACGTGGCCAATAAACTATGCTCATTGCGTACCAATCATTAGACGGCTTGCTTCTTTATCAAGTCCCGTCCTCTCGCCGCCTCCACACCTCTACATACTAGCGGCACCTTTTTTCGCACTCCCTCTGACAAACTTTTTTGAGTTTTCAGAAAGCGACGCCTCTGCGCGTTACCACTGTCATTCTGAAAGCCCTAAACCTTTGCCTTGTGTTTTCTTTTAGACTTTTCTTAAACACAAGAGTTGTTAAACTGTCGTCACCTCGTCTTTTCGATTTGTTTGCTGGAATCTCGTTTTGACTTGAAGAATTGTTCTTCGACGGGATTTCTTGCTTGTTTTGACTTTTTCTGTGAAGAGTGTTATTCCTACGACTTATAAGATCGTTGTTTAGACACCAGCAGTGTATTTTTGCTTGTTTTAGCCAGTGATAATCTGTTTTATCAGGCATTTCTCGTTTTTGCCAACCACGTTTTCTTCTGCATATTTGTTTGTTTGTTTTGCACAACAGTATCAACGACGAGTGCATAATCCTGTGTTCTGTGTCATCCGGTCTTTATTGTTTACTGCTCCGTGTGTGTACGTTTAGCAAGTCGACGGTTTCTCCAACGTGGGACTCGATTGCCTCTTTTTTATTTGTCGACGCTATCGTTTTCGTTTGTGTGTACCCGTTTTTGCGAGTTTGTGTACGAACCTGTTAGATACAGTGATTCTGTTGTCATAACCGTCTTGCCTGTTTAGAGTCATCTGCTTTCTCGAAGTAAACAAACGAGTAGACGATACGCTATTTGTTCGTGTGTTTCCACCTTCCTCGTTAACACTGTTTCTGTATATTAGCATCGCTTAAAAGAGCTCTGTTGCTTTTCCAACATTGATTTCCAGCTGGTTGGAAATAGCTTGTGTTGCTAATTCTTCTTTTCTTACTTCCTTTTACCCATCTTATCTTGTGTTTTTCCTTCCAACGTTGCTCCTATTGGTGCCGCGAAATTGTTGTCACGGTGCTTTCTAACGAGTTCCTGTTAATTTCCCCCTTTTTCGAAAAAAATGCAGACCTATACAGGCCTTGTCAAAACCCCTCTGGATGCGATAATCTTGTTCGAGGCGTGTCGTCTTGGCATACTTCCTCGCGTACAACGGCGACTTTCAGACCACGAGCGCAACAATATTCAGCCCGGGAGCGTGTTCGTCTGGGACGAACGCGAAGCCGGCATGCGTCGTTGGACGGACGGCAAGTCATGGAGTGCATCACGCGTAAGTGGTTCCTTCCTCACCTACCGCGAGATGGAAGGCAAACGCAAGTCGAGTCGCAACCATCACTCCAGCCGTTCTACGTCTCCGCAGCAGAAACGTCAAGGCGGTTCTGGTGCGGACGAGGATAGTAATGGTACCCAAACCGATGACAGTGCAGATGACGAAGATGTCTCCTCCTCTTCTGGGCTGCACTACAAGCCCAACGGCCTCGTCAAGCAGTCTTTCAGCATCACCACTTCGTTCAACCAAAAGCTCCATTTAATTTCTTACGCTTCCGCCGTCCCCGATCCTTCACTGTCAGTTCCTAGCAGTGATCCTAATCTTGCTATGATTACTGTGCCATACGATCTGTATCCAGATGCTGGCCCTCCAATCCTGCAACCCCCCAAGTTCCTGGCACCTTACGACATTCCGGTTGAAAAAGTCGCTTTCAGTGAAGACGCCCGTGTCCTCGACAAATTGCGACAAGCTCTATTCCTATAAATTGTTGAGACACCTACCGTCGAGACACTACCGGTACGCGTTTCCAGGCTTGTGTGGTCATAGGGCGTTTTGTCTAATTTTACCTAATCCCGACGTTGAGCTTTGGCCATTGCACCACATCGATGCTTTCCATTACCTTGAAACTTTGTAGCAATTGTAGAACTCACTGTTGTGAAACTCATATCTTTTCGCTACCCTGAGGCTCTACGGCGTTCCCCTTACCTTTCGTAGCTAATCGTCGACATTATAAAATGACAGCCAAAATGCGATCTCGTTTCGGCCACTTTTGTAATTCTTCAACCAAAGCTTGTTTAACTCTCTTTCATCTAAGCTCAAGCATCGCTTACGTTCATCCATAGGCCCCCCTGCCCTGCCACAACCGAAGCTGCTCAAACCTAAACAAGCCTTAATACTCTTTCCCTGAATGCGTTATTATACAGTATCCCACAAACGCGCGTTGAAGTTTCATATAGTTCGTTATTGTACTTACCGTACATTATCGTTGCCCTATCGTTTTAACGAAACACACAACACTACGTTATGGTACTATGTATAACACCGTCCTGATTCGGTTAAACCCCGCTAAGTCATAACCCGAGTGTAAGGAACTGTTGTTTACGGTAAGCAAACAACGCAGCGCCCAATATGGCCAAACAGCTCGGACCCAAGGAGATATCTCATTTTCGGACCGCTCTCGTATGTTGAAGATGTTGACGAATTAAGTTAACAGAAAACAGAAATGTTTTGAGACGAAGCAATACAAAAAGGGACTGAAAAGCATCGACACAGTACTGGAACGGTCCCCGGAACATGGAGAATCTTTAGCCCTCAAGGGTCTTCTTCTTCATTCGCTTCAGCAAAAGGAGGAGGGCTACAAATTTGTACATCTTGGCTTGCGACATGACATCTCCTCCAGTGTTTGTTGGCACATGTATGGCTTGATTTGTAAGGCCGACAAGGATTATGTTCAAGCACTTAAGTGTTACATTAATGCAAGCAAGCTCGACAGAGCGAACCCTAATCTTCAAAGAGACATTGCTCTTCTGCAATCTCAATTACGTTCGTTCAAAGCTCTGGTGGACACACGCAATACTCTCCTGCAGGCTAATCCTGGAGTCCGTGCTAATTGGAGTGCTTTGGCTGTTGCGTCGTATCTCAACGGAAATGCAGCCAAGTGCAAAAAGTTGCTCGAGGCATTTGAGTCTACAGTGGCCGAAGGTGTTCCTGTGGAGCCTTTGGAGGAGTCCGAAGCTCAATTGTTCCTCAACATCTCAATTGCCAAGTCTGAGGGCCCCGAGGCTGCATTAAAGCACCTGCTTTCTGTTGATAAGGCGATTTTGGACCGTCTTGCCTTTTATGAAGCGAAGGCTCAATACGAATTTGCTCTCGAGAAGTTTCAGGATGCGAAGCAGACTCTCTTTTTGCTAATTAACCGCAATCCTGACCATCATAAGTACTATGAGGATTTGCAAAGAGCCGCTGGTAATGTGGATGCCAAGGGAAACATTACAAATGCCACTGCATATCTTGAACTTCTGGACAAGTTGGCAACACTTTTCCCTCGCGCAGATGCTCCAAGACGTCTCGCTTTGAATGTTGCTGAGGGTGATGATTTTGTTCGTCGCGTCGACACATATCTTCGACTCGCATTGAAGCGTGGTGTTCCTTCTGTGTTCGTAAACATCAAGGCCTTGCTCCGTGCCGACAATGTTAAACGACAGGCTGTTGCCGGACTCGTCGAAGCTTACCGTTACAACTTACGTACCCATGGTCATTTAGACGAAGCGGCTAGCGCCGATCAAACTTTAGAGCCGCCTAGCACCATGCTTTGGGTGTTATATTTTTTGGCGCAATACTACGACTTTGTCCGTGATCTGGAGAAGGCCATGGAACTGGTGGATGAAGCTTTGATGCATACACCTTCACTTACCGAGCTGTATATTGTTAAGGCTCGTATTTATAAGCATCAAGGTGAGCTCGATAAGGCCGCGGCCGTTATGAACTCCGGTCGTGAATTGGATTTGCAGGACCGGTTCGTGAATAACAAGTGTGCCAAGTATATGCTTCGCGCTAATAAAAACGAGGAAGCTGCTAACATTGTCTCCTTGTTTACACGCAACGACGTTGTTGGAGGTGCCCTCGGTGACCTTGCAGACATGCAATGCATGTGGTACATGTGGGAAGATGGAATGGCACATGCACGCCAAAAGAAGTATGCTTTGGCTCTTAAGCGTTTCCTTACTATCTATAAGAACTACAAGGTCTGGGAAGATGATCAGTATGATTTCCACTTCTTTGCCTTCAGAAAGGGCTCCTTGCGTACATACGTTGACATGTTGAAGTGGGAAGATGGTATCATGACACAACAAACTGTGATAAAGGCGTTGGAGGAAGTTGTTAAGATCTACCTGCAGGTATTTGATTACCCTATCCTGAAGCTGGGTCCAAAGGAGGCAGACTTGCAGAAAATTCTTAGCAACAGTTTATCCGACGATGAACGTAAAAAGCTTCACAAGAAGTTGAAGAAGGATCTGGCCAAGCGTCATGAGCGTGAGGAGAAGATCAAGGCCGCTGACAAGGCCCACCTCAAGCCTGAGGAAGGTTTACAGCAAACACTTGATGAAGATCCCTTGGGTGAGCATCTCATTGCCACAGAGAAGCCGTTGGAGGAAGCGGACAAGTATCTGAAAGAGCTTCTGAAGTACGGGGCTGATAGATTCTCTGTTCAGTTGCTTGCGGCGCAATTGTTTGCTCGCCAAGCAGATTCTGCCAAGGCTGTTGCTGCTTTGGAAAAAGCTGGACAACTCGCTACTTCTGACGATTCTCCTGTGTTTGAAGACCAAAAGCAGAAAATCAATCAATTGCTGGAGAAGCAAGCTTCATCCTAAATATGTCAATCGATAGAGAATGAAATTTGACATGACAGCTCTGCTGCAAAAATAAAATTTAGGCCATCTTTTTGTAACTGCAATAGTTGCCATACATACGAAAACAAAACCAAGGAGTGCGTATTCATGTTACGAATTCACGTTATAAACCTCATCTTACTAACTACCGTTCAGTCATATAGTGGTGCGTCCGCTTCCTTGCGTACTTCATTGACACACAGCTGCTAGGAGTTTCTTCAAGTACGCGTGCTTCTACCTTCCAAGGATGTTATTTGATTCATTTTTTAATCATTTTCTTAATGAAGCAACTAATGGAAGCTCGTTTGGGCACGATAATTTCTGGGAAAACCGTTCTGCGTTACACTGTCTTTTCGGACCGAGTTTGGAAATTGTAGACCGAAAAAACGAAATTGAGGTGTCTGTTGAGGTTCCTGGAATACGTAAACAGAATCTAAATGTTGATCTGAGAGGGGATGAATTGAGTATTACCGGCAAAAGTGAAAAGCTGACAACTGCCACGGATGAGCTTGTATTGCTAAACGAGCGCTGCAACGGCAGTTTTAGACGCACAATTAATTTACCCGCTAAGGTGGAACCAAATTCTGTGCAGGCCTCTTTACGTGATGGCGTTCTCAGTATCGTAATGAGAAAACAAGAGACCTCAAGTGGAGCTCATATCATTCCAATCTCTTAACAAGCTATTGTACAAACCAAATGACTGTTACCCAATATCACAACAGAATGTGATAGAAGACCAACTTCGGCATCATGTCGCACGCAATTCAATGGGGTTAACGGTAGATGAATAAATTAACGAAGTGTATGATGGCTAACGAACTAGAAGAACCATTGATAATTGAATTTGAACTGACGCGTATTTGAAACTAGCACTAGAATTAAAGTTTTATTACGTAGCGCGTTTTACGCGACACAAATTTCATTTCATCGGGAGGCAAACTGCTGACGCGTCCTTCTCACTGGGGTTTCCGACGAAGGGTCCGAAGCGCACCTTCCTAATACCAACCACCATATTTGTGTGTTGACACAAGACAAATGGCAAAAGTGTACGTGATAAAGACGTTTGTTTTCAATGCTTAGAATGGGAGACTGACATATGAAATCCGTAGACCCCGTAGTTTTCGCTTGCTTGACGAATTGGAAAAAGGAGAGAAGGGTCTTGGAGACAGCTCCTGTTCATACGGTTTGTTCAAGGCAGACGATATTACATTGTCTGATTGGAATGCTACCATTCTTGGACCTGGTCACGTAAGTAACCGTGCAGCGCCATTATTGTGCTAGCAAATGAACTACCGTAACATTTATACACATGGCGTTGTGATAAACTGAGACGTGCTCCTTTTGAAGGATACTGTTGCTTACATGGCGTTTAGAGTGTTCACGAGAACAGAATTTATTCCTTAAAACTGCATTGCGGTCCCATATACCCCGACGAGCCTCCCAAGGTCACATTTATTTCGCGTATTAACTTGCCTGGAGTAAATAATACAACTGGTGAAGTAAGCAGAATCATCAGTGGTTAATTGGGAACTAACAACTAGGTTGATCCTCATGCAATTCACTGTCTTAAAAACTGGAAGAGAGAGTACACTATGGAAACAGTTTTGGTTGAGCTTAAGAGGTACGTTTAAAAGAAAGAAAGAAAGGACGAGGCTCTGTTGCTTCCCCTGTCTATTCTGAGATTTAAGGATTGTTTAGGCACGTCTTTCTATCTTCCCGTTTTATTTGTAGCTAAAAAGTCAATTTAGAGAAATGGGCAGTCCAGCAAATCGCAAGCTTCCTCAGCCTCCTGAGGGAAGCACCTACTAAACATCGGATATAACTTTTGTTAAGAACCTACTTGAACCAATCCCACGATGACTTTTCGTTGGCGTACGCTCTACTAGGTCGATTAGTCAACAGGACGATTTGTTTTGTTGGTTTGCTTAGTTTTAGTTTCTTCGACGTTTTATAGATGCATCGGTCAATTCCTTCAACGCACTTGCGGAGCTTTATCCACCCGACCTGTTAACGAAAAACATCCCGCCAATCTTGCTGGAGGTTTGGACAAAAGGCAGTAAGTTCTTCCCAGCTTCGATCACGCACAATGTTCTCGACTTGTCGTTCGTTGGCTATCACACTCAAGAGTGCTGTCGTAACCGATTCGTCAACAGCCTGTGACTTGGCGTACGGATCCAGTCGCTCCGGGGTAGCACTTGCTTCTGCGACCGGCTTTGGAGTCCGTTGGTGAACAGCTTCTGACTGGACAATGTGTTCGCAAGTGTCTAGTAGCTGTGTTCGGGAGAGCCATGATGCGAACAGTTGCTGTTGTACGTCTAAACAGCGTTTGTCGCGCTCCTCCTCAGATATTCCAATTAGCTCTTTGCTTCGACTGTATTCTCGAACGTTGCTCGAGTTGAGGAGAATGCGAATTGAGTCGTCGATGTTGCGAGCGACTCTAAGCGTGTCTACATGAGAACAATGTTATTAACCGTCAGTTCCAAATTCCACAGATTCCCTCCTAACACAATCTACAACACAACAATTGTTTTTCTTCCAATTAGTTGCTGCCGCGCACAGCCCATCGACGTGACGCGTTTATGCATCCGCATATCGCAGACACACAAATCCAAACACCTCCTTCCTTCTCTATCGTCCTCACATACTCTTCAGTTCCTTGAGGTCTAGGCAAAGTCTCCGAGTCAGTGCCGGAATCTCTTTCTGTGTCGAGTTCGACAAGTTATGTCCCATGTGTGCTACACACTTGATGCTACAACTCCCTCCTGTGTGGGGCTTTTGAGTTTCGTCGTAAGAGGAGCACTGATGCTTTTCCGTCTCGCCCTGGTAGAAGCCAACACGCGCGTGAGGGTGCGTACTCTGGGTGGTCGTTTTAGTAATCACATGACGTTAGAGTTCGCCTCCACGGGTGTGATGATCGACACGTGTAGTTCACAGGGGTGTACGATGGAAAAATGAATATCAAATAGAACAGTGAGCTTTAAGACTAATGTATCAGCGAATATCTACGAGCTTGTTTTTTCTTTTGTACTTGCTGTCCATCGCCACTCAACCTATAGGTGCTGTTCCGGTCTGCGTAAATTGACGACGTCGGCTTGGCGTTGCAATCGTGCCGGTGCTTTCGATTGCGTTCTCCAATTAGAAAAAATGTGCGTGTTCATGACGAATGAGTAAATTGTGTGTGTTCCCTACGAGCATTTTAATTGGCTGCAGCATCTCCACTGACGCCTGTCAGCCGCCAAATAGTGTTTAGCAGGGCGCTAGGCGTAGCCATGTCAACAAAGCCTCTATGCTTAGCTTTTTTTATTTATTTAATCAAAAAAGTTAAGTTACCGACTGCAGACTATCCCAGACCAACTCGTTACTTCTCCCCATCCCGAAGCACTCAGGACGAACCAGGTGTTCCAAACGTGGCCGGAACTAAAATAAAAGATCCTTCTGGAGTGCCTGGCGTATCTCTCGGCTCTTTGTTTGTTCTTGTTTTCTCTCCTTGTTGTTTTTACATCGTCGTGTTCCTTCGTTTGTCCTTAGTTCTTTTGCATCGCCTCACCAACAATTTTTGTATTTTCTAGACGTTCTCGTCATTGAAGCTCTCATTGTGGAGTAGACAATACGAGTTTTAAGGTTTTTTCTTGGGACTGGTACTCGGCACGCTGTTATACCCTTCTTCGTACTCGAAACCGCGAAAAGTTTCTAGACTTAAGTGGATTCCTGTGCTTTGATATCTTGGACTATCCACAGATTACTCAGGTGACGCTGTGTGAAACAGTAGTTTCTTTATTTTTTAGGCGTCTTAAACACTCAGCTTTTTGTGTGTCCCCTGTGCCCCACTCTCTCGCTCTCCTCGTCTTTCTGCCTCGCATACGCATCTCTCACGTTTGTGCCGAAAACTACTGAGACTATACCCGTGATCCTTTCATTTCATTTGGTCTTTTTTCGTTCTTATGCATGGTCTTTTGGGAGTATGGACCTGGAAAGGTGTCTTTATTACAGTCCTGGGGTTTGTGGTATTCCTCTGTGTGTCGGCTGCGCCGTACATGGAGGATATGGTGAAGTGGAACCTTAACACGAACAAAACAGCCACAGAAGTTTTGGACTACTCAGGAGAATGGTCAAACCATCAGTTCACAGCCAGCCCTTCAAATTGGCGCATGAACATGATTACGGTCATTCTTGACCGTTGGTACGATGGTGATCCGACAAACAACGACATTAATGGTACCTACTACGAATACGATATCCGTGAAACAAGTTTGCGCAACGGTGGAGACATTATTGGTTTGAAAAAGTCTCTTGACTACATTCAAGGCATGGGCGTTGGCACCATTTACATTGCCGGTACACCCTTTATCAATATGCCTTGGGGTGCAGACCAGTATTCTCCTCTTGATCTTACCATTCTTGATCCCCATCTTGGTACTATTGATGACTGGCGTGACACTATTGAAGAGATTCACAGTCGCGGCATGTATTTAATTGTGGATATGACTGTAGCAACACTTGGTGATCTTGTCGGTCTTACTGGTTACTTGAACGGTGCTGTCGACTTCAGTCTTAACGAACATGACGCTCAATGGAAGAATGTTTCGCGCCAATATCTTGATTTCAAATACCACAATGTTTGGAACAAGAGTTGTGAACTTCCTCGTTTCTGGGGTGACGATGGTCATCCTGTGCAAATTTTGTGGAAGGGTTGTTATGTTTCCGACATTGATCAATATGGTGATACCGAAGCTTTTGGTTCTTACCCCGATTGGCGTCGTCAATTGTCAAAGTTCGCTTCCGTGCAAGATCGTCTCCGTGAGTGGAACCCTGATGTCAACAAAAAACTCCGCCATCTGTCTTGTTTGCTGATTTCTATGCTTGATGTCGACGGTTTCCGTATCGATAAGGCTACTCAAATGACAGTTGATTTCCTTACGGACTGGTCAATGAGCGTTCGTGAATGTGCAAAGAAGTATAATAAGAACAATTTCTTCATTCCTGGTGAAGTTACTGGTTCTTCTAGTTACGGTGCTATTTATTATGGCCGTGGACGTCAACCTGATAATCGTCCCCCTAATACTACCGTTGCTTTCTCTCTGCAGTCTTCTGATTCGGACTACTTCCTTCGTGATGAAACATATAACAACATTGATGCCTCTGCATTCCACTATTCTGTTTATCGTGGTTTGACTCGGTTTTTAGGCATGGACAGTGCTATGGAAATTTCTTACGATGTTTCTAATCAAATGCCTCAGGCTTGGAATGGCATCCAGATTAATGAGGATTTCATCAATCCTAACACTGGAAAGCTTGATCCCAGACATATGTATGGTGTTACAAATCACGATCTGTTCCGTTGGGGTTCCATCCAAAACGGAACTGAACGTTTGATGCTGGGTACTGTCATTACTTCGTTGATGTTCCCCGGTATCCCTCTTCTTTATTACGGTGATGAACAAGGTCTCTATATCCTTGATAACACGGCTGGTAATTATTTGTATGGTCGTCAGCCTATGAACTCGGCTTGGGCTTGGTATCTTCATGGTTGCTATGGCCTTAACGCGACGCAATACCCTTCTATTGATTTGACTCCTGCGAAGAACGGTTGCCATGATGAATGGAATAGTTATGATCACTTTGATGTTGCCTCTGAATATCGGAATGCCTATATGAACATTCATCAAATTCGCAATAAGTACGTCGCTCTCTTACACGGTTATCGCTTCGATTTAATCCGTAATTGGACTGAGGATGTCTACTTCCCTAACAGTCAGCCTACTCCTACGGTCATGGGTTTGTACAGTGTGATTCGTGGCGCTATGTCTGGTATCCAAAATCTAACCGAGTATGCGGCGGACGGTGTTTCTACTTCCCCTGTTTGGGCTATCTACTCCAACAGAAATAACACAGTTACCTGGAGTTACGACTGTGATAGTTCAAATGCAATTCTCGGTCCGTGGGCTCCTGGCAAAGTGGTTAAGAACTTGATTTATCCATATGAAACTTACACCCTGCAAAATTCGGCAAATGGTTCTTGGGGATGCTTGAGCAGTATAGAGCTCCCCGCTTACGGCTTTAAGCTCTTTGTTCCTGAATCCAGCTTTGTTGGTTATGATCCCATTATCACGAAGGTCACGCCTCAACATGATGCGAGAATTCAATATACTAACAACTCGTTTACCTACACAATTGAGTTTTCTCAACCCATGATGTGTGATGACATTACGAAGGCACTTTCATTCAGTTCATCTACTATTCCCAAAAACATTACGGTTACCCTCGATGAGAGCAGTGTGACATGTGTTAATTACACTTCTACTGAGTCTGTCTCTATGCTCGGTCAAGTTCCTGGAGTATTTTCCTGGAGTGGTAAGCTTCAGAATGTTTATGAAGGTATTCATGAAGTTACTCTTAAACCGGTTAGTAATGCGTGGAATAATGGATCTGTAAATTCTACAAATCACTTCCTTTTCCGTGTTGGTTCGACGCTAAACCCTATGGTGTTCATGAGCGCTAACTACTCGGACACGCTTATTTATGTCGAAGACAGCAAGTATTATATAAATCACACTGCTGCTGGAGCTGCGAAGTTTCGCTATTCGTCTGACTTTGCTCGTACTTGGAGTCCTTGGGAAAACTACACTGGCGAACCCACGCAATACACTCCTAGTAATTGGACGGGTACTAAAAAGCAAATGTGGAAGGGTCAACACATCCAAGTTCAGTACTGGAGTGATATAGCAGCCTCAGCAAATCATATGCAAGAAGGCGATCATGGATATCAATATCGTCGGACGGTTCCAAACATGTTTTTGATGGGACCCTTTAACGAATGGGGTTATGATTCTGGCGTTTCAAACAAGTTTACTCAAGTGGATGACGATACTTGGGAGGTAAACTTCGTTAGTTCCACATACCCTGCTATTATTCAATTCAACGCATGGGGAGTTAACTCTGATAAGGAACCCGATAAAACTAAAATTTATGGTTCACAGGGTAATACTTCGGCACTTATGCGTACTGCACCCTCAGATTTGTCGGCAAACGAAGTAATTATTTATTATGATCCAGGTGATCACTACTTGGCTTATAAAGTGAAATTCTATGATCACATGATGAGATATGAACTTGTTCCTGTCGGAAGCTGGACTGTGTCCATTGTCATTTACATCCTTTGCATCGTCATTCCCCCGATCTCGGCCATCATTGTCTCCATGACGTTTAAGGGCTCTTTCTATAAGGTGAAGTTCAATAAACATGGAACTAGCACTGGTCATCACTTTTTCCCTCTGAAGCCCATTTCGGGCTTCAAGAATATGTTGAAAAAGAGTCATTCTTCTACTCCCTTTAACCCAGCAAATGGCGCGGTTGCCGGTACAGCTAAGCGCAAGTGTGTCTTAATTGCTACCTTGGAGTATGATATTTCTGACTGGCAAATTAAAATTAAAATTGGTGGTTTGGGTGTCATGGCGCAACTTATGGGAAAGAATTTGAAGCATCAAGATCTTGTTTGGGTGGTTCCCTGTGTCGGTGACATCGCTTATCCTGAGGCTGAAGAAGCTGCCCCTATTGAGGTCAAGATTATTGATCAAACCTATACAATTAACGTTTATCATCATTATGTGGATAACATCAAGTATGTTCTCCTGGATGCCCCGGTTTTCAGAAGACAAAATACTAAGGAACCTTATCCCGCTCGTATGGATGACCTTGGTTCTGCTATTTTCTACTCTGCTTGGAATCAATGTATTGCAGAGGTTATTAGACGCAACCCCATTGATATTTATCATATTAACGATTATCATGGTGCTCTTGCTCCCTGCTATCTACTTCCTGATGTGATTCCATGTGCACTTTCACTCCATAATGCAGAATTCCAAGGTTTGTGGCCTCTTCGCACACCCGAAGAGAAAGAGGAGGTGTGTGCTGTTTATAATATTCCACAACGTGTTTGCAGTAAATACGTCCAATTTGGTAACGTGTTTAATCTTCTTCACGCAGCTGTTTCTTATATTCGTATTCATCAAAAGGGATTTGGTGTCGTTGGTGTCTCTAACAAGTACGGAAAGCGTTCCTGGGCTCGTTACCCAATTTTCTGGGGTTTAAAGAAGATTGGAAAATTGCCAAATCCTGATCCTACCGATACTGATGATGTTGGAGCAGATGCTTCAAAATCGAAGGTTACTGTTGATCCCGACTTTGAGCGTCAGAAGCTCGTTGATAAGAAAATGGCACAGGAATGGGCAGGATTAGAGGTTGACGAGAGTTATGACTTGTTGGTATTCGTCGGTCGCTGGTCTCTTCAAAAAGGTATTGATCTTATTGCTGATATTGCGCCTTCGTTGCTGGAAAATTACAAGGTTCAGCTTCTCTGTGTTGGTCCTGTTATTGATTTGTACGGAAAGTTTGCTGCCGAAAAGTTAAGTGTGTTAATGGAACATTATCCAACCCGTGTCTTCTCTCGGCCACAATTTACCCAATTGCCTCCTTACATTTTCAGTGGTGCTGATTTTGCTCTTATTCCTAGTCGTGATGAACCTTTCGGCCTCGTTGCCGTCGAGTTTGGAAGAAAGGGTGCTCTTGGTATTGGTGCTCGTGTAGGTGGTCTCGGTCAAATGCCAGGTTGGTGGTTTACAGTGGAATCCACTGCTACGCAACATCTTTTGAGACAGTTCGAAACTGCATGTCAACAAGCGCTTTCTTCTTCTCAAAATACGCGTGCACTCCTTCGTGCTCGTTCGCTGAAGCAACGGTTCCCAGTGTCTGAATGGATTGCCAAGTTGGAGGCTCTTACCGAGGGCTGTATCAAGGCTAGTATTAAGTGCAGAAAATCTGGAAAGTCTCGTTCTTCGTTTTATTCTTTGACACATGAATCTGTTAGTCGCTCTTCTGAAGGTTTGCACACAATAAATGAGCCAAATTCTTCAGCTACAAGTGTCAGCTCAACAGTTGCACCTACAGATTCTGCACAACACTTGTTTAGTTCATTTACGCCAGCTGCAGACTCGTCAGAGACTAATGTGTCAGATATTGAGAAGCTTTCTAGATCTTTGTCTCTTGGACGACGCACTGGTCCAGCACATCAATCTGATGAGCCTGCGGTTGAAGGACTAGATGCTATTCGGGAAGAGAATTTTGAGGATATTGAGGAGCCTGACATCTGGAATGCCGATGCTATTCGTGACAAGATTGCAAGCCATTACAGGGATTCGCAGACACCTTCTGAGTTCAGCCAAGACTCCGCGGACTTCGAGTTTGATCCTCAAAAACCTTACTTTTATGATGACCTTTTGGATGATGAAACTGTTATACGTAATGCGCCATCGTTCCGCCCACAGGTTGGCAATTTTGATGGTGAGCATGGACTTGGAGCAACTGTCAGTCAAGATGACTCAACTGAGGGCTCGAAGGGTAGTGATGTGCACTTGCCTCCCCCTTCTCCTCCTTTTGCAAAGTCGCCATCCGGAGGTGGTAATCCTTACATGTATGGAAACTTGCATACTGAGTCTAGTCTTAGTCTTGCGTCAGTCATGACTGGTAAGGAGAAGAAGGACTTTGCCCTCACGAAGGTGGAACAGACATTTACGGATAGCGATGGTCATGCTTTACAGAAATTCAGTGAGAAACTGAAGGAACTGAATCCGAAGAATTCTAAGGACGATTTGTGTATTGAGTTGTTCCTTTTGAAGTCGGAGAAACATTTCTACGAAGCTCGCCGTGTTCAGAAACTTGGTTTGCAAAAGCCAAGCAAGCCACATTTTAATGAAACTTCGGTACACCCTGTGGAAGAGGAGTCTGATTCTAATAGCAGTGGGTTGTCCTACTCGCAGCTTTCTCAGTCTCCTAATGATTCCATGGACTTTGTTGACACCGACACTTATCAACCGGTAACTGGAATCAAGAAGTTTATGCAACGGAAGATTCTTGGATGGCCTATATATTCTATCATCGTTGCTCTTGGTCAGATTCTTGCAGCGACTTCCTATCAGTTGACTCTGTTCTCGGGAAGTTATGGTTTAGAAACTTCTCAACTGTACGCGGTTTGCGGCTTTTTCATTGTTGCGTCTTTATTCTGGTGGTTCGGATTCTCTAAGTACCCTAGTCGCCATTGCCTTTCTTTGCCTTTTGTTTTCTACGCAATTGCCTTTTTCATGATCGGTCTTCCTGCTTTCAATGGAGTATACAAGGGAAGATATTGGATTTCGTGCGTTGCTGCATGGATTTATTCCATTGGTTCCTCTAGCGGTTCCTTGTTCTTCGCATTGAATTTTGGTGATGAGGGACATGTTGAGACACGCACATGGGTTTTCCGCGCTTGTCTCGTACAGGGAACTCAGCAAGTTTGGTCTGCGGCTATCTGGTATTGGGGTGCATATTTGAGTAAAGCGAACACCAGTCTTACGGCGAACTACAAGATTTCGCCCGTAATCCCTGCTATTACCTGGCCTTTGGCTTGTTTGTCTGTGCTGTTTTTCTTCATGTTACGTAATGGCCTTCCTGATTACTATTACCAACTTCCTGGAAAGATTCCAGCCTTCTATACGGCTCTGTTGAGACGTAAGCTGGTAATTTGGTTCTGTATTGCAGTTTTCTTGCAAAACTTCTGGCTCTCTACGCTTAATGGTCGCTCTTGGACTTATCTTTGGGCTATTTCTGAAATTCCCCAATGGCAAATCTTCATTTTGGTTGTCGTGTTTTATATCATCATTTGGGCAGCTCTATTAGCTCTCCTTGGTTGGGTTTCAGGCACACACTCTTGGTTGATTTGTGTTTTCGGTGTTGGTCTTGGTGCTCCTAGATGGCTTCAAATTTTCTGGGGTACGTCTAATATTGGACTTTATCTTCCATGGGCTGGTGATGCAGGTCCCTATTTGGGACGTTGCTTGTGGCTGTGGTTGGGTGTGCTCGATGCTATTCAAAGCGTCGGTATTGGTATGATTCTACTTCAGACCTTGACCCGTAAGCATGTTGCCAGTGCATTGATGACAGGACAAATCATCGGTGCCGTTGCGACCATTATTGGAAGAGCGGGTGCCCCTAACAGAGTCGGCCCTGCCAACGTTTTCTTGGATTTCACTGGCTGGAATCCGGGAGACGGTGCTCATGTATTGGCAAGTGCGCCATTTTGGATTTGCTTGTTCTGTCAACTCGCCATTTGTGCTGGTTTCTTGTTGTTCTTCCGTCGGGAGAATTTGAGCAGACCTTGAGCAAGGATGACTAATAACCTTATACCTAGTTTTTATGTGTTTCCCATTTCCGCGATTGTTACCTGTTACATTAATAACGTTTCTTGGTCAATCTGATACACTCATTTTTGATTCACGCCCTTTACAAAAAGCATCACATATTTTTCTCCAAATACTTATACAACATTATATTGCATCTAGCTTTTTATTCCACTCGTAGCGTATAAAATTGGGGTTGATATTCAATGGAGTGCTACTAGTTCATGGATTAGTAGATACTTATTCATAGTCGTCATCGGAGGCCTTGTAAATGTGTTTCTCCCGTGCTGCTGATTTTGTCGTACCTCTGCCGCTTCCCATAAATCCCACACGACCATTGAGGCCCTCTGGGCTACGAAATATACTGGTTTCACCAATCTTTTTCCGTTTACCGACGCGTCCAGCTTTTACTCCTCTGGCAGCAAACTGTTTCCATGAGTTTTGTGAAGCTTCTAAAGCGGCCTTGGGTTTTAAATGCTTTTGCATCTTTTGAGTATACGAGGCAACATTGCTAGTCGTATAAGGAGCTGATGGCTGAGCTGATGATGGAGGCGGCGGCGGTGGTGGCATGTTGACAGGTTTTGACGGAGGAGGAGGAGGAGGAGGAAGAGCAAGGTTCCGTGGTTGTGTTATTTCAATGTTTCGCTTTTTCGATTCTGGGAGTAGCTTTACACAATCAATGGGAACGGTCTCTGTGTTCGGGTAATCGATAAATTTTACCGTATACTTTTTCCATTCCCTTGCACCAGATACAGCGATAACCTTCGCAGGGTAGTAAGCTTTATCGCCCGAAAGCCAACGCGCCATCAACAGATCACCGGGTTTGGCGTTCAAGAGCTTACCAGGCTGCTGATCGGACGGTTCTTTTTCATTCCTGCCCTCAGTCGTTTCTGTTGTTTCATCTGACGGCACGATATCGCTTGCCTTTGCAAGGCTATCTGAAAGTTTTATTAATTCTTCCAGTTCATCTTTCAATGTAATTAGCTCAGAATTGTCTGGATCTTTCCCAAGTGAGTGCTTTACCAGCTCAAGTTGAACTTTATACTGCTCAATTTCAGCATCCATAGTGGGTTATGTACAGCTTGCTGCGCTATTATAGTATTCCAACTTTTTCGTCTGGTGGTGTGTGTGTGTGTGTGTGTCCTAGAACCGACGAGTTGCGCACCCTCCGTAGATATCGCTATGTCGAGAAGGTGAGTAAGGCTTAAGCAGAGAAAACGAAGACAGCGTAACTACTCGTTGTATGAAAAGCGATTAGTACATGCTGTAGTTGCGATGCTCATAATGTAATGACTAATGAATAGAATGCACTACATGCTCAGTAAATTCGCGAGGCTTCTCCCATGCGATCCAATCGCTCGTCGTGGTTGGCAAAAGTCCCATCCAGTTTAACTTGAAGAAAGCAATTAACATCAGGACACATTGACAAAGAACATAAGCTACCATAGGCTGCATGAGCTTTTGGTAGGTGGCATTGATGAAGGGTTGGAAAGATTTGCGAGTACGCGTAATAGCTTTCAGTGGATTCCAAACCAACATGACGGTCATGGTGATACTGAAAATTTGAAGACTATTACCTGACATGTAGGCCATTATAGCGTTCATAGGAACCTGTTTTAATGGAGATGTAGCAAGTTCCCAGGCTTTCTTCATAATAAGCACTTGTTGTGCTTCCTTTATAGCATTATTTTCAGATATCTGTTTCTTCTTAGACATTTGCATATTAAAAGCCGTATCATATCCAGCCGGGCCACAAGCATCCGTCGTTAAAACCTTGGTTTTCTTTGACGTGACGGTAGCTGCGCCAGAGGCTTTTGCAAAATTTTTTATCCAGTATTTCTCGTCGTTTATAGACATATTAGGAGATACACTACTCTTAAATACCAAAAATATGATGTAGTTTGGAGAGTGAGTAGTTGAGAGAGTCTAACAATCGGTTTACTTTCGTTAAAATAGGAACGAGCGTAGTAGTAAGGATGAGCAGTCGGGAATGATTAGTATAAGCATGCACACACTATTGAATAAACGAAAATTACCTAGAATGTAACGACAATTACGTGGTTCTCTAAATAATACTTCATTAAATCCAGGATTGATGTCGTTCATTTTTGTTTCAGACAATCTGTTCCAAATAGCATTTTCTGGATTTTGTCAGCATAAAGGAACTGTTCTTTAGACTAGAGTAACCACACATTTTTATACCATAAATTTGTAAGACATCTGTAATTGCTTGTTTTTGACCAAGTAAAAGATTCATCTTCAGTCGATTTTAAAAATAAAAAAACAAAACAGAAAACCAATAAAACAAAAAGAGGCAGTCAGTTGTATATGGTAAAGGATAAGAAATGAGCTGAGAGAAAGAACTTCATAAAATAAAATTAAGGTTGTTCTGCTGCTGCCAAGGAGCGCGTCGCGTTTTTCATTTCATTGTACTTACGTCATCTTTCAGCGCTTCCTATAGAGCGCGACAAGCTGCTTGGTTGAGTTTGTCCTCTCCAAATGCGAGACCTTCAGAATTCAGCATCATGTCCGCATTGCGAAAACAATGATTCACATTACAATGACGAATCGCCAAAGCAACACTTTTTTGATCCCCCGTTTTACGGCCGACCGATGTTAGTCCCGCCGTCACCATCACTGGGCACACTTTTACGGACATGGTCAACAACCCCGGAAAACGATGGAATTGACATTTCTGGTCCGGATCAAAAGGACTGGGACATGATGGTGAAAGTTCCTACTTACGAATACTACGGATTTGTCCTGTATCTAGTGTCGTTAATATCGTTTGGACTATACATCGTTTGGGCAATGACACCAGACTGGATTTTAAAGTCTCTTGAAATACATTACTATCTTTCACGCTGGTGGGCGTTGGCCGTTCCTTCATGGTTAGTGGTTTTGCTAGTGTTCATATACGTTTCACTGAATCTGCACAACACTGAGGTTCTGACCCGTCCTTTAAGCAGTATCGAGTGCATTGTCGACCAATATGCATCTGTTGGCACCGAGGATGGTGCTTTGAATGGACGAGTGGTTGACCAGCGGCTTTCTGAAGTCAATGAGTTGCTTTACCAAAATGAGTGAGACGAACATCATACACCCAATCGACTTTCCTTCCATTTTGTTTATTGTTCCGTGAAACTCGCAGTCTGACTATTAAGCCACCACTTTCATTGTCATTGATTGACAACCCCTTTCTTTTCCGTCGCTCTTATCTCACTGTTCTTTTACCATGCAACTGGAAACCAGTCGTTAATGGCTCCTATTGCCTATGCCTGCCATGTCTGCATTTCTTCACTTTTTTTTTCGCTGCATTTTCTACCCCTCTTTCCATAAAACATGAGCCACTCATTAATGTCACTGATACTTTTAAACGAGCAATTGTAACGTGTCGACGTAAACTGTTCAGTTTGATCTAAAAGTGCAACAAGAAAAGTACTGGACGGCCCCTTTGAAAATAAAGGCTCGTTATAAACATGCCCAGTTACAGAACTTCACGTGGAGATAATAATTTGTCTCCGCTTAATTTTATTGTTGCTAATATTACCGATCACTTAATTGATTGGATTTTTACTTGTTCTTATACATCTTTAAACATTACTATGTCAAACGAAAAAGAAAAAGAAATCAATAGAAAAGAGAAAGCATGGGACTTTAAACCACCCATCATTGCTCCTTAAAATGATCGTGAGAAAACGAAAATATCTCAGTAGTATTTTATTTCTTTGTAATGAAACTGGCCTTTGTCACAAAGAACACAACCTCGCCAAAGCACATTTTCGTTAATACAGATTTAAGTAAGCCAACTAAAGGTTATCTAAGCGAAGATGCTTCCCAAAGATAACCACCATAGTCCATGTATTTCATTTAACAGGTTAGCGGTTTATACTCTTGTCTCTGGGTCTCTTGGCAAATGGCGAGCTCTGCCGAAATTACTTTGTTGAAATATATCCGTACGTGACATGTAGCTATACATAACTCTAACAAACAGGCGATGCGACCGAACCGTTCGCATTCGAGCCAAACTTGGCTTTAAACCTTGAAATAGCTGACTTGATAAACCAAAAGAAGGGAAATCTGTATGAAGTAACGATGTAAAGGATGTCATGTATATTAATGTGATGTTTGTTTAGTCCACGAGTTGCAGCTTTTGCAATTGTTCGAAAAATCAATGATCGAAACCCGACCGTTGCATATTTAGCTGTTAACGTACGTTAGCAAGAAGCACCAATTACATTATGTTTTAGGTTCTATCGTTGCTTTCATTCATTGTAACTAACAACGTTGTACCCCAGTTACTTGACATCTGTGTGAAGAACTGTGGTTATGCTTTTCATCTACAGATAGCTACCAAGGATTTCCTAAATGAGTTGGTCCGTCGTTTTCCCGAGCATCCGCGGATGGGTATAAACAAGATCCAGCAGCTTATCCTCCGTCTCATTGAGGAGTGGAGACTCACTATCTGCAAGGACAGTCGTTACAAAGACGATTTTGGATTTATTCGTGATATGCACATTCTACTTGGTTATAATGGTTCGATTTGCTGAAGAGTTGCTATTTAAAGTGTATGCCTGCTAACGTCCTTCTAGGATATAAGTTTCCGGAAATCAGCAAAGATGATATTACAGTGTTGTCAGAGAAGAACACTCTAAAAAGTATTGAGGAACTGGAACGTGAAGACAGAGAAGCAATGTCGGCAAAGTTACAAGAGCTCATTCGTAGAGGGACTCCCACTGACCTTGCGGAAGCCAACAAATTGATGAAAATCATGGCTGGTTATGATACTCAACGCAAAAAGGAGTACCGCGACCGTGTTATTGCTAGCCTTGAAAAACTGAAGCGTAAAGCTACCTTGTTTGGTGAGATGCTTGCTGGCATAACAGAAACAGATCAACTCTCCGCTGGTGACGTCTACGACGAACTCGCTACCTCGCTCCAAGAAGCTTCTATTAAACTAGAACGCATTCTTAAGGATGATTTTGAAGATGAGAACGATAAGCAACAAGTTGCATCGCTTTATGAATACGTAACCAATCTTACGAACCAGTATAAGTGTATAAAGAACCGGGACGTCGAAGGCGCTGCCAACTTTCGAAAGACAGCCAATGAGGTTGAGATGGTTTCTGCAAAATCAAATAGTGACCTACTGATTGATCTCAACTTCCAACCGGATACAAACTCAGAAATCAACCATACTACAGATCTTGTTGGCTCTCCTGCTTCTCAAACCGCAACTCCTCCTATCCATCTGTCGAGTTTAGCTCCTTCAGCTTCTTCCCAGCCTTCAGCATTGTCACCCGAACCCACACTTTCTAATATTTTGCATAAATTCGCGTATTTCACGTTACGCTACGCCTCTAAAGAGTTTCAACAAAACAAACTCTCTCTTGTTTTGAAGCTTTCCAATGACTCAACGAAACTCATCGATAATTTCCAGCTCTTCATTGCCGTTCCTAAGGTTAGTTAATCCCGCACCTATTTTGCGCTCACAAGAACAACTACTAACAAAACCTTGTAGGTCTACAAGTTGCAATTAGAACCTCAATCTGGATCAATGCTTCCTGCGGGTGCAGTAGAGGGTATTACACAACAAGTATCTGTATATGGCCCTCTTAATCCCTCTAAGGGTCTTCCCGTTCGACTCAAAGTAACCTATAAAATCGACGGTGTTTTAAAAGAGGAATTCGAACAGTCGGTCATTCCTTTGTAGTTCAAAAACACATTTTTTTCCCTTTTTTCCCGCTTATAGGAGTCTAGGTTAATGCTTTCAACGATACGGGAATATCTCATTCGTTTTGCACACTTCAATTCTTCGCACCTTAGACACTATTCATGAAGAAATCTAGAAAATTGAAATAATCGATTTTTTTGAGTGAGTTATCTCTTACAGTTTAACCAATTTTGACAAAATTTCATTCATTTATTTTCTATTCAAATTGGATACCTACCCACTCATCGACAAAACCGCACATGTCTTGATCAACGCTAGGCAAGCAGTCCATGGCGCAAGTTGCAACCAGAACGGATGTCCATTCGGAGACCATATCATCCAATAACGAAATAGTCTGAGGAACAAGTTGCAATTCAAACACTCTGGGCGAATTACAATGCCGACAATTTGGAAAAGGGTTTTTATTACCATTTAAAGCAGAACGAATAGAGGAACCAAGTTGATCTCGGAAAGAAGACAACAACGCTGCTCCCCCACGTTCGTAACGAACACACTGCTGAGGATTGAATGCAATGCGCTCTGTAAATTGACGGAATGCCTTTTCGAATACCGCTGGAGACTTCTCGTAACCTTCCTGGCCCCAATCACTAGGATCAGCTGTCGCATCCAACATTAGTTGCTTCTCCTTTTTAGATTTTCCTTGTTGCTTTATAGGAATCACTTCTTTGTCGAAAGCGATATAGGTACCCGGAAATTGTGGGATTTCTTCCGGATAAGTAAACGAATTAGTAAAACGCGTGCGCTTCGCTGACTGTGTTTCATGTACAACCACAGGATCCTTTTTCGTAGCATGTTTAGCAGCAATCTGACTAAACGGTGTCTTCTGTGATGTAGATGACAAAAATGGATTACTGAGCTGCTGAGTGCTAGAAGAGCAAAAGGGATTGGCAAACTCCGTAGCATTGGACGAAGGTGCAGAAAACGGATTTACAAAGGTTGGTTTCTGAGCGACATTGGTACTCAAATCCTTCGTTTTCTGAGGCGATTCTTTCGTTTCTTGCTCAGTATTTTTAAGAAGCCTTTCCCCTCGAAGGCAACGTACACCCTCAGGATTTCGTTTACATGAAGCATTGTGACACATCCAAATGTACAAAGCCCGTTCTTTCGTATCATCTCCTTCAAGGGGTGAATAGCACTGAAGCACGAACTGCATGTACTCTTTACAACGTCCACAACGCAGCAACTCCGGATTGCACGAATGTTGGCCAAAAAAGACCTAGAGCGGAATTAGTCAGCCATGATTTCTTGTTTAACATAATTACTGCTGCCTTTGTTTGAAGCAGAGTGTACTTACTGGTGAACCTCCGAGGAATGATGAATACGCATCAGGTGCCTCAGAGTCACATAATTTAGCATCAGGGAATCCGAGCCATGTCTGTGTAGTGTATGACCGTCCGCTAGACATCGGGCACCGATGTAAATCAATATTTCAAAGTTCACAGATTCGGCTACGTTCTCTTCAGGTAAGTCCACAGTTGGGAGTCACGTTGATTTAAGAACAATAAAGTTTTTACATAAGCGAGAATGACGTAAGTCATTGATCGTTGAGGATGTAAACAGAAATAACATGCTGTGGAATGTTGAATCCGAATAATGAAACACACCACATGACGATAAAGAACGGTATGGGAGAAAGAAGGTAATGTGTGTTCTTTAAAAATGGGAGAACTGAAATGTTAGACCACAACATTGATTGGAAAAACAAACCTTGGTAACCCAAAAACGTTAGATAAAAGTAATAACATATAGCCAACAGATACAGAGTATTCCCAAAGTATAACGAAATCCTGCTCGATGGTCAATTTTTTTGGTCTGTAGTCATAATTACCCTTACCATTTATCTTGAAGAAAAAATGGAGCCATAAACAATTGAATCGTGTATATGAAAACAAAAACGGGGAAAAACGCGTTAAAATGCACATCAAGGCAATAACCCCATTCAATTGTTCCATTTGTTCCATCTGATAGAGAGCTACGCGACATCTCCCTGTCAAAAAATACAAAACGCGCTAATAAATATCCGACTGATGCCAATAAGGCGCCAACAACTAATAAATCAACAGTTACCATGAAAAATGCGAGTGAAAAGGCTTCCCGAACTGATCTGGCATAAACAAGGCCCCATAATATTCCACTTAATGCCATTAGTAGGCCGAAAACGATTATAAACGCTGGATCATCCCGGACATAACGATTCGTTGTTTCTGATAAACACGTTAAAAAGGCTGATTTGTGTGCATTGTAAGTGACACATACGTTTCTGCTAAATTAGTTTATGCATCGCAACTTATTGCACGTACATGAAGAACAATTGACCGAAAAACTTTTCGCGGAGCGCGCACTAAATTGCCCATTTCCCAGAATGCCTTCTCAAAATCCTAGAAAATGAGAAAATTGTCCATAATACGGATACATACAAGTTGAGAAAGCCTCAAAAACCGCAATTTATGGCGGATACTCCCATACATTTTGCGTGAATGGTATATGCAGTGAGTAGCAAGCAAACCAGCCGCTTTACGTTATCACGGATACGACGTCATATATAAATAAAGTTAAGTTATAGTATATCTAACCGATCGTTTATGAAAACTTTAAAATGGCGTCAAACAATTTAGAAAACAGAATTTACAGGATTAGAGAAGGAGGACGACACTAGAATAAAGTGCACAATTCACATTCATATCTGTGACACCCAATTTATCATCATTAAACATTCATTGTCATGTAATTAACTTAAGTCATAATAAGAGTCATAATCACTTTTCATAAAAGTCTCTGGCCTGTCTGCGCTTTGTAAGTTTCCCTTCAATCTGGGTTAATTCAATATCCAATTTCTTTAGTGCTTGTCGTTGTCGGTAATTGCAACCCTCCCAGGAAGCTATACACATTCCAACGTATGTAAAAAAGGCCCAGTTCAAGGCCACCGATTTTCTTGCTAGTTCGAGTGTGAGTAAGGTAAATAGATGGAAAAATACAAATAACAAATGAAGGCTATGATTTAATAGCAATATTTGGTTTACCTTTTAACATCAACTGAATTCCTCCAACTCCGAGGCCAGTTGTTGCTCCAACAATTTGAGATTGCTTGAAACACGGTTCTCGTACAAGATGTTTAAAGTCATTACGAGATACAGACTACCGGTTAGAATTTTTCACTAAAGGAATTTCGCCTATTGATAACACAAAATGCAAACAATTGACGAATTGAATTGTCTTACTGTTAGAGTTTTCCACAAAGCGCTAAAAACAGAACTTTGCTGATCCTTAGAATCCATGTTTGCGAGAGGTTCCTTTAAAACAAAAGAACACAATTCGGATAGAATAGATTTTAGCGTCTGTATTATTACTTCTTCCTTTGGTGTAATGTACGTTTAAAATTCAACACACAGTGTATACGAATGTGTTAAATATATGTACACTGAAAAGTAAACCCACAAAAACGAAGCACTTTAGCAGTTACTGATCACAATTCGTTAGTTATAACGTTTTTTCTACATGCAAAGAGTTGGATTTGGATTTTGGAGTGAGAGCTTTACTAATTATTCCCTCCACCATTTCTTACCTCAATAATTGAATAGTTTGGGGAAAAGGTGATGGCTCCTAATTTCTCTGGTAAACAGCGGTCTTTTCGACCTGCTGGATCCCAATCGAGAAATTGGAACAGTGCAGTTACGGCAAAAGCAAATGAGGAAGTCGTCTTGGAAAATATATGGAATGAAATTCAGTCAAAAAATGAAATTGACACAAAAATGGGCTTTGACAATATTGAGGCTGGACCTCCTCGTATTGGTTGGCTTCTTAACGTTCATCCAACGAGTGTTCCTTCAGATGATAATGCCAACGGGAAAAGTGCCATTGCACTTTACTTCATTCAGGAAGACGGTGAGACATTTCGCGTAACCGTTCCCTATCGTCCTTATTTATATGTCTCAACGAAAGAGGGGAAAGAGGCAGAAGTGGAAGACTATCTAAAGAAGGCTTTTCCAAATCTTATTAAAGACTGTAAACATGTGTACAAAGATGACCTTAAACTTGTTAATCACCTTGTTGGTTATCAGAAACTTTTTGTACAACTGTTCTTTGATAACCAGATGGATTTGTTTACCGTTCGCAGACTTGTTTTGAGCGCCAGCAGAACAAACGAAAATCGCCGAGAGGCTACCAATACGTATGCAGACATTTTCGAAACAAAAGACAACAAGGATGAAAGCACAAATGCGGATGCTCCACTGGACTATATCTTGGATGTCCGGGAATATGACGTCCCTTATCATTCTCGGTCATTAATCGATTTAAATGTTCGTGTGGGACAATGGTTCAATGTTTCATTCAAACATGGAGAGCCAAGTATCACTTTGGATGAGTCTAGAATTGAACGTGCCGAACCCGTCATCATGGCTTTTGATATTGAGACGACGAAGTCACCATTAAAGTTTCCTGACAGCACTTTTGACCAAGTCATGATGATTTCTTACATGATTGACGGCCAAGGTTTTCTTATAACAAATCGGGAAATTATCTCGGAGGATATTCAGGATTTTGAATATACACCTAAACCAGAGTTCGAAGGTCCCTTTGTTATCTTTAATGAAGAGAATGAAATGGCTCTTCTTCAACGGTTTTTTCGTCATATACGCTCCGCAAAGCCATCAATTATCGTCACGTATAACGGTGACTTCTTCGATTGGCCGTTTGTTGATGCCAGAGCATCTTGCCATGGAATGGATATGTTTCAGGAAATTGGTTTTAGTAAAGATCAGGAGGATGAATATAAAAGCACATACTGTGCTCATATGGATGCTTTCCGCTGGGTTAAACGAGACAGTTATCTTCCCCAAGGAAGTCAAGGTTTGAAAGCGGTGACAGTCGCCAAACTTGGTTATGATCCCATTGAATTAGACCCCGAATTGATGACTATTTATGCCTCAGAAAAACCCCAAGTCCTCGCTCAATATTCCGTTTCTGATGCCGTCGCTACATACTATTTGTACATGAAGTACGTTCACCCCTTCATCTTTTCCCTATGTAACATCATTCCACTGAACCCAGACGAAGTTCTACGTAAAGGAACGGGTACTCTTTGTGAAACACTATTAACCGTACAAGCTTGTACGCGAAACATCGTTTTACCTAACAAACATGTTGATCCACTTGAAAAGTTTTTCGATGGACATCTACTTGCGAGTGAAACTTACGTTGGAGGGCACGTCGAAAGTCTTGAAAGTGGTGTCTTTCGTGCTGATATACCCACCGATTTTCATCTAGATCCCAATGTGTATCAAGAATTACTGGATCAACTTGATTCCGCCCTCCATTTTTCTATTACAATAGAAAACAAAAAAAACATGGAAGATATTAGCAATTACGACGAAAGTAAAAGCCGGAATTGTTGAGAAACTTACAGCTCTGCGCGACTCTCCCACTCGCAAGGAAAATCCAAGAATTTACCATCTGGATGTTGCTTCCATGTATCCTAATATTATGATCACTAATCGTTTGCAGCCCGATTCTATTAAGGATGAATCGTTTTGTGCTTCTTGCGACTTAAATGTTCCTGGAAAAACCTGCGACAGAAAGATGATTTGGGCTTGGAGAGGAGAATACTATCCACCAAAAAGAAATGAATATAATATGATTCGGAATGCACTACAATCTGAAGTTTTTCCTCCTAAGTTTAAGAACGGTCCTCCTCGTTCGTTTGACGATCTTAGTCCCCCAGAACAAGCCGAACGTATACAAAAAAGATTATCGGATTACAGCAAAAAGGTATATCACAAGCTTTATGACAATACTATTATAAACAAGGAGACTGTTATTTGTCAAAAGGAAAACTCATTTTACATTGATACCGTCAAAAGCTTCAGAGACAGACGTTATGACTTCAAAGGATTGCAAAAGAAATGGGGAAAGATTCTCGCGGAGCGTCAAAAAGGAGGAACTCTTTCTGGAATTGAAGAAGCCAAAAAAATGATTGTTTTATATAACTCACTCCAACTTGCACATAAGGTTATTCTTAATTCGTTCTATGGTTATGTGATGCGAAAAGGTTCACGCTGGTATTCTATTGAGATGGCAGGTATAACTTGTTTAACGGGTGCTACTATTATTCAAATGGCTCGTCAGATCGTTGAACGAGCTGGCCGTCCTCTAGAATTGGATACTGATGGTATTTGGTGTATTCTGCCTGAATCATTTCCTGAAAACTTTACGCTCAAGACTAAGACTGGCGGAAAGTTTACTGTTTCATATCCTTGTGTGATGTTAAATCATCTAGTTCATGAAAAGTTTACTAATCACCAATTTTCTGTTTTAAAGAATGCCGAAACATTGGAGTATGAAACGTTCAGTGAAAACAGTATTTTTTTCGAAGTTGATGGTCCCTATAGAGCTATGGTTCTTCCAGCTTCAAAGGAAGAAGGAAAAAACTTGAAAAAACGTTACGCCGTATTTAACTTTGACGGCTCTTTGGCAGAATTGAAGGGTTTTGAAATTAAAAGACGAGGAGAGCTAAAACTTATTAAGACATTTCAGGCTCAAATCTTTAAAGTGTTTCTTCAGGGAAAGACATTAGAGGAATGCTATGCCGAAGTTGCAAAAGTAGCCGATAATTGGTTAGAGGTTCTTTTCAGCAAAGGTTCATCTGTTGACGATGACGAGCTTTTTGATTTAATTTCGGAAAATCGAAGCATGACCAAAACCCTCAAAGAGTACGGTAACCAGAAATCAACTTCTATCACTACGGCTCGACGGTTAGCAGAATTTTTAGGGGAGCAAATGGTTAAAGATCGAGGTCTAGCTTGTAAGTTTATTATTTCGTCTCAACCAAGAGGAAGCCCCGTTGCTGAAAGGGCAATACCCGTTGCAATTTTTTCCGCCGAAGAAGGCGTTAAAAAAATATTACTTACGCAGTTGGTTGAAGGATTTCGGAAGAGACTCTTTTGACATTCGGTCCATTCTCGATTGGGATTATTATTTAGAACGATTGGGATCTGTCGTTCAGAAACTTATCAGCATTCCAGCCGTGTTACAAAGGATTGCTAACCCCGTCCCTCGGATACCCCTGCCTAATTGGTTGTTTAAACGAGTAGCTGAACAGAATTCTAAATTTCAGCAAGTGAAGCTTGAGTCATTCTTGTCAAAACAAAAGGTTGAAGATAAAAACAAGCCCGTAATTAATGACATAGAGGATATCTTATCTCCTGCGAAAGCACATGTTTCTCCTATTGCCATAGTTAAGAAAAGAAAAGCCGTTCACTCTGCCACTGAGGCACCTTTGACTTTTAAGGAGACCTTCGTTCCTATAAATGAAGACTATAGACACTGGCTTGTATACGCAAAAAAGAAATGGGCATTCCAAAAGCAAGTTAGAGATCGAAGACGAACCATTATTGGACATTCGAATTCTATTAGTGGTGCGTTTCAATCTTCGATGGAGGAATTAATTAACAATACATGGCATATTCTTCAGATTAGACCAACAGATGTCCCTGGTCTTCTCCTTGCTTGGATTGTTGTCAACAAACGGCTCACATCCGTTAAGTTGAAGGTTCATCGAAAATTCTATGTGAACTTTAAGACTAATGACTTACCTGAAGTTGAAATTGAAGGCTGTGTTATTGAAAAGAGCAACTGCATTTTGCCCCACGGAAAGCCAACGAATAATCTTTTTTCTTTGATCATACCAGAGAAAATCTACCAAAGTGAATGCGACTGTCTCTCATTAATATTTTCACATAATTCAGTTGAGGTGTGTACGAAAGAGGAATATCACCTGTCGAACGTGCCGTCCTTGAACTGGGCTACGTGTAGACTTAATGGCACTGTTTCAGGTGCTTTTGGAGAAGCACTAGAAACAGGTTTCCTCACATCAATGCTCAATCAAAGCGAAGATGACTATTTGGCCGATATTGACGTCAAATATGTTTATCTTTTCCATGCAAGTTTTGACAATAAGATGATGGTAGGATTATTTTACCCTCATTTAAGTTCAGCGGATATCATTATTGTTGACAAACACACTACTGATCACAGTTTCCCTCCATTAAAAAAACTGTATGAAGAGGCTTTACCTTCATACAAACAAAGTGAAGCACCGAGTTGCATCAAGTACGGTGATACTATAGAAGCAGGTGTTTCTTTTTGCAATTCCCCCAAACAGATGTATAAGAGTTTAACTGATAAGCTTAGCAAGTTTGTTTCTTCTAAATTAGGTGTTTGCACCTTAATTTTGGAAACATCTGAGGCATTCATTCTAAAGAAAAACTTGAAAATCCTTGACGATATTCCGTTCGCCGTGATTGAGCGACATGACACCGCCAACATGTCATTTTCTTGGAAGTCAACTTATGCGAAAATGATGATCCGACACTATCTTGGCATTGGTCCATGGATTACTCACCAACGGCAGTTAGCTGCATACGCAAGTATCCCTTTCTGTAACTTTGAAAAAGATAACATGCAGTACCTTTTGGACATTGAATATGCACGCCGCTTAACTGAGAAACAAATTATTCTCTGGTGGAACAAAAATCCATTACCAGATCTGGGTGGTTTAGAACATGATGATATTCTTCATTTAACAAGTCCAAGTGATAATTTTGAATTGAACTACTCCGGAGCATATGCCAATGCTTCTGTTGATATTCATATCTCTAATTTGGCCATGTGCAGTATCCTTAACTCTGCCATTGTAAACGATGCAGAAGGCGTTGAGGATTTCAGTGCATTAGATGACTCATATCTTGCTAGTGATTCTGGAAATCTGGAAGCAAGGTTCGGAGCTAGTGAGAATTTTGGTCTTACATATTCCCTGCCAATCTTAAAAGACCTTGTGAAAGAGCTATGGCTTGAAGCGGGCAAGGGCGATCTCATTGCTGACCTCATTATTCAGCACCTTGTTCGCTGGGTTCAACAAACAGATGCCCACATGTATGATCCGGTTCTGGTTACGCATGTTCGTTTGTTAATGAGAAAAACATTTTTGCAGCTTCTGGCAGAGTTTAGAAGATTCGGTGTGCATGTGGTTTACGCTAACGCGAAAAGAGTGCTCATATCAACTAAAAAGCCTGCTATTCAAACTGCTGCATCGTTCGCAAATTATGTTCTAAAAACCATAAAGAGCTTGCCCTTGTTCCACTTTGTCGACTTTACCATCCGCGAATACTGGGACTATTTACTATGGATGGATCCCTTCAATTACGGTGGAAAAGCATGCATCCCAGAAAGTCTTGCCCAAACAAATTGCGTTCTTCAAACAACCGTTTCTTGGCATATCAAAAAACACTTGCCTTCTTCCATGCAAAATGAGTTCCAAAATTGGATTATTGAGTTTGTTGAAGAAATTCACAAACTGAAAATGGAGAAAAACGAAGAACAAAAACTTAGAGTTCGTGTCCGGAACAACAATGAAGATGTTGAGGAGGAAATACTTGGGGCAGGACTCATTAAACGAAAATTTCTCGCACCTTTGGAGCGACAAATTTCTCAGTTTCAGCATCAATACCAAAAGTCGCTCTTAAATTCGGATGTTGATGTTGACTTTTCTATTCCACAATTACCAGGCACACATCTCTCTCCAAAAAACCCAGTGCTGGAATTTGCCAAAAGCATATGTACTGTATTTAATCTTGCTGGAAATCTTTCATTAGAAGTTCGAGCTTTACAGAAAAGTCTGTACTCCATCCTCAATGTTCGCGATTTCTCAAAAGATACCGAGTTTATCTATCCAAGTAAAAGGCTGCAATTAGAACAAGTGCCTTGCAAACACTGCGGTAATAGTCAAGATTTTGATCTCTGCCTCAACGAGGAGCTTTGGCCGGAGCGAACAGAGTCTGGTCAACTTCAGTTTTCAACCGGTTGGCACTGTACCATCTGTAACCTTGAATACGATAGATGGGCATTTGAAGAAATGTTAGTCGAGGTGTTACAAAAGCAACTACTGAAGTTCCAAGTCCAAGACTTCCACTGTGCGAAGTGCGGAAACATTCGCACATCGCCTTTCAAAAGTCTGTGCTCATGTTCGGGAGCATGGAAGATGAGCTATCCCCAAGAGAAGTTTCTTGACCTACTGTCTGTGTATAGAAATATTGCCGAGTACTACGAGTTTACCATGCTAAAAGCGATGGTTAGTACGATTGACCAATCCATCTCATAGTCTGAAACCATACTGGTTTTGGGAATAATGGCAAGTATGATCGACCGTTCTATACCTTAAAGAGTCCAAGCTTTGTTCTTCAGTTTTTTATTTGTTACGAGTCTAATGAATTGTATATTACGGTAAACAAACAAAGGTTTCAAGAATCCTAATGAAAAGATACTCGCACACAACTATTCTTTGCACAAAAGGACGCGTTTGAGCCACTTATTGCTATTTATGAAAGGGTTCAAACTTTCGCTTACAAGCGAATTTAAATACCTTAATAACATTTATTCAATAGAAACATAACAGAACAGGGGAGGTAAATAAACATTTACAGTACGAGAGACCTATTTCGCAGTATTTATTTAATTAACAATAATGAATTTCATAGTTCAATTTCTCATCGGGCTCGAAACGGCTTATTTTACCACTCTGCTACTTGAAACAATTTTTCTTGCGGTCTTACAGCGTCTCTAGGCACAAAATGCCGCAACATAAAGAGTTTGCTGCCAAAAATCTCGTCATCTTAATTGTCCAAGCTAATAGCAATGCATCTTAAAACGTGTGAACTTTTCGAACCCAGCGAACTCTTGTGTCATACCGTTGGTCCGACCCTAGTCTCACATTTGCCATCAGAAGGAACTTTTCTTCCTCCACTTCCTCAACAGCAATTGACGATTATAAGAACGCGAATATCCATAAGAACACGGTCCTTACACATCAATTGTGTTATTTTGTATCATTTTTGAAATTCTGACTTGAACTCGGAATCAAAACATATGTCGGCTCCTATTATGGACTTAGGATCAGATTTAAGGCAATCCTATGTTAATGAAACAGACTTAGACGACTTTCGTAACTACACTTCACAGCATCAGTCGGAAAGAGACAAGCGAATTGAATACATTGAAGCTCAACATGACTGGAATCCAATTAATGAACGCGTTCAACGATTTAGTGGACGGCAACGAAGGGACGAAAAGCGTGAAGGATTCACGTATCCTTTACTTCGATGGCCATTGATGTTGTTTTCCTTGATATCATTAGTAATTACTGGATCTCTGTACATATTTACTCGCTTGTTTATTAGCATTCACGAAAATGTCTTCATTTGGAGAGGCGAAGCTGAACGTTTAAGAAAGCGACTTAACAAGTCTACCAGTTATGAAGAGTGGAAAACAAATGCGATTGCTTTAGACAAGTACTTGGGTCATGACGAATGGTTTGACGACCCAAAGTTCGCGTATTACGACTATACATTAGTCGGAACCGTACTCTCCAACATCCGTAAACACAGGAAAGAAAAGAATTGGGAGGCACTGAAGTCAACTTTGGACGTCTGTGTCCGTAGCAATTTTGCAGGCTTGGATAGTCCTATGCTGTACTCCCAGACTTACTATGGCACCAAAAAACTTGTAGACGAGTTTTACACGGAAGTTACAGAGTGTTTACAGCTGCTGCTTACAGAGAACGTTTTTGACGAGTACGAGTCACGGCGTGTTTTCCAGTACTTTGCCCGGAATTTTGGACGAACGGCATTGTGTTTGTCGGGCGGTGCCAGTTTTTCTTTCTATCATTTGGGCGTTGTTCGTGCACTTTTGGACGAAAATCTCCTTCCCAGTGTGATTACTGGTACGAGCGGTGGTGGCCTTGTTGCTGCTTTATTATGTACGCGAACGAATGAAGAGTTAAAAGAGATAATTGTGCCTCAAATGGCTTCCCATTTCGAGTCGCAAATGGGGAACTTTATGGATACAATTGTTCGGTACGTTAAAACAGGCGCTCGTTTTAGTGAAGTAGCTTGGGCTCGAACCTGTATGTGGTTTACCCGTGGAAGTATGACTTTCGCTGAAGCCTATGAGCGCACAGGTCGTATTCTCAATATCACTGTCGTTCCAAGCGATGTCCATTCGCCGCCCAAAATTATCAACTATCTGACAGCTCCCAATACAATCATTTGGAGTGCTGTCATTGCTAGTTGTGCCGTCCCCGGGATTCTACGACCAGTACCTTTAATGACACGTTCGGTTGATGGCAAGCTTATACCATACAATTTTGGCAATCGCTGGAGAGATGGAAGTCTGCGTACAGATATACCGCTCGCAGAACTTCGAACCCAGTTCAATGTTCACTACTCCATTGTCAGCCAAACGAATCCCCATATTCAAATTTTCTTTTTCTCTCCTCGTGGCGCTATAGGCAGACCTGTCTCCCATCGCAAAGGTCAGGGCTGGCGAGGTGGTTATTTGGGAAGTGCCTTGGAGCAGTATTTGAAGTTTGAAATGATTAAATGGCTTCATGTTGTACGCAGTCTGGAACTTTTGCCGCGCCCTTTCGGTCAAGACTGGAGCAACGTCTTCTTACAGCGTTTTGAGGGAACTGTTACGATTTGGCCTAAGACTCTGTTGTCCGACTTTTATTACATTTTGGATCCTCCTACTGAGCAACGTCTCGGTCGAATGATTCTCGCTGGTAAACGCGCTTCTTTTCCCAAACTCAAATTTATTTCCTATCGTATGGAAGTTGAAAAGCTAATTGAGCAAGGACGCGCCAAATATGACGCTACTGAGCTAGGCACCGCTGCAGATGGTGATGTTGGAACAGTATTGTCCACTGAAGATGTTCGAGTCAGCAAAGAATCTGCGGACATTCAACCTGTCGATGTTTCTTACATGGCAGATTGATGTGCTACCGTTCATCTGAAGTGAATGTGTGTTCACCGTATATGAGATGACACCCTGTATGTTTTGAAAATGACCAATGTAATTTTATGAATGAAGCTATTTACAAGCACCCAATTTAATTAAATAGTAAATCACACAGCTTTTAGTAGATTTGGTGGAAAACTACTTTGCCTTCTCGTCCTCAATAACCTCCTGGGCGATGCGGAGGCATTTAGAAATTACAACGTTACGATCCCAAGTACTCCGAGTGTCCCATATAACTTTGTAAAGCGATGCATGTAACCGCTCAAGCTGATCAACGGTGTAGTTTTCGGTGCTTGAGATCAGCTGCTCCCGGAGCTCACTTAACTTTTGTTTGTCTAAATGCAGCTGCATTTCTTCCGCTTTCACCTCCTCCGCAACGTCTGGTTCCAACGGGACAGCTGTAGGTACGTCGACAGTTTCGTCTTTTTCGGTAGGAACCCTTAATTCTTGAGGAACAGAAGGAGGCTCCTTTGACGCAATTACCTTTGGAATCAGTTCATAAGGGTCTTTCTGCAGTTGCATGTGTATTTTCATGACAGTATTCGGCGAATCGAGCTGCATGTCCTCCTCTTCCTGTAAAACAGGTGTGTGAACAACCGAAGCGGCTGCTAGTGCGGCCTCATTTGCTTCTTTTAATTCCTCCAGGCGAAGTCTCTCATCAAGCTTCTTTTGGCGAATGCGCCTCCGTTCAGCTTCACGGACAGCCATCCGCTCACAATCTTGAAAGAAATGGCCATCCTCCATATCTTCAAGGGCAAACTGAACGTTGGTGTACATTTCTTGTGCGCGCTTTTTCGTTTCGAGGTCCCCAAGCTTAAGGGCATCCTTGAGAATAAGTCTGATGTCTTTAAGAAATTCAAGAGGAGTGCAATAACTGTTATCCCAAACACGTTTCTCCACTTCCTCTAAACTCATCATGCTAAACGTTTCTGAAGTGCCAATACGACGCACTTGGTCGTCAACCAATTCAAAATTACAATCATCTCGCGAAACCTGAGCGTCACCTGTTTCCGGATCGACGAAATGTATATCACTGAAGTCGATAAGTGGTTTCCGAAATTTTCTATAACGAGGCTTCAAGCTTCCCAGCAGCGCATTAAGTTTAATTTTCAGTTTGTTAAGAAGACGCATATCGTTATGTTTTGTTTGCTTTAATTGGTTCTTCTCCGGAGTTGCATCAACAACAACAGGCGCAATTGGCAATTCTGGAAGTGTCCGTTTTTTCCGCGGCACGCCATCTGGTAATTCAGTGGGAGGTTTCGCAATAAGGTCAATTACTGCCTGAAAGAAGAGTTTTAGGCTTCGCTTAGATGGCCGCTGTAATTCAAATACAGAACGTTTATGGGGAAACCATTCAAGAAGCAAAGGATGACAAGAGGCCAGAGGCACCCAAGAAATAGCGAGAAATAAGACTGGATCTGAAGGTGCTAAACTTTCAAGCAGAGAAGAAAACGTCGCAATCGCGCTTTCCGGCAGTACATTAAGCCAACTGTCAATGTCCGAAATATAAATAACACCAGGTGTATGCCGCCTAACTTCTGCGAATAACTGAATAATAGTACTCTCCAAACTTTGATTGGAGTCTTGTAGAAGGGTAGACAAGTCAAAGGATTGCACGTGTACACCTTCAAAGTATTGGAGAATGGCAGGTCCCAAGTCAACCTGGCCTAAACCTTTCTCACCACAGATTAAGAGACGAGGTCGATAAACACGTAAAGTTTCCAAGTCGTCCAATCTCTGCTGATATTCGAAGCTATCATCACAAGGATCATCGTACATTGCTTCCTCCATAATATTAACCTTTTTTGGAAGTGGCATTATATGATGTAGGGTGCGTAAAATTGACTTTAGTGTTTGTCCTAACAATACTTCCAATTCAGCAGGCAGGGGCTTATTACCTGAAATTGCAGAACGTTGTGAAGACGGCACAATCCGCTTCATGGAGAGGACAAAGTCCTTAACCTTAACTTGTATTGATTTTGGATCAAGAAGTAATTTTTGTGAACTGCTATAAATCTGAGGGAATGTACGCTTCACAGCATTAAGAGCCGCCTCAGTGCATAAAGCTCTCAAATCAGCGCCTCCATACCCTTTAGTTTTCTGAGCAAGCAAGTCACATAAGTTCGGGTCCAAGGGAGGGTCCCAATTCTTTGTGTGAATTTTAATAATGGATTTCCGAGCTTCTAAGTCGGGCAAAGGAAAGTAAAATTCACGATCAAAACGACCTGGTCGTCGTAAGGCAGGATCTACTGCATCTGGGCGGTTTGTGGCGCCAATCACAATGACCTGTCCTCGACCATCCATACCATCCATCAACGCTAATAAAGTTGAAACAATAGACGCATGGATTTGTTCCTGTTTACTACTTCGCACTGGAGCCAAACCGTCAATCTCATCGAAAAAGATGATACTAGGTTGAGTGTTTCTCGCTTCTTCAAACAGTAACCTTAATTGCCGTTCTGCCTCACCAATCCATTTGCTAAGACAGTCGGCACCTTTCCGCATATAAAACGAGATTTTCTTTCCTTCAGTAGAACATGTGGCCGCCAACGCACGCGCCATCAGCGTTTTTCCTGTACCAGGCGGTCCATGGAAAAGAACACCACGAGGAGGCTTCAGATTAAAACGAAGAAACACTTCGGGATACAGTAATGGGAGCATTACCATTTCTTTCAATTGATTGATGTGATTATCCAAACCCCCAACGGAATCAAACGAGATAGATTTGTCGACCCCCAAAGGATCCAAGTCTGCCAAATCCTTCGTATTGTTCACCTGACCGAAATTTGCTGGACCGCCCGCGGAATTTGGATCCTCTAAAGCCTTTATGCCCGAATCACCACCAACTTGTTTTCCAATAATACCTTCATCATCGGAATCGCTGAAAAAGTCCAGGTCAACGGGATTGTTCACCTGTTTCTGTAATAAGCGTATCACCACATGCTCAGCTGCCGTTTTTTTGCGATTTGAATTGGAGGTTGTGGTGTTGTTCAACTGATCCAATTCATCTGGTCCATAATCGGGTGCTGGCAGTCTATAATCTGGTCGGGATTTGCGTTTCCGCAAAGTTGGGCGATGCTCCTCTTCCTCTTCTTCCTCACCATTCGCATGTTGCCGGTTACGAAGTCGAGCGGAACGTCGCGTACCCGTTTGCTCTTCAGAAGAAAATTCCTCCGATTCAAGACTTGTTAGTTCGGACTCTGTGTCCACAAACGAAGCATTGCTAGAGTCTTCTTCATAATTGTCATTGTCACCATAGCTGACACTGGAACGATGACTTCTTCGAGTTTGAGTTTCATAATACTCCTCGTCTTCATCATCTTCATCTTTCACCACAGAGCGACGTGCACGCTTTGAGGGACGAGAGTTGCTTTGTCGCCGCCGCCGCCGGTGGTTCACAGGCTCAAAATCCGGATCATCGCTGTTGTCATCTTTCACTTCAACATCATCCTCTAACTCGCTTTCCTTTTCGCCGGAAGGCATGGACTCCAAATAAGCCGAAGGCTGTTCGGTGAAGTTGTTATCCTCAATTTGAGCGCTCTGCTCACCTTCATCGGCAACATTCTCAGACTCTTCATCAGACGGTTCCATCGGCATATCAGAAGCTGCCTCTAATTCCGCATGCTCTAATGAATCAAGGTAACGTTGTTTTGCGCCAGAATCCTTGAAGCAGATTCTCACAGGATGCCTTTTCCAAAGATAGGGGTTTGTGAAATCAGCGCCGGGTTTGTTAAGAGAGTCGGAAAAGGGCGGGAACGGAGGTCCCCGGTTTTCTGAAAAAGCAGACACTTTTGTAATTGACTAGGGAAAGAGAGAACGCGTCCACTATCAGTTGGTCAATAATGTTTTAGCCAACCACTGCACTTGACCAAAAGTAAATGATGGCAATGGGTATAATATACGGTGAACGAATCACTGCTCTGTCGTAAACCTTTTTTTATGAATTGTCGCTATTGCTGAAGCGTTTTAATTAACCGCCACGAGCGAAATCTATTTTCTAGAGAATAGACCAAGGAAAAATAAACTTGCAACTTCCTAAGCGTTATGAGATGTACGAACTGCCGCAAGTTCGCGCTTTATCCCCAGATTCAGTGAAGATACACTGAAAACGTTCGTCGCCAAAACAAAGTCAGAGGCCAAATGTTCCGTACGATTAAAGAGTAATATTTAGCACTGGAACCCTTATCGAAGCCGTAATTCCTGCCCTTCTAGTAGCGGAACTTGCAGGTGAATGGGAAAATGATGGTGTTGGCAAACTCGGCTGAACTGTGTGGTCAGCACCACGTTTGGTGGTATGAGTCAGTAGAGTCGCCCACCAATACTGAAATAGACATCCTTAAAAGGTCGTTCTCATTGACGCGACGAAAAAAAAAAGAAATCCTGTTTTATAAAGGAAATGCAAAACATTAGAGACTACATGTCAATGATCCGTTTCCATGAGAAATGAAAAAGTATTGCTCCGTCTGACAATTTAGCCTGCGGTGATCATCTTCAAGTTTTCAGTCAGCCATTATAGGTGTTTGGTTTTTGGTAGGTTCAGCTCAGCTTGAGACGTCTAGTTATTACAATTTTGCCAAAACCTGTTTTTTGAGATATATATTTTTTTTGTTAATACGGTTCAACAATGACACTAAGTGTATGTAGCATTATATATTCACGTTTTATCATGAAGAAGAACTATAAATCTTGCTCTTTTTGAGAGGGAAAACCTGCTTTTCGACTTTTTGTACGTTGAAGTACAGTAAACTTCACTATGTCATTTAACGAATACTCTTGAGTGTTAAAGCAATACTTTACAGTTCATTGCGTTCTCATAAATGTGTTTAGTGAACTTTAACACCTTATAAAGAAGCACCTTATCGTGCACTACATTTCGTTAAGTGTAATAGCGGGGCTTAATGAAACTTACGAGAGCCTACAGCAGTGCTTTGCACCACAGTAAAATTAATAACGTAAAATACAGAAGTGGTAGGTAGTTCGTTTTGTTTCACTAAATGAGTTAATGAAGTACAACGTGCTTTACTGATGTAAGCTTACAGCACGTTATAATGCAGTATAATAAATACTGCACATCTTTAGAATGCATTATTAAAAATACCGAATTTCTTTGCAACACAAAGTATTTCCTAGTAGTTCGTTAAATTGCACTATTTAAAATAGCATACTGCATAGTAGTGCATTGTACTATTAACGGCCATTTAAAAACTCCTTATAGTACTTTACCGTTATTTAAAGCACCGCGTTATTTGCCATATTGTTCTTTCCACCTGGCAACATAAAGTTGCCCTCTACAACATGGCAATGTTGACTGTATTAGTTGATGGTCCTCATCACATTGGCCGAAACTGCATAAACCTGCATGATGATGCTCTGGTTTCCGATGTGCAGCAGCAGCTGTATGGCAATTGTGAGTTAGATGCTTATTGGACGTGCCAAAGTCATATACTCGAAAAAACAGACGCGTTGAAAAAATGGGCAGCTCCTAATTGCTCTTTTATAACGCTCTCTCTGCGACCTCGTGTCCGCGGTGGAAAAGGTGGTTTCGGCAGTCAATTACGAGCAGCTGGTGGCCGAATGTCACGAAAACGCGGCGAACAAGAAAATCTTGACTCCTGTCGTGATTTGCAAGGCAGACGGTTAGGTCAAGTTCGACAAGCAAAGGAACTTGCGGAATATTTAGCTAAGAAGCCTGCGGAAACACGGGCTGCTCGATTGGCCAAAAAGGAAAAGCTTGCAAAAGTTTTGAATGCTCAAGGACCCATTACTCGTTACGATGAGCACGAGTTTTTTGAAGAGTGTGAGGCTTCCAAAAGTGATGTCCGCAAAGCTTTAGAAGAAACGTTTGACTCTGTATGCTCTACGAACGAACTCATTGGCAGTGGTGAAGGCAGCAGCAGTTCTTCGCCTATTATGCATAGTACGGTGATCCCATTCCCTTTGGCGGCTCTACCTTCTTCTAACACCGTTGTTCAAACACCCAGTTCCAGCAACAGTAAGCTTTCTTCACAAAAAAATCCGGCCTCTGCAGCTCTACTTCCCGGTAGCTCTTCTGCCGCTGCTGTAGTAAGAGAGGTGTTTGGCTGGGATGATGAAGATGAATAAGCTGAACTGTATTGTTTAATGAATGACGAACTAATGAACTGCATCACCAACATTTCTAACAACAAAACCTGCGAATCTATTATTCCACATATAGAGTTTCGCGTGGTAGCTTTATTTTTCGCTAAACAGAACCTTAAAAACTTAAAGTCTGGTTCCCCGCACTTTGGCTGGATGAACTCTAGCCCTACCCTAATGTGACGGCTTTTCCAACGAAACCAAAATGTTCGTTTTACACTTATGGCTGCTCCCAGTTACAGCGAAACTCTGCCTGAAGATGCTCATTCCCAAGGAGAACCGTAAAGCTATTCACCAAGCTCTTTTCCAACAAGGCGTCCTCGTCGCTAAGAAGGGTATGTATTAAGATTTGCAAGGATGTTCGCGTGAGCTGTGGCCGTTCTCTTCTACCCGTTGCATGCAGACGTGGCACTTCTTTTTATCGCAGGTGCACTAACAAGCTTTTCAGACTTCAACCTTCCTAAGCACCCTGAGGTTGGTGTCCCCAACTTGCAGGTGATCAAGGCTTGCCAATCCTTGGACTCTCGTGGTTATGTCAAGACCCGCTACAACTGGAGCTGGTACTACTACACCTTGACCAACGAGGGTGTTGAGTATCTCCGTGAATGGTTGCACCTTCCCGCTGAGGTTGTTCCTGCTACTCACAAGCGTCAAGTCCGCCCAGCTGCTCCCCGCGCTGTCCGCTCTGAGCAACGTGAGCAACGTGCTGATGCTGGTTACCGCCGTGCTGAGAAGAAGGACGGTGAGGCTGCTCCCGCTGGCTTCGCTCCTTCCTTCCGTGGTGGTTTCGGCCGTGCCTAAATGAAAAATAAAATCTGTTCGTAATGGAAGGATTCACACATTTGGAAGCTTTGTATTCCTCAAACACCGCATCTGTTCATAGGCAATGTTAACACGCAAGTGATGCTGTACATTTCTTCTTATTGTAGTTCTTTGTGCCCCGCGTAAACTTTGTTTTGTTCGAGTGTGGAGTTGGTCTCGCTTAGGCATTTGACTTTTGATGTTGATCCGGGGTTTGCAGATCTACCTCGGTCACTACATGCCGATCATTTTGCCCCGTTGCCCTAAACTGGCTAAGTCTAGTCTCCACGTGTAACCTACGCTGGTAGGCGCTTCTCCTTCCTACCACGTAGCTTGCTCACCAAGACAAGTAAGGTCCAAGCGAAAATGGCTGCTCAAACCGACAAGTACAGTATCCTGTTGCCCACGTACAACGAGAGAAAGAATCTCCCTATCATTACTTACTTGATCGCCAAGACATTCGATCAACAAAAGTTGAACTGGGAAATTGTCATCGTTGACGATGCTTCACCTGATGGAACTCAAGACGTTGCTCGTGAACTGCAAAAGATCTACGGAGAAGATCACATTCTGCTGAAGCCTCGTACCGGAAAGCTTGGTCTTGGTACTGCTTACGTTCACGGCCTGAAGTTCTGTACGGGAAACTTTGTCGTTATTATGGATGCTGACTTTTCCCACCATCCCAAGTACTTGCCAGAATTCATCAAGCTTCAGCGCGAACAGAACCTTGACATTGTGCTCGGCACGCGTTATGCCAAGAACGGTGGTGTGTACGGCTGGGATTTGAAGAGAAAATTCATTTCTCGTGGTGCCAACTTGTTCGCTAAGGTCGTCTTGGCCCCCGGTGTGTCTGATGTGACAGGCAGTTTCCGCTTGTATAAGAAGGAGGTGATTGACACTTTAATGTCTGAGGTGAAGAGCAAGGGTTATCAATTCCAAATGGAGATCATGGTCCGTGCTCGTGCTCACGGATACAAGATTGGTGAAGTTCCCATTGCTTTTGTTGACAGATTGTACGGTGAGAGCAAGCTCGGCATGGATGATATTCTCGGTTACGTCAAGGGTGTGCTCTCTTTACTCTTCATTTAAATGTCTGGCTACTATTAGTTGCGTTTCCGCAGACACATTCATTGCAGATATATATTTGTAAAATGGCCAAATTCCCATAGCTTCTTGAGTGAAAATAATAATTATTCATGACTTACTCGCTCTTTTCGTCGGAAACGCCACTGTTGATGGCTCTTCCAATCTGCTCGCCAACTTTGACCTGCTTGTGTTAGTAAAAAGCTGATCGGGTCTGAACACTGGATGGTCCATGACCATCATGTGTAACGTACCAGTGTCTCAATGCCAAGTTTAGAATTCCGTTTCAGCTCCTCGTCAAAAACGACTCGATGCTTCTCAAAAATTGTAATGACGGTACTTCCGCCAAACTTAAAATAGCCAAATTCATCAGTGCGATCAACCCAGTCATTGGCTTTGACGGAATGTACGATGCTGCCAACCATCATAGCGCCGACGCTAACAAACATGACTCTTCCAAACTCCGGAGAGTCGATAGGCGTAATTGTTCGTGCGTTCTCGCCGAACACATTCAATGTCGATCGCACGGCCATGGGATTGACTGTGTAATACTGACCATCTATTTTGCTCGTCTTGCCAACAACCCCTCGAACAGGCGAATGATAACGATGATAGTCTTGTGGAGCAAGCCGGAAAATGGCAATGCTTCCGTCAGCGTAATTTGGCGCATCCTTGCTAAAGTCCGGTCCCAAAAGTCCAGCAACGCTAAACTCACGACCTTTAATCCAAAAAGTAGTGGCTGCCTCTATGCTTTCATAAAATACTGCTCGACTATCAGCCGGTGAAACAAGAACTTTAGGGTCATCTGGACTGGCGCAAGGACGTGAACCGGGTTTGAGAGAGCGATAAAAGAATTCATTGAATCTGTTGATGGTTATCGTTAGCGTACTGTTGTAATAGGACGAGTTTGAACTTACGTTTTAAATCCACCTTCTGGAACATAAACCTCTTCCAGAGGTAAGCGGAAAAACTTGATAAATGCTGGTATATCTTTAAGAGAAGAAGGGGAATCATATTTCTTGCCTTGCTTTAATGTGATATTCCTTAAGGCTTTTTTGACTAGATGGACACATTAGTATATGTAAAGGGCATGTGTGAATCATCAACATACCTCTTGCGCCTTCAATTCTACTATTTCGAATGCCACGATACATGAGCCGAATGCCAACACGAATATACATATTCATGCGTTCTTCTTCTATCTGACCAGTCTTTCTATTTTGAACGAGCGTGTTGGCAGAATTCGCTCCAATGCGATAATTGCCATACACTACTTTGTTAAACACCTAATGTATGTTAGCAGAAAATCATGCATAGTTAAGTCATACTTTTGAGAACCAACGTTTTTGAGCCTGACTCGAGGTAACGTAGTCAGCCATCATAATCCGATCAATACGCTTCCAATCATGGGTAGCACATGTGGTCATGTGAATAATTGCTTTGCTTTGTGACATTTTTGCAAAACTTATCTTTTGACACAGTGGACATTTCTTCAACCGTATTAAATGTAGTCCTGTGGCATGACGTGAATCCATTGCTTCCTCATCATCATCAACTATTGTAGCATCAGGGGAAAGAGAATAATCGCTAGTGACGAAGGAGATTTCAGAGTTTGAGGAATAATCGTCCGAGTTTTCGGCAAGACGTACTTGCTTTGCAAGGTCTTCAAGGCATCTTACCGCATTGTCTTCGCTCAATGAATCTTCGTTGGGTTCCGTAACGGAATCATTAAGGTACTTGTTAAATAAAGCATCAATAGTCTCCGTTGGAATATTCGAACCCAACGAATCCAATAAAATATTGAACTCAAGTCTAGAAATTTGCCCGTCAGACGCATATTGAGCTAGCATGACTCGCCAAAACTTTTGACGAATTGCTGCTACAGGAAAGAACATTCCGCTGAACGAAAGTGTCGCGGTTAAATAACTTTGAGCATTCTTACAACACAATTGCAGCGGAAGCGTTTCCACTACAAGTTCTGTCTGAAGATTCTTATCAATAGCAGATGAGAAATCAGCAATAATTTTCTCCATTGAATTATCATGATTTTTTGATTTTGTATCGGTATGAGAAGTAGTATCGGCGGACACATCATATAAGCCTGTTACAGGATCGGGTTGAATACTCCGGCGTATGAAATTCTGCACATTGTACGACACAGTTCCAACGGAGTCGTTTAACGAAACTTTATCGCGATCCACGACTTTAAACACAATATCATAATTCTTCTCCAACGCACCAACCTCAAACAAAAATCTTGAGTGAAAAACCGGATTGAGTTCGTGCTTAATAACGCGCGTCCGAGACGTGTTGTGTGCGAAAGAAACAATGACGAAGGGATCCATATCAAAACCTGTGTGAAGTGCTAAACGAGTATTAGTCAGTACATACACATATCACTAAAAAGGATGAAGGTAACGAACCATTAGGCAAAGGTGGTAGATTCTTTGCAGAATTGACTTCAATGTACATAAAGCCAAGTAGCTCGCCATCCGCAGAAAACTGAAACCCGTCTAAAGTGTTTGACTTCGACTTTTTTGAAGAAGTAGAGGATCCAGCAGAAGGTATTCCGAGACTTTCAACTTGCTCGCCCTTCAATTCGTTTAAGGGCGGTCTTTCATCTCCTGAAAGTGTTCCAAGATCTGCTTTCGAGGAGTTCAAATCAAGAGAAGACAGATTGTTAGTTGTATACATTAGGTCTGAAGTGCCTAGCAATTGAGGAGAAGATGGGACTGAAAGTCGGTCAACGGATGAGGTGTCGCTAAGTGATGCATCTGCAGAAGACTCCATTAAGGACCATTGTAGTTCAACAGCATAAACAGGATTTCCTTTGCGGCTCGCATCAGCATATAAGTAGTGAAGTTCGTTCTGTCTCATTATTAGCTTCATGCCACTACAGACAGGGATTTAATTTGTGCTTGTGAAACATACCGGAGTTGAGCTTTCGCTCCCATTGAAAAGGTTATGGATGTCTATTTCGCAAGAACCGAGCTCGTTTGATTTCGTTTTCAGTTTGGAATCAGAGACAAGCGACAAATTGACTTTATACTGAGCATCCACCGGTAACTGTAAAGCCGTGTCCCAGTTAAATTGTTTCGTGAGATGAGTGTAAGGGGTGCAGCATTGCATAAGTTTTGTTTTAAAACACAGTCTCTATTCCAAAAGAAGTAGGTTAGACACGGAAATTCGTCAACAAAAGCTACGAGCAACATACAATTTGCATTTGATCATCATATTCGTCTTCGTTGAACGAAAGAAGACATCTTGCCTGTGTAGTAAAAAGTGTTAAAAGCCATCACTCACGACTTTCATGTGAAATTTGCGACAACATACCTGACCGATGGTAACATGAACGAAACACTCGTAATTTGGCGTAACGCCCTCTTTAGAGCGGGATTTTTTTCTACGTGAACGGAAGTGAAAAGGAGCCATTTCGAGATACAATACTTAGGAAGAAAGTTGATAATTGTACCTGTTGGACCTAGTAGACGCAAATGATGGAGTATAAACTCTAAGAAAACAAATCTGTACGAAAGAAAATGACAAAAATAAACTCAATGCAAATGTATGGTCTTAAACAGAGCTTTTGCAGACCGAAAACCCTCTCATAGATGTTGGTAAAGGCTAGGGTCTGACAGTTCGGCACTGCGTATGATTATATGTATGACATCAGATTATTATTAAGGTTGGTGTAGTACGGAAGCCGGTCGGGTCAGGTTGACTAGTAGTAATCGCATATTACTCGAGCGAAACACACGAGGTTACGAGGATGCAAATTTGTGCCGCTTGTCCGAGGAAAATGTCGGCTGCGCATTTTTCCGTCTGCATTGTGTTTAATGAAGCTGTGAGTAGCTGGAAATTTTCGCAAATTCTGGATTGAGAAGATACAACGAGCAGGAGAATACGAAGACATGGGTAGGTTTCATTATGGAAATATGGAGTATGGGCACACGGAAAAATCGAAATGTCGCTACATTTCGTTAAGCAAAAAATGGGCGAAGCCTCCTGTCTTGTTAAATCTATTTCAGAGCCGCTGCTTCTCATTCTTCTTATGTATTTCGTCAAATTATCCACTCGTGGTTGAGATTAGATAACCTTAAATTTAGTGCATCATTGGAAGAAAACACGGTTAGAATGGCAGAAATCAGCATAACCTCGGGTACAAGCGCGATACATGGGGTAATAGTGATCCCTAGGAGATTGTATACGTGATAATTCATATATATCGAAAGATTGATTTTTGTATCAAACGAAATACGCATTTATTACGGAAAGTCGGTGGCTTTTGACGGAATCAGAGTAGTTCACCGCATCGTCCGACGCCGCTTATTCTGCATTCTATTTAAACAGCATCACGCTATGAGAGATTTATGTGCTGGCAGAGACGACAAGAGCGCCCTGACCCGGGGATGCGCAAAAAAAGAAGAATGAAGAACATGAAAATTAAATTTAATTAGAACTGAAAGGAATGACAAGCTTGCAGTGAGGGTTTAAGCGACAGGAGAAACAGCGGTACCTCCAGTAAGTGAGACGGCAATCTAGACAAGTTGCTTGTTCATTAAGCAACACCGCTGGGTCATTGGGTAGTAAGAATCAAAGGTCGGAAAAGCCGACGTCGTCGGCGTGGGTTATTCGCAGCTGACTTGGAAACACTTCAATGAGAAATCTGCTTTTCCCATCCATAGTAGTTGTTTGCAGCTACTATACAACAGGTCTTGAGATGATATCCTTCGTACCACCGACAAAACCTCGACAGTCGGCAAAGTATATAACGGCGAATCATGCACCACCTTAAAACTGTGTCAGAGCTACCGGTTGAGCGGTGCTTTCATAAGTAAAAAAAAAAGAGGAGGGGGTGTAGAGGCATTTAGGCACCCTTTTCGGATGCTTAACGAAGATGAATATGAGTCATTAACGAAACCGAGGCAAAGAAGAACGCTTGTCCAGAATTTGCCTGACAAGCGTTTATGTTACAGAAATTAAGTCCTCTACTTGTGGTAGTGGGTTTGCACAAAAGGCATCTTGACCACCTCAGCGGGACGGAGCTTGTTGCGAACGTTGATGTGGACTCGGGTACCGACCTTGTGGAGTCCAGTGCGAACGTAGCCCATGGCAATGTTCTTGCCCAGGGAAGGGGAAGGACAGCCAGAGGTAACCCGTCCCACGTTCACTCCGTCCACTTCGACGGCAGAACCCTCACGAGCAGGAGCACCCTGAACAAGAAAGCCGACACGACGACGACTAGGTCCTCCCATAAGCTCTTTCAAGATACGACTACTGCCAACAAAATTGCCTTCGGAGCGACGTCTTTTGCCAATAACCCATGAAAGAGAGCCCTCAACTGGAGACGTAGTGTCGTCGATATCGTTGCCATACAAACACATTCCGGCCTCGAGACGAAGAGAGTCACGGGCACCGAGACCGATGGGTTGTACACGGCTATCGGCAAGGAGAGTTTCAGCGATTTTCATGGAATCATCCGCAGGCACCGACATTTCAACTCCATCTTCACCGGTGTATCCGGAACGCGACACAAGACAATTGGCACCTAACACATCGATATATGCCGACTTACCAAACTTCAGCGAAGGGAAGTCAAACGTGACGGCCAGCTTGGCAAGCGCTGCGACAGCCTCCGGACCCTGCAACGCGATCAAAGCACGACCCTCAATGCGGTCAATGGTTACACCACCCTTAGTCCATTTGTTCAAGTTCTTGCTCAAGTTTTCGGTGTCCTTGTCCGCACAAGCTGCGTTCGTGACAATATAGTACGTTTTGTCGTCGTGTTTGCTGATAATTGTATCGTCGACGATGCCGCCCGTCTCGTTGGTGAACACACTCAATGTCGAATGCATGGGCTTTAATTCCTGCAGCGAGGAAGGTGTAATGCTTTCCAAAAACGCAGTAGCATTTTCGCCGCGAACAAACCATTGGACCATGTGGCTTACATCGAAAAGACCGGCGTGTTGGCGAGTCCAACGATGTGAATCGCCAACTGACATGCCCTTGTACTGGAGAGGCATTTCAAAACCGGCGAACGGCACAATTTTCGCTCCACGCGCAACATGGAGCGGATACAGAGGAGTTTTTTTCAGAGAAGCAATGGAACGCACGAAGTGATTGCCGGTAGGAACACGAACACGACGAGGCAATGTGCAAGCACGGAGTTTGACTGAAGAGCAGAGCATGGTGGAGTACGGCGTGAAGATTGAATTACACAGACAGGCAGAGAAAAGTCCACTGAATTGATGAAAGTCGTAGTGGTTACTAACACTGGGGATAAACTCGTATAAAGAAACTGTAATCGCGCAAAAAAGTCTCGAAAATCGTCTAACAAACGGACAAAAAGCAAGACCAATTGTTTCTCGTCACAGCTCACAGAACAGACGGCGGTCAAGAAAGAGATTGAAGCGTTGAAGCGAAAGTTACGTTACCGCGGGAGTTCCTGGGAGGTAGCGCGGTACACAATTCCTGGTGGTGAAGAAGTGGAGGACTGGAACGGGTTGTGCTGTGCTGTGCTGGGAAGCACAGTGCTTATAACAAAGCCCGCCGCTATCAGCCCTCGCCCCTCGGACACATGTTGGACGAGGTTGGTCTACGGATAAGCGTTGTGCATGCACGAGATAAGCGCGCTGTGGGATGGAGTAAATGAGAGGACACATGAAGCATGTGGGGTATCCGGAACAAGCGCGGCATGCCGCGCTTGTTCCGGTTCCTATATAGTTTCTAACTTCGAGTCATTTCAGTTCATAAAACTAAACATACGTTTATCGTGGAAGGATGTAGTGCTGTGTCGTCGATAGCAGTGTGAACAACCGTGTGCAAGGGCCGAGGTCCGACAGGGGGATTCAGACACGGCACCCTGGAGTTGGCGCTCCTGAAAAAGCAAGAGCACTCACACAGACGCACAGTGGCCAACGTGGAAGAAGGATCAAGTTTTCTTTTCTAAAACACCACGGAGTTCAGCATTCCGGCAAGCAGAACAGAAATGTTGTCGTCCATAGTTTGCTGAACCTGTGCCTCAAGATGTTTCTTGGGGTCCTGTTTACCGACATAGTGTGTGCGGAGCTGTTCGGCAGTCAGGGTAACCTCGTTTTGAACACGACGTGTGTACTGTTCCGACAAACTCTTCATTTTTTCCATCGAGGTTTGGTTGCGGAGAGCAAACGTGTCAAAGTTTTCCAGCTCAAGACCATGAGCCCATGGCTGCTTGTGCAGGTTGAGCAGCATTGTCTCCTCAAGCTCCGTCTTGCGATAGTTGATGCGAAGAGAGTAGTAATGCCGGCCGAGTCCGTGAATCAAGGCTTGAATGCTTGGTTTATTGACGTGACCGATGTTGGACGTTGTTTGACGCGGTTCCTGACCCATCATGAGTGTGGAAGGGTTAATCAACCGGAAAGCATCGATCACGACCTTGCCCTTCACGGATTGAATAGGGTCGACAACGACAGCGACAGCACGAGGAGTGAGCTGCTCGAACGACTGTTGCGTGTTGATATCCACACTTGAAAGCCAGCAACCGAAACCAGGATGTGAATGATACCAGCCCACAACCATCTCCGGACGGCCTGTCTGTTTCAGCATGTCCATCATATTTTTTTGGAAAACGGGATCCACAGCCTCGACACTGACACCGGTACCGGACTGCGGCATTGCGAACACGTCCACGACACGGACCGTGTAGTCATCAACAAACTCGCCGAGCATCAGGCCCATAACTTCCATGGGAGTTCCGTGTCGACCGTGACGCAGCATTTTCAACAGAGCCAACGAGGAAATGTACACACATTCCGAATTGTCGACGACCGGCTGGTCGCCGGTCATTCCGCCGCCCATGCGAGCGCCTTGGAGAAGTCTTTGGAGGGATTCCATGTTGGAGCGAGGAGGAGGGAAAGGGAGAGTCGAGGTGTGTGTCCAGCAGGAAAAGTTTGTTGCGCTGGCGTGCGCTGCAGTGCGTTATTTTACGATAGCGCGCGGCAGCGTGTGCAAGGGAGGACAGAAGGGGGAGTGTGGTGTGTGTGGAACAAGCATGCATGGTACTAGGGAAAGCACAATAAACTCGATTCGCAAGACAAACGCTCATTCACTACACTGTGAAGACTACACTGCGCTATGATCCCGTGTGCCCTTCGTGCTGCTTACGGTCATCAAGTCGTCTTTCATCCCGTCAACAATGGCTGTTTTCAGGAATTTTCAAGAAAGTCACCATGTCCGAGCGGTTAAGGAGTTAGACTTGAACTCGTTCAGGCATCTAATGGGCTATGCCCGCGCAGGTTCAAGTCCTGCTGGTGACGGTCTGTGCGAGGTAGGAGAGTGGAACTCCGACGGGCTCATAACCCGTAGGTCCCAGGATCGAAACCTGGCCTCGCAACTTTTTGCTGCGGTGGGGGGGTCGAGGAGATGAGGGAAATGAATGATGGGGTGGGAATAAAAGAAGGAGAATTAAAAGAAAGGAAAAGAAAAGAAGGAGAATTATAGTAAAATAAAGTAAGGAAAAGAAGAATTATAATAAAGTAAGGTAAATAAGTAAGTCTAAAAAAGGAAAATAAAATAAAAATAAAAAAAATAAAGTAAATAAATAAAGGAAAATATAAAAATATAAAAAAGAAAAAAAAAATAAAACAAATATAAAAAAAATAAGAAAATTTAAATTAAATTAAATTAAAATCAAAAAAATCAAAAATCAAAAAGGAAAAAGGAAAAATAAAACAAAACAAAACAAAATAACCAACAACAACATCGTCACCTTCGTCACCATCATCACCTTCGTCACACTCAAGTCAAACCCTACTTACATTACTAGCACCGACTTCCCCCCCCTCCTTCGTTCCCTTAGACTAGCTTTCATTCATCAATGTAATAACAATTGCACGATGCACTTGGCGTTTGCTGTGCCTGAGTGTGTCGTCTTAACCAGGTCCAATCTTCGGCATGTCAAAGTGCTCCGACTGGCTCCCTAGCAGTCGATTGTATTCCTTCATCTTTTCTTCGTACGACTTTACCTCACCCTTCTCTAGCAATCTACGTCGCTGCGTCTCCTCGAGCCTGCGTTCCGACTCCGTTTTCTGCGACTCACTAGGCTCGTCGCCGCCGTTGGCGTATACCATCACGTAGTCCTGGACGGCTTTCTCTTTCTCTTTCTCTTTCTCGCTCCCTTTGTCCTTGACCGCGTCTGTCGTCTTTGTCCGGTCCTTTGTTTTTTTCTTCTTTAATTTCTTTGAAATCCTGGATTTCGTCTTGGATTTCAGCTTCAGCGAGCCGCCGACGAATTCCATTTTTGGCTGCCAACTGGCTTACTAGCGAGTTTCCTTCGCAGTATCGTGCGCACGGGGTAGGTGTCGGACCTGCTGGGGTGGGATGGGTGGGGCACAGCATGTGGGCGAGTGGGATACCCCATGCCCCCACTTGCCCACATACAAAACCCACTTGAGTTCTCCACCACGTCGAGGTCACCAACCTTCTTCACTTAACCTGCTCTGCAACCAAAACCGCGAGCTCTGCCGTCGCTAAGAGCGCACGAACATGAAGGTATGCTGCACGTAACGACGTGGCCCGGAGACTGATCCGAGTGGTGCAGTTTTTGGAATTACCCGATTTAGAGGCGATCAACAGTTCGCTGAACTTTGACGCAGACGACTGTCGCGTCAGAGGAAAATGTGAGATTTATACGACCAAGGTATGTGCCGGAGGACGCGGAGAGGAGGACGGAGGCTCGTTGTCGACCGCGTGGATGGTCCAATGGAGGCGTCTGCACCAATTGTACGCGTGTGGTCGAACGTCCCGTCCCTATACAGGCCAGTAAGGGTCTACTGGCCGTTGTTGGAAGGCTTGTTTGCTCATCTCTTTCTCTCTCTCTTTCTCTCTCTCCCGTGTCTGTCCCTTCTCGCTTTCATTCCATGCGTGGATTTCCGCTGACAGCTGATGTAGAGTACGGTGGCCGACAAAAAGCTGTACAAGACGCTAGAGACGCGGTACCAGGAGGACATGATGGCCCTCTCAACAAGCAAGTCTCCCGAATTCGTCAACAGCTGGACGCAGCCGAGTCCATTCGGAAACCTTGACCAATCGTCGACTCGTCGCACGTTCATGTTCATACTAGCGACTTTAAACGCTTCTCACCCTGACCACGACTTTAGCAGTCTTCAACCCAACGACTTCTACAAGGAACGCTTCCTTTCGCATGTCATCGAGTCGATCAACACGACTCTGAGCAACCTGGGTCGTCGGTTCAGCGCAAATGGCATGTGGGAGGTGATCGACAGACACATTGTGCTCTCAGACTGTGATATTTACTCGTATACGCCCGACAGTGATAGTGACCCGTACGGCGATGGTGCTCTCATTTGGAGCCAGTCGTACTTTTTCTTCAACCGCAACATGAAACGCATCCTTTATATCTCTCTGCACGGCTTCCGAATGCCAATCGACGGTCATGGTCCCGGTGACGAGGAGGCGTTCTCCACGCCCGGTCTCGTCGAGTCTGACTCTGAGGATGGTTACAACGATGAGTGGATCGCCAACATGGATGATTGAACAAGAATGAAGGAAATGAGCCGACTGCATGCCTCTCTTTTTACCTAACAACCATTGTTTCTCCCTCTCTCTCTCTCTCTCTTCCTCCCGTTGTGTGTGTTCCACTTGCCGTCCTTCCTTTGCGTGTCATAGACGACTGTTGCCATGATTACCTGTGCAAAACTATCTTTGCATCTTTATGTCTTTCTCGTTTACCTTCCCCTTGATAACCTGTATCTGTTTACGGTGCCGTTTTTTTTTTAAAGTTCCCCCTCCTCGTGACCCTTTTCCTTGCACTTTGATTCAGTAATTTCCGTCGTCGTTTTCTTTCTATTTGAAGAGAAGCAGGTAATATTCCGCGTGTGTAAGTGCGCTCTGCGCCCGTGTACACGCACAGCTCTCTTCTCTTCAATTAATAACGGTTCTTCAAAGCTTTTTGGAGAGGATAGTACTTCCAGGTACAATCCTTTCTCAAAAACGCTTTGAGATGCCTTTTTGCGTTATTTGTTTTTGTTTTTTTAGACTAATGCAACGTTCCAACGTACACCATTATGTCGTTTGCCTTTCTCTTTCGTTTAGACCGTTATACTCGACAATTCCTCCTCCAAATCTCTCTCTCTCTCTCTTGTATGCTCTTCCTGTCGTCTCCCTTCCTCGCTTGCTATGGCTGCTGCACATGCGCAACTTTAGTCGGGACAAGACTTTCATTCTGTACAGGCGATATTGCTAATATAGAGTAAATAAATAAATACATGAATTAAAAGAACACAAGGAAAACGAAACTGAAAGGTGTGTTACTTGCGCGTGTAGATGCAGGACACGTACACACACAAACCAGGGAAACGGGATAAATTTTTCATCATGATCATGAACATCAACTTTGTCTAATGCTTTGGTTTGTTTTTGGTTCTTTTCGTTTTTAGAAGTTCCATATGAAACCCTCATACGAAACCGCAAGAAGGACACACACCCCCTTTCATAATCACTACCGAAGCGATGTGTCGGGGGATAGTGATGGATCTAATTGGGCGAGCTGAGAAAGCGTCGACGAGTGGTACCCATTGGCAAACACATTCGGCGGCATTTCTTCTTCATAAGCTGGAGCTGAACTTGCTACGGCACTGGGCACCAAAGACATACTTTGAGCGTCCGTTACTGTATCGTCCTTCTTATTCATAGCAGAAATGTCGTAAGGAACATTCAGCGTAGAAGAATTCCACTCCGTTGAGGTAATGGGAATCTCCGTTACCGTATTATCAATGTCAGACTCGTGCTCAATGAGATGAATGCGGTTGCAAACAATCGCTTCACGGACCAAATCCACATCGTACGGCCAAAACATTTTTTGAATCGTCATAAACATAAACTTCGGATATAGACAAGTTGCGGCGGATCCAAATACGACAGCCCAAAAGTTTACTGTTCCCCAAATTCGAGACGCAGACTTGTAAAACTCTGCAGTGTATTTCGACTGCGAATACACTCCCGTCCAAAACCAAAAGGTGAGGACACTTAGCATCCAAATACAAAGTGTAAATATATCCCAATTAGATTGGTTTAACACGACGTAAGTGTTAATTACAAGAATAGTTGGTGCAGCAACATACACACCCAAATCTTCTCGACCAGCTGTATCACGACCATTTCTGGCAGAAGCAGGTGTATCCGCAATGACCAAGTAACCAAAGAAGAAGCAAACAGCTGACTGGTACAAACCGTCAATAACGTATCCGAGGAAAATTTGTCGTCTTGAATTAAGTCCCAATATACCACGCTTGTAAAGTTGAGGGATCCTTAATGACATTTCGGCGCTCACATCCTGATCGTATACACCCATCACAATAACGGGCAGAGATGAGAAAACAATATTAAACAACATGATGTAGGTGTAATCGAACAGATAGTTCGCGTCGAAACCATTGAAAATTTGATACCAAAATAACGTAAACGTCCAGACAATACTCTTGTAGAAGAAGTTGTTAACCATTTCCGCAGTACGATTATAATCCCAACGGCCATGTACCAATACAAGCTTACTAAGATAACGGAATTGGGCAATGGCGTAGTCTGCAGCCATTGCGGCTGCCCTTCCTTCTTCACCAACGATGCCAATACCAATATCAGCTTTTTGGATCATGGCAACGTCGTTGGCACCATCACCAATTGATAAGGTCATGACACCAAGTCCATTTTTAACCATTTCCACAACGGAGGCCTTTTGAGCAGGGCTCACACGGCAACATAAAACAGATTTGCAATTTTTGCACAAAAGTAAGAATTTGTCTCTCAGCGGCTCCTCAAGTACAAGTTTAAGCGTCTGTCCATCAACAACCAGAGCATGCGTGGGCAAAGGAGGATTATGATCCCTTTTGGCCGATTCGAGCTCTTCCTCTGAACCAGATAAACCGAAGTACTTGTACAGGTAGTCTGAAAGAACGGCTTCCAATTCCGGTACAGTTGTGTCGCCTTCCGGAGTAAGCGTTATAATCTCCATACTCGTTTCCAAAAGATTACATGAGTAACCGATGTTGATAGCTGTTTCAACCTTATCACCGGTAAGAACCCAAAGCTTGATTCCAGCTTTACCAAGCAAGGCAATAGAATCTGGTACACCTTCTTGTAACCGATCTTCAATTGCAGTACCTCCCAAAAGCACAAGGTTAGATTCCAACAAACTTGCAACCTCTTCAGTCTGTGCTTCACGATCAACAATAGCTGAGGTCGCAACGTCATACTTTTCCTTCCACGTATAATACTCCTCTTCAGTGAGCTCGCGCTTTGCTAAACACAAAGTACGTAATCCTTCAGAGCCGAACACGTTGAGGTGTTCCGAAGTAACCTTTTTCAATTCAGCCTGTGAATCGGGCACAAGACGATCATAAATGATGCTGTCTGCACCCTTGCAAATAAGAAGGTAACGCTTGTCGGGAGTTCGTATGACCACACTCATACGTTTACGAGCAGATGTAAACTCAAGAGTCTCTAGTAACTTAAACCGTAAAGTTTCACCCATGCAACGAATTGCCATCGTGTTCTTACGACGATCCAAGAACACAAAACCCATGTCTCGAGCAGTTCCTACAAGAGCCTCCTCATCTGGAGATTGAGCCTTGTAGATCAAGCGATCGCCAACACGATCGGCCACAATTGAGTGACAGAGTGCCAAGGAAAGAAAAAACTCTCGGCAAGCCTTTGCCTGCTCCTTTGAAGTGCGGCCTCCAAGGTCATGCGCAAATCTAGACGAGACAAACGTCAAATCATCATCAAACAGATATTTGTTGTCGTGCAAACTACGCAATTGAGAGATCATTTGAACACGATCCCTTTCAATGAAAGCCTGTTTCTGCTGAACCAATTCTTCAGCATCTCGGCCTTCGCGCTTCGCAACGCCGGCCATAGCTTCAGTAAAAGCCTCACCATAGGCGATACCGTTGATAGTGCACTTTTTGAACTCCATGACATTTTGTGTCAGAGTGCCCGTTTTGTCCGAAAATATGTACTCGACCTGACCCAAATCATCCGAAATACTCCATGATTTTGGAGTACAGGGATACTTAAGTTTCTCAAAATACATATCCTTGTCAAGAAAAATAAAGATAGCCTGAAATGTTTTCACAATTTCAATGGAAATATAAAGGGAAATAGGAACAATGTTTTGGAACAAAATGACACCCGTGAAGAACGTGATGATACCATTGTTGACGGGGGTACCACCCAACGAACCGTACTCAAAATAGTAGGATGATCTTCGTGTGCCACGCCAATTGAAACCGTCAACAATTGCACAAATAATACACATTGAGAAGAGAAGAATGAAGTTTAGACACACATTCCAATTCAAGCTTCTTGTAATTTTGCTTCGTTTCAAAGGTGGGGCTCCGGAATTCAACATAATTTTGGTATCACTGCCTGTGAAAATGACAACGCCAATAACCCACTTTGTGTTTCGCAAGACCGAACCACGAAGCAAGACAGTCTCAATGCTAATTGGTTCGGAAAGTACTGTGGGATCACGAGCGCCGGAAGCAAAATGTGGGAGGCATTTACAAGCGCCATTGTACTCGTAGAGATTAGGTTGAGGGGGTTCACTTTCTACCCAGAAGTGTGAGCGCAAACAGTCCTCTGCGGATTTCACATTGGATCCGCATTGCAGAGCCCGACGGGGCTTCAGGTTCGTCTCACCATCCAGGTTTTTTGTCTCTAAATAACAAACACCATCGTTTTCAGAAGTGTTGAGAATTGCAATGTCGGCAGGAATTTCATCGTTCTCGCAAATTTTAACGAAATCGCCAACACGAAGATCCTTCCAATACGCCTTCTTAAAGTCAGCAGGATTGTCAATTTGCGAAAAAGGATCCACAATGTCCATTTGTGCTGTGCGGCGACCCTTGGGATCCGCGAACGGGTTTGCTGCATGACTGTCAATAGAAGCACGAATGTCAACAGATTCGCGGAAATATGACTCATAACTCGGACGCGAGGTCGCATTTAAATCACGCATGGGGACATCCTCCGTGTGCTTCTTGCTCCTCCTTTTCTCCTCACGCTTCATCATCAACTTGCGCACGATGGCAGAAATTCGTTTTTTGAAGCGACGCCAGTAACTGATATATTCGCTGCGTGTGTTCACATTGTTATACGGGCTAAGTTGGAGTGTTGGTGTGTTATTCAAGCTGATGTCCAGCATCGAGCGACGAAAGTCTTCAATACCATCCTTAACGGCTGTGATTCCAATGACGATAATTAAGGGTACAGCTGCCAGTCCGGGGCTCACTTGACTTCCAAACATAGAAAAACACTAAAAAGACACGTTAGCCTCTGTGAAATTAAGGGAAGCTTATTAACAAATACGCCAATCGCACCCTGGCACTGAAACAAGCACATCAATACACACACCGACGAACGCATGGTGTTGAGACGTGCTGAGACACTGTCCAGTCGTGTACAAACGTGTCGGTACTTACCTGTAGCACAACCAAGAACAAGAAGAACAGATTGGCCACATTTTGGAATTGAAGGAAAATGTTTTTGGGAAGAAAGTTGATGGGAGTATACTTAGCCGTCCGAACCTTGTTTCTCGGATACCACATCTTCGGTTGGTCCGTATCATCTTTCTCTGTTTCCGGCAAAGGAAGGTTGAAAAACAGTGTTCGAGGTTTGACACGAGAGAGCAAATCCTTGTGTAGCTCATTTTCAACGTCCTCGTCGTCCCGCCATGCATCTTCGGCCACCAAATGGTACCGGCGAAGAAACACACGGATTTTTGTCTTGTACGTCTGCCATTTCGTCTTTCCTTCAGATTTCCTGAGAGAATCTTCAAACGGATCCATTGCTTAAGACGAATCCAAGCACAGTTTCGACGTCCTGAGCACCGTTTAATTAAGAGTAGGAAAAGTTATGGTGAATGGCGGAAGTTGGGTTGCCGACGTCTTCCTAGCGCAGGTTGATGGTTGACATCTACATAGACCGCAGACCCACGGATTTCTTGCCGTGAAGTGGCCAGCAGCCTTTTTTTTTGGCGAAGCGAAAATGATGTCATGCCTCAGTACGTCATACGTTATTACAAATGTTTGCGATTTGCCGAGGCCGCAAAATGATGGATATGCACGAGTAGCCTGACGCATAGCGAGTTGTTAGTAAGCATTAAGGTTCGGTGATAAGATAAGATGCGAATCTGATTGCTACAGGAACTGGCGCTCCCACGACATTGCCAAAGAAAAAACACCGAGAAAAATTCGTACGGCATCGCGCAAACACAAAATTGCGATCGCAGAATTTTCCTGATATTAATTGGGATGAATGAATGGAAACGGACAAGCTGTGGCAACCAACAGTAGTGCTTTCGCTTATTTGCAAACCGAAATTAATGATATCATTGGTCGGCGTGTCTCGCGCACGTGCTTTCTCGCCAAAGGGTCTAACTGCAACTCTTCCTAAATCCGAATAAGCGAGACCAGAGGCTAATCGCGTAACCGATTCTGTTCATCAGGGGACAGCGTTGCGGAAACGCGGCATACCGTGTTTTCTGACCAAATTCCATCAAAATGTCGGCATTGCGCCTCCGTTCCAGAGCGTAACTCTTAAACCAAAAACACTCAAATTCAAGCTTCTTAATCAGGACGCATATTCTTCTCTCCCTGCAAAAACGGGATTTCCAGCCACACGGGTTTTTGTTTCCAATACTCCGTAAGGGTCTCCCACGCATGCGAAACGCGAACCCCATCCATCAAGTCCGAGCTTGTCGGGTGAATTCGGACCGCGGTCGCATTAGGTAATTGGCCGTTATTGCCGATCTATCACCGATATCCTCGGCTTGCGTTCTTGCTCGGCAATGACGCAATGTGCCCTTGCTGTCCCGCAGTCTTATTCCTCGCTTACGCTCACATCTCACTGAGCACGCGAAGCTTTAAAAACACGAGACTCTGCTGAACCCTCCATGGCTTCACCTCGTCTGTGATTGGCTGTTGGCATCCACGCTTGCATAAGCCGAATACACCCTCAGGGTGGAACCTGTCCTCTCCCAACCACTAAAGTTATATTATAGCCGGCACCCTGTACCGAAACCGGGTTTTTTCATCGAATTCCGCTCATTCTTTTATCGGAAACAGGCTTGGACTCATGTTTTTGGCTGGAGTTTCGTCTTAATCGCTTAAAAGTTTTTGTTTCTAACTAGTTCGGCACATTTTCTGGCCACGGCGCTGTCCCGGTTTGCAGCTGTCATTTTCCTGACTCTAGGTCTAAAGGCCGATTACTGTTGATAAATAAGCTTCGCGAAAAAAAATCGCAATTAGACTGTAATTTGGATCGTGTTCGTGTCATTGACAGGATTCGTTTGCTTCCTTGGCATTTTTTCTTCTTGTTTATATCAAAAAATACGCAAATTCGCGTCAGGTGAGAGAGTTCCTCCTCCTTACCTCCCACTAACTACATTTCATTCCACTTCATTTCTTTTCGTTGGGGAATTTTTCTTCTCCGGAGGTGCTGCTACGAGTGACCCCCCTTGTACTATAATTCTTCCTCTCTTCGTTTCCTTGTGCAGCGGATATGCCCTCTATAATTGGAATTAATGCAACATTTCCGCTTGGGTCTCGCAAGTCGAAACTTGCTCTCATTCAAACGAACCTCGTGTTGAAGCAGCTGAAGGAACTGTATCCCGAATATAACTTCCCCATCCTTTCCCGTGATACTGTCGGCGATGAGATTATTAATAAGGCTCTGTTCGAGTTCAAGACACAAATGGCGAAGTCGTTGTGGACACGTGAACTCGAGGTCCTGCTAATGCATGGTGAATGCCGCATGCTCGTGCACAGTTTGAAGGACTTGCCCACCGATCTTCCAGAGGGTATGACGATCGCGTGCATCACCCGACGTAGTTGTCCCCTGGATGCTGTTGTTATGCGTGCTGGTTCCCCTTACAAAAGTGTCTCTGAACTGCCTCCCAACAGTGTCGTGGGTACCAGCAGTATTCGTCGACGGGCTATGCTTCAGCGCCACTTTCCGCACTTGAAGTTTAGGGACATTCGTGGAAATGTCGGTACCCGTTTGGCGAAGCTGGATGCCCCTGACTCGCCCTTTGACTGTCTCATTCTCGCTGCTGCCGGTCTAATTCGATTGAACTTGAAGGATCGTATAACGCAAATGCTGCAAGCGCCTTTTGTTTTTTATGCCGTCGGCCAGGGCGCTCTAGCCGTAGAAGTCCGCGCTGATGACACAGAAATCATTGAGTTATTGAAGCCTCTCCAGGACATGGAGACTACGTATTCCTGTTTGGCTGAACGTGCTCTGATGAAGCGTCTGCAGGGCGGTTGTGCTATACCCATTGGTGTGGAAACGCAATGTCTTCCTTTGTCAAAGGACAAGTACAGCGTTGTTTTGCAGGGCATGGTGGTGTCTTCAGATGGCACTCGCAGTGCTTACGCGTCGGAATTCATGGAAGTGTCTTCGGAAAAAGACGCAGAGCAGCTAGGCATGAATGTTGCTACAGCACTCTTAAAAAGAGGCGCTGGTGCTATTCTCGAAGAGCATCACCGAAGCGAGAGCGACAGTAATTAGAATTTTGTTATCTGTTGAGCTTCGCCTTTGTCTGTTGTTCCCCTTTACCTCCTTCCTACCTTTTCTCCGTTTTGTCTTGATGATTTTTACAAAAAAACTTAACAACAAGTTTTCGGTCTGTTGTTTGCGACTACATTTACATCGTCCTTGTATATTACTGTATATGAACACATGGCACGTTCTATTTTGCCTTGTTTAGTTCCTTATATGGCGTGTGTCCTTTTGTTCACGCCACCTCTCGTCTCCTATCTTTTTGTCTTTCTACACGACTCATCCACCTGTTACTTTTTGGTTTGGCTTGGGGAGTATAGAAAAGACTTGTACAACTATATTTTTTGGAGTTCGCGGAAGCCTGTTTGCTTCCGTGTTGTTACACTTCTTTTGACGATTATCTTTCTCTAGAGAACAACGTTCGTTTAAGTATTTTGAGAATGTATTTTTTTGTACTCAAAAAGTTGGTAAGGTGAGTTTTAATTCCGCGAGATGAGCGTTGTGAGTGTGTGACTGGGGAGGAGGGTTGGACGGCTGGGATGTCAACGAGAAACATACAAAAATGGAGGCAGGAGGAGGGGGGAAACATTGTTGAAGGGTCGTTTGGAAACAGTTTATGCGGTCTGATCTGCTTCTGACAATTTCCAAACATTGCAGAGGCCGTCGTCGCCTCCAGACAGCAACCGCGAATCGTTTGTCCATGCGATGGTATTAATTTCATACACATCATGAGCCTTTTCTTTAAGAGAAACAGTGTGCCAAGTAGAGACATCGTCTTCATAAGCAAACAAACCAATTGTCCCTTCAGCACCTGAAGCACATAGAGTGTGATCATCCTTCCAACCAAGTGTGTACACAGGCTCTGTAAATGTGCGAGGCAGCACAGCCTTTAGGCACCACTCTTCTTCTAACGAAGGTCTTAAGATGTTTGTCGACGGTGTCCGCGCGGCATCTTCGTTACTCACCAACTTTTCCCAAATAAAGACTTCGCCCTCTCCATCTCCCGAAGCAAGCAGCCGGCCGTCAGGAGAAAAGTTGAGTGCCCAAACGGTACTCGTGTGACTCGTCAACTCGCATGTTTGTACCCAGTCATCACCATCGTCTCTCCAGAAACGGATTGTGTTGTCGTAACTGCCACTGACCAGCAAGTCGTCCTTAGGATGCCATGCGACAACCTTAACATCTTGCGTATGCTCCTGTAAAACAGCAAGACAATCAAATTCATCGTCCTCCATAGCTTCCCAAATCCAAACGGACTTATCACGGGAACACGTTGCAAGATACACACCATCGTGTGACCATGCAACACACTTGACTTCATTTTCATGGCCTTCTAAAGCAGCAACGCATTCCCAGTCATCGTCAATCTTTTCGTATATGCTGACGGTTGCATCAAAAGACGCAATGGCTAAAACAGGACGGTCAATGGGTCGCCAAGCAACTCGCCGGACACTGCGGGTATGGTAACCGTCAATAACGTGTATTAATTCACCCGTCTGAGCTTGAAACACACGGACCGACTTGTCTTCCGAGGCAGTAGCTACAAGTGGTAAAGTGGGATGAACGGCAACGCTCCAGATTCTGCCTCGATGACCGCTAAGTACCTTATCCAGCACTAGCGAAGGACTGTGGAAGAGGCTATCGAGCATATTTTGTGTAATTTTTTGAAAAAGCTTGGCGACTTCTAGTTGCTTGTAATGTTCAATGAGTGGATGTTCAGTGGACTGCGACTCAATGAGCTCGCCAAACTTCGGGTCAATGGGAACAGCTCCAAGGAAAGGAAGGTGATATGTATTGGAGAGCTGTTCTCCTCCACCCTTGGAAAAGATGTTCGTACAGTCCGAACAATGTGGACAGACAAAACCGCTCATGTTTTCCACAACACCCAAGATGGGGATTTTAAGATTCTGACAGAAATTGATTTCCTTCTTCACGTCTAAAGTAGCAACGTTTTGTGGAGTCGTGACCATAACAGCACCATCAATAAGTTGTGGACGCTCAGACGTTACAGAAAGTAACGATTCTACAATGGTCAAGTGTTCATCACTCGTTCCTGGAGGCGTATCAATCAGCAAGTAGTCAATGTCTCCCCAATTGACGTCGGATACAAACTGACGAATCATGGCGGCCTTCTTAGGACCTCTCCAAACGACGCTATCGTTTTTTGAACTCAACAGAAATGCTAACGACATGAGTCCAATCTCCTTTGTTTCGTCTGTGTACACAGGAACCCATCCCGAGCTTGACTGATGAATACGATGGGTTTCCGCATCCATTCCAAACATTCTTGGAATGCTAGGTCCCGTTAAATCAATGTCTAACACTCCAATACGTAGTTTTCGGGAATAGAAAGGCGTTTCATGCAAGGACAACGCTAATTGCGTCGTTACTGACGATTTTCCTACACCGCCTTTCCCTGAGAGAACCAAAATGATATGCTTAACATTCTCTAACGAATCAGCCATTTTACTTCGATGAAAAACACGACATTACTTACCCATTGAATAATGCTAACAACGGTGGAATTAGTTGGTGAAGGGCAACTTTTCAACATTTGCTTACCTCAGCAAATGAAGTTTCTGTTGTTCAATCAAAATTTAAGCCTTTAGATAGCAAGATACGCGAAACCCGCTAGATCGATAGGCGAACTTAGATAACCTTAATTTGAACGAGGAAAAAAACAAAACAGTTCTCGAAAACAAACAGGAAATCGCCCCGATTCCTCCTTCAAACCTTTTACTCGACCAGTTCACTTCCACTACACACTGCCTAGCAAACAACTATGGTAACTCAAAGTAAATTTTGACTACGTGGAAGCCCAACAGTCAAAGTTTAGAGGGCCTTAACAGCAACGGCAGGGTTAATCTTCTTGCCATCACGGTTGTAACGCACACGGGGAGGGGGAGTGCGAATACGACGGCCCTCACGAGAACGAACACGGACAACACGAGAGTGGATAGCGCAAGAGACACAGTATTGCAACTTGATGTACAACTTGGGAATGGTGTACTCGCTGTAAACAGAGGCCTCCGACAAATCACGGATGGCAGCAGTCTCGACCATGTTACCTGTGAACACATGTTAGAAAACCAGTAATTGTAAAAAGTGCCGCCACAAAGACAGAATTACTTACGGATGGTCCAGCGCTTGATGGCCTTGTCCTTGGGGACACAACGGGAGCAGTTGATGCAGCGAACAAACTTGTTGTGTCCACGTCCGTGCTTGTTGCGTCCGTTGTTTCTTCTCTTTTGAGTCATGGCGATGCAGAAGACAAATTCACCGCCCTGTGTTGGTATCGGGTAAAGTTTCGTGTGACTGCTAAAATTGGCGTTACGGCGTGCTAAGCGTCATAATACATGTTTACGGATTGTTGTGGCGACCTCTGTAAACGTTTAGTGTGGTGTAATATACAGTTCGTTAAACAGCTCACACTATGGTTCTTTCTTCTTGGAACATGACATCGTGAATATGAACTATTAACGAAGCATTGTACCTTGCTCCTAACCTTACCTACTACCCATTCAACAATATGATATCTTTTGTTTTTACATTATTTCATTCATTAGCGTAGAATACAGCTGTCCTAAAAAAATTGACCAAAGTTGTTTTTGAGAGTGATGCACATGTTGTAGAACTGTGTGCCAAATGCATCCACAGCTCTGGTGATGATATGCCTTCGAGTGGGAACAAAGTCCTTGGCGATATCGTTGCTGAGAAAATACCGATACAGATCAATCGACTCCCAAAAATTGTCACGAGGGTATGCGGTAGATATCTCATCCAATAGAGAACAGAAGCTGTTGAAGCTTGCACGAAGTTCTTTCGCATGCTGTTCTTTGTAGCCAGTTTCAGCGAGAGAAGCCAATGCTTTGTTGACCCTCATGATCGGCTTGCTAAGGTTATACTTGGCACGAGCCTTTGAATTCATCTTAGGACCGGACTTCTTCCCCGTTGAAGTACGACCCTTTGACTTCTTCGACCGGTTTGCCTGAGAACGCTTAGAGCCGACATTCTTCTTCTGTGCTCCTAAAGTGGAAATAGACGAAGCCTTTGTTGCCCAAACGGAGGTATTGGCGCCGAGGAAACCCTCATTCCTGGTATCGTTGGAGTATGCCTCATCGAAAGCCCACGAGGTCCTGCTTTCCGTAATAGATTTCTGTGCAGGACGTTGATCAGCTGGCTCACCTTTCAATGCATCCAAACCAGTTGCAGGTTTTTCAACCTCAGCGGTTTCGTTCTTTGGCTTCTCCTCTGATGTTGCATTGAAGGAGGATGGTAGCAGATTTGAAACGGGAGTATCAGTGGCATTGTCGTAAACGGTTTCTGAAGGAGCAGTTTCTGGAATCTCAGCGAGATGAGTTGTTTTGTCGTTAGTTTCGGCATCAGTGAGTTCAACGACGAGTTTCTTTGCTGCTTCCTTTTCTGCTTCCTTTTCTGCTTCCTTTTCTGCCAACAAGATGGCTTCTTTTTCAGCTTTCAGTGCCAGTAAAGCTGGATCGTCCGCCTCCATAGGTGAAGTTGCGGGCACAAGATCATCTTTAGAAAATGCACAGGTAAAGTTGGCCACTCCAACAGGCTTACCTTGGAACCAGGAGTGTTTAAGTGCTGGAGTATTTGCAGATTCGGAAGCAATGTTTGTTGACTCCGTTTCAGACTTCTGAATTTGATGAGGAATTCCCTCCTTTGGAGCATCATCCACAGTGGCGCGCTTCACTGTAGGTTCAGACTCTTCGGAAGACAATTTCTCAACTTGTTCAGAGTTCTCTTGGAGAATGTTGGTGCTTTCAGTAATGCCAGTAGCCCTAGTATTCTTGCGTTTCTTGTTGCACTTCTTTTCCGATGCAGAAAGCTCCATTATTACGAGCAGCTTTGCAGGATCAAGTGTACCTTGGTTTGAGGACTTTTGGCTGTTCGACTTCGAGAGTGTGTTCAGAGATTCTCTTGCGTTTTTTCTCCTCTGTGACTTCTTGCCAGCTGTTCTCTTCTTTGAACGAACGAAGAGTGCAGCGGAAATCGACCGATTTCCAGGAAGGTTGCTTACAGCAGTTCCAACCTCGGCATCGTGCTGTTCAGATTCAATTGCTTCAGTCGCCTTAGTGGTGACATTATCAAATGTTTCCGAAGAAGCAGGAAGAGCGTTCATTTGAAGTCTCATATTTGAGGATTCGTCCGCTGAATGTGATTCTTTTAGTGGAACATCCATTTCTTGCATAGTTGAGAGCGAGGATAGATCCGGTTGAGATTCCGAGTTAAAAGAGTTAGTTGCCTTAGGTGTATCACAAGCAAAACTAACTCTTTTGACGACCTTCTTAGGTAGTTCTTCGACTTTAGGAGATAACTCCTTACGAACATCTGAAGGAAGTTTGTTCTTCACATGTTCCAGCGTTATGGTGAAACAGTAATCACGTAAATAAGTATGGTTTAGAAGCGCAACTGAGCTATCAATCACCTCAGGCTCGAAACGTACCGGAACTAAGGAACATTCAAGTTGAGCCAACAATAAGCAATACTTCAAGTTTTGTGCAACACGAGGTAAAGAAGCAAAATCAGTTTCGCAAACTTTCATAAAGAAAAAGAACGCCCGATTGGGTTGAGTAAACCATCTGTTAGAAGTTATAATGTCGTCCAAAGCTTCATCTTGTTTTATAAACAAATCGAGAATCGGTTTCGTCTTGCGATAGCGTCTAGCTCTTCTTCTTTGGGCAGGCGTCATTTTTGCCTTTCTGGCCTTTTCAGCTTGGCGTTCAAGCTCTTTTCTTTCGAGATAGTTTAGCTTTTCTCCGCTATCCTCAACAATTGGCTCCCAATAAACATTTGTCCAATTCGCACGAGACGGTTTACGAGAGATTATTGGAGCATCCAAACCCTTGTAATGCGTAGTTGCAGTAATAGCAGGCGTTGAAGAAAAGTTTGTCTGGTTAGGTTGAGTAGGAGCGTCGAGATCTTGAGGATGGTTGTTATTCTCTAAATTTCCAGTCAATTGATCCAATGTAGCTTCACAGATAGTAGCACTGGAAACAGCCTTAGAAGAAGAAGCTTCATATAATGTTGAGAAATCCAAAGGAGAGTAAAGCGACAGAGCGTTGTACGAAGTCGCAATTAATCCATTACCATAAGTCAGCAATGGCGTTTCTTTCGCTTCACAGATAGTACGTTCAAATAAGTCAGGGTAGGCATTCTCATCAAAGTTATCCTCAAGTTCGATGATGAAAGCGCCTGGATATGATCCAGTGTAATTGTTTTCGTTTTCATCATAATACTCAGAATCGAAATTATCATCGCAGAAACCGCTTTGTTGGCCTTCGTAATAATCCTGATCAAATCCATCAGTGTATTCTTGCTGCATGTCCTCAAATTGGGCATAAGTGTTGGCTTGCTTCGGTTCGGCGTTCTCATCACCAAACATATCGGGCAAGTCGACTGCAGGGGACTTCAAAGTAGCAGAGCTTGCACCCGAAGTCGAGACAGTTTCGAGTTCAGGAGTAACGGGCTCCTGAGTCTCAAATGGTGAAGTTTCAGGAACAGGTTTCTTCTCGAGAATGATGAATTGCTTATCGCCATAAGAGTACTCAGTACAAACATTGTAACGACGATTGAATTCAGTCTCAAAGTCATCACCTTTGTAACAAGTGTGGGCTCTCAAAGCGGCTTCAAGCTCAACAATCCTGAGTTGAAGACCCTTAATGGTTGCAGACAATTCTTCGGCGTTATCCAGAAGAGTGGTGCAAGCGTGTTCCATATAGATATAAAGGGATTGAACAAGAGCGAGAACAGAAGCATCATCGCATTTCTGGACAATCTCGTCGGCCACGGCCTTGGCTTGGATGAACCAGAAATTAATACGAGTCTTCGTATCGCTATCGTATTCAAAGAAATCCATTGCAGTAACAAGAACGAATAAGATTGAAAGGGTGAATGCCGTCCAAAGTTTATTCAAGTAACTCTTGTTGAATCGCAGTAGTAGCAGTCGTTATTCTTTCTGAGAAGTAGGACAATCAGGAAGAACAATAGAATGCAGTACAGGGGATCGCAATCAAAGTGCAGATGGTAAGAGTGAAAAGCAGGGGAAGCCCAATTTATACCTTTTGAAAGTTTGTTTACATTCAACTTGTAAACAAACCTTAATTCCCTCAAACAGAGGAAAGAGAAGTTATGTTAAAATATACAGCAGAGACAGTTTATAGATTCAAGAAAGAGCATTAACAATTTAAAAGCCATTCTGACATCAACATTTTCCTGATTCATAATCCTTGGTTAAATTTCGTGTTAATAGTAAGAATGCAATGTGTAAACAATAAAAGATGGTCTGATTTGCGTCATATGCGTGTTCCAGAGAAGAGAAATGGGAAGGAATTCGAGTTGTAAAGTGGGTACCAATTCTCGTCAGTACCTACTTAGCACGTCTTCTCGGTAAAGCCGAACATATAACGTACACAGATAATGTGTACATATGCGAATGACTCCCAATCTGAAAAGTACTTCTCTTTGTTGTCCCCAAGTAAGCCATATTGAAACGAACCCGACAAACGAACTTGAAGCCCATTCACAAGTGGTACTGGTGCACGGCGAAATTCAGTAAAGTAGCATAATCAAGAAGTCACAGGAGTAAACGAGAAATTTAGGATAAAAAGTTTGATTGTAAAAGACCCATATAATAAATCCGAAATCCACAATTAATTATGTCCGAAAGTGAAGAAGGTAGCACAAAACTAACAGTTGATCAAAAGAACCAGAGGCGAATGAGAGGCAGTCACTTTCTGAAAGAAAGACAAAAACGCATTGTCTAAAATTTGAGACTTCTACTGAGTACGACAGAAATGGCGGTGCAAATATATACATAACCAGGAACGTCTTGAGAGCTAGCCATTGTAAAGACAAGTGGGCAAATTATACGATCCAAAGCTCCATGATTTAGCCAAGGAAAATATGCCATGCACTTACCGCAGCAGTATTAGAACCAGTATAGCTTTTATCCTTCAAGAGCCGCATCCATTTTTAGTGCGTCAATACTAATAACCATTATTAACGAAACCTAAAAGGTTTACGGCCTTTTTGTTATAAGAAACCTAGCTTGAAGTGACGAAGGTAGGGGTGCATTTCTTGGTTTTTCGGATCAAGGAGAAAGGTCTTTACATTCAATAAAAGTATATTTCTCCTTAAATATCACGGTTCCATTCTGATATCGAATTTCCGCCTTCCCATTTGTATACTCTCTTTTTGAGACTAGTTCCGGATGCTCGCTCAATTACCAAAAGCGTAAAACAACAAGAAAAACATGACAAGGCACTGAGTTCCCCGGTGACCTTCAATTCCATCACAATAATAACGAATTTAACCTTCAGTTTCTGAGACTCAAAAACTCTTAAGGGAATTAACTTGCCATTTCGTCATTAGGCTCCATGTGAATCTATGCCACAATTTTGGTACTAGAATGAAGTCAATTTAGGAAACAGCAGCAATTGACAGTGGCATAGTTACAGCATGAGTTTGGTTAAGGATAAGTAGCAACGAGGGTCTTGTGAACACATTCGCCTATTATTATCTATTGGATCTGAAATTTAACTCTGACACGTTTCGTGGGGATTACCCGTGGGGATGTGACAACTATAAAATATTAAGCGATCTGTAGCTAAGCAATGCGACAGGCCCCACAAAGCTTAATCGCGAATGCACGACTTCAGCGCATTCCAATCTACAGACAACTCTGGACTACGAATCACCCATACCGCTTCTACCGACATTGTATATTTTGTTCCGGCTCATGAAAAGCTCTTGTATCATTTACTCTTCAAAGAACAGCGTACTGCAAGTAATGCCATTCAGCAACGCACATGGACGAGACAAAAAAAAAGGTGCTGACAAAACCTGACACCAGGTCGAAGAGCAAATCGAATCGCTTACTTAAGCTTCTTCTTAGGGCGCAATTGGTTGGTGTGACCACACTTCTTCTTACGGCAGTTGGTAGCACGGGGAGGAAGACGAGCATAGCACTTGCGGCAAATCATCTTCTCACAGTTGTACTTGGAAGCCAAAGCCTTCAAAGAGGGCTCGATAATACCACCACGAAGACGAAGGACCAAGTGGAGGGTGGATTCCTTTTGGATGTTGTAGTCGGAAAGGGTACGGCCATCCTCAAGCTGCTTACCAGCGAAAATCAAACGTTGTTGATCGGGGGGAATACCCTCCTTATCTTGGATTTTGCTCTTGACATTGTCAATGGTGTCGGAGGACTCGACCTCAAGAGTGATGGTCTTGCCCGTAAGAGTCTTGACGAAAATCTGCATAGCTGCTAACTCACGAACACCAAGAAAACCTCCGTCAACAAAAAAGTGGTTGGTCTCGCAAGGATTTTGGTAAGACCGTGTTGTTGTGGATATGTTGTGGTGGAAAAAGACAGTCACGACCACAACACCAATATTTTCGAACACAGGGGGAAACGCATACCGGGAACGCTACACATTCGGAGCACCGAGCATCTTAAAAATTACAAGAATGGCTGGATTCAAGCGTTACGTTGAGGTTGGTCGTGTTGTCCTCGTTAAGAACACGAGCAAGATCGCTGTTATTGTCGACATTGTTGACCACAAGAGAGTATGTTGGAAGATGAGCGAGAGAGAATGATCAGAGACGCGAGGGACTATTGTTGCTTGGAAAGGAAGCTTCAAATCTATACTTGTGAATTTTCCGAATTTTTTTATTTTTTTTTGTATTTTTTCCCAAGTTTCAAGAACGGAAAAAAAGGAAAAAAAAATAAAAAAATTCGGAAAAATGCAAATTGGTTCGGAGCTTCTTTTGTTGTGTGTGGTTCTCCCCCGTTCGGTTAATTCGGCTGTAAAAGGTTTTGAGTTATAATCACTAACACTGAATAGGCCGTTGTTGACTCCCCTATTGACGAGGTTGCCCGTCAAGTCATCAACTACAACGACTTGATCTTGACTCCCATTGTCATGGACCTTCCCCGTGGTGCTCGCAGTGGCATCGTTGCCAAGAAGTGGAAGGCTCAAGAGGTTGAGAAGAAGTGGCAAGCTACTGCTTGGGCCAAGAAGTTCGAGACCCAAAAGGTTCGCAGCCAACTCAACGACTTCGAGCGCTTTGCCGTCATGCGCCTCAAGAAGCAACGCCGTAACGAGGTCCGTGTCGCCCTTGCTAAGGCTTAAATGGAATGTGTGGTATCCGCGTGAATGTTGTGTACATTGGGGGAGAATTGTATGGAGCGGCAGTGGTCAATGATTTGCTTGTAGGGGAGTGATGTACGGGGGAAAGTTCTATAGTATGATCGTGCCGTTAGACAAGGCAGAGGGTTCACTCCTCCGCTCCTTTAACCAACCTCTTTTGCGGGAGCGTTTTTACAAGTGTTCTCAGCTAGTAAGGGGAGAAATGGAGTGTTTATCCAAAATTGCCTTCCGAAGGTCGGCGTTTCGGTCTCTTTGGCGGGCTGGAATTCGTGCAGCGCATTGGAAGGAATGGAATGCTTTCCGAGAATTACTTCGTAGTGGGTTCCGTTTGCCTGAACGGTTTTGGTCGGACGAATGGATAGCAAACACATTGCGTTTCCTTGAAACTGCCGGAACGAAAAAGCATTCCATTGAGCATCGCCTGCTCCGAAATATTTGTCGCATCGAGCACCATAAAAAGTTCAGACAACCTTACGCGAGTAATAGTCGGCGGATAGAGGAACGTCCACTCATATACCATGCGTACGACCAGTACGACAAGGTGGTATATCTTGTATCCCAACGGCACCACATATATTTGCAGCCAGCACAGTTGCCTCGATTTTGCGATAGCATAGACAGCAGCGACTAATTCATTCGTAAATTAACACCAAGACTTCGAGAAGTGTTCATATTCATTCCCGTGTGTGCTGGCCTGAGCAAATTCAACGATCATTTACTGCTTCCATCATGTTAGTATAGGAAGCGATTGTTTGCCCAAAACACTTTATCGTACAGGATCGCCTTGACTGGTTCAGCATCACGATATAGACCATGTTTCTCTATGTACTGAATAACAGAGTTTGGCAAGAGGTAGCGGATCGACATTCCACGTCGAATGAATAGTCGCACTTTCGTCGAAGAAATGTCGTTATATATAAGCTGTTTGATGACGAGAATGTTCCCCTACACAGAATAGTTAGCATATGAAGCAAGTATGAGTAGACGACGTATTAGCACGAGAACATACGCGATAAGCAAACAGAATGTCGTGAGCGAGCAAAAAGGCCCAAACATCAGTGCCTGTTCGCTCTACAATGACACAGCCGTAATTGCCTAAAATATGGTGAAGCTATTACCGCAAGTTAGTTTTGAATGGAGTGCTGCTAGTACGTACATCAGTATCCGCCCACAGGCCTGGTTCACCCATGCTTTCAATAAGATCACCACCGGCCAGGAGCATGATCTTGCACTTGCGTTGGGTGCCATCCTTTAACCGGATGCCACCAAGCTTTTCATTAATTTCCTCATTAAAATGATCAAGTACTCGGGCCGTACAAGTGTACGAGGTTTGTAAGCTTTCCCATGCATCAACCATCAACCAGCTGGAAGTACGTTCACAAGCCAACTCACACATACGGACGCGATGGAACGCAGGAGCAAGGCCCGGCTTCTTGTAATGATCGTTTACGCTGAAAGGTTAGCATATGAAACATGGAGTTAATGGCTGAGACTTACGGAGAAAAGTAGCCAGCAACGAGCTCCATATTTGTCTGCTCGTGAATTGTGTCTAAGGCCATCTCGAACATGCGGAGGTGCAAGTATGTGATAGGGGAGAAGGAACCACAAGCGACCAGAATGAGTGGTATCTTTGATTCGTCGGCCAGCGTCTGACGAAGTCGATGAGAAGGAAATACATAGTCGTTCAGCTGCTGAGCTTGCCGGACAACACCTCGGGGCACCTCCTCAAGATCTATAGCATCTTTAAACGTATCGGCCAGATATTGGCGTGTGATGCTGGGACCTGTATGGCTGCTTTGCTGCCATTTTCGGGTCACACTAGGACGGCGAAGACGTTGCTCAAGCTCTCGTTGGGCATGTTCACTCGACCAATCCTCATCGGGACTGTATTCGTCCATACTTTCAAAACCATTAATCGACTTCTTGTCGCTCGAGGCAGGTTTTTGACTCATAATAAAAAAATGTACGCAAATAAAAAATGAGAGAACGAAACAAACAACCTAAAACAGAAGATTTCCAGAAATCACAGCCACGAGGGACCCAAACGAGGGACGAAACTGTGTGTGTATATGTGTATGTGTGCGTGTGCACGTGTAAAAACAACGAAAGAGATTGACCAAAAAGAACGAAGGATTCTCGTGTGCGTCACAATTCGAACAACCGTCCAAAAACTGTCCGTGAAGATATTTGAATTCTTCAGAGGTTAACGAGCAACGAAGAAGAGCGGGAATACACGGTTAAAAAACAAATACGGGGAAAACGCGAATTCTGCACCAGACGTAATCCAACAAGAAACTGACTTTTTACGATGTTATTCTGCAGTGAAATGGGTTCCAAGCGAGTGGTTTTCCGTTAGTTTTTGGTAGGAAACCGGCAACGATAGTAACAATGTCCTAAATGCGGAGAGCGTAGACGACTCATCTCAATCGCGAAACCTAGAGTCGCTGCTACTAACTGCGGATGTCGCTATTAAAGGAGCAAAAAGATAGAGCTGTGTTTCGTTAAAGTATATAGTGAGGGATAGTGTGAAGTAGTGAGGGCGGGTAATGGTGAGCATTGAGGCGTTGCGATTCGGCAATCATCGCTATTCGATAATAAGGAAATAAAATGCAACTTACCGCATAATGAAAGGCTTTGTTAAAACATTCACTGATTTCTGTTACAGCTCTCTATCTGTGAATTGTGTGGTTTTGTGAACTCTAGTGAGTTTAATACTCCACCAAAAACCAAAAGTCAGGACCTGTGTTCTCTGTGCCCGAATGGAGCAGTTAGTTGGGAGGCAAGCAAAACGGTGGGAGGATGTAGTAGATGTAGAGGTAGATTGGAATCGTGTGTACTTGTACGGTTACGTAGACAAAGAAAGCAAGTCGACAACTAGCAGTAAGCAGATTGTTCTGCAATATGCAAGTCGAGACGGTGCTGCCGTGTCGAAGTTCATGGTCCGGTTCTTCAATTTGTCGAATTGGTTCCCGAGAGCACTAAAGCCCATACTCCCCGGGTCTCTCCTTCGAATCGTTGGTAAACCATTAGTCAAGACTTGTGAAGATCCGAATTTTCCCGAGGTGACGAATGAATTCATTTATGGGGCCGGTCAAGATTCACCGAAACCATCGTACATAGTGTACATGGATGATGTCTCTCGGGAATGGGCACTCGTGAAGCAACTTCAGGAACTATACAGGCTTCGTCTCTCGGAGGGCGGTTCTGAATTATACACCGGGGTATGTGCGCTTCATGAAAGCTTCCTAGTGACGATAGTATTAACCGATCACGATATAGCGGTTCATTTATACTCGTTGTGAATGCTTACGAGAACTTCCCAGTGGTAAGCAAGTTCACGTCCTCGGACGTCTTGTAAGCGGACTTGTACAACAAGGCTCTGTACTGTCAGCTTCCATTAGAGATAGCTCTCTCTCAAAACCGGATGTTGCTATTTTTCTTTCTATCCCTATTCCTACTAAGCTACGTCTCTCTCTTCAAGACATTAAACAAGGCCAAGCTGTCGCATTTCGATATGCGACTGTCGACCAACGTGAAAACAAAACCTATCTCATCTTTACCCAGCACTCTTCTCTTGTATTTCTATCTGCCAGAGGCACCGTCCTGCTGTGTTTTGGGGCTCCTTTTGTATTAGATAAAGAGGAAGCAGCCTATGTTCAGTCTTTGATCGCATTTTCAAATGACATAGACATAAACAAGTAATTTTTCTTTTTTTTAAAAAAAAAAAATTACCCAGTGTACTCATCCGTAATCCCGTTTTCTTATAAATGTTATCCTTTTTATTCTTTTTATTTTATTTTATTTAGTTTATTTTTTTTTGTGTGTACACGGGGCATGTAAACAAACCCGATGTTTGTAAATAAACGTGGAAACCGCAAACATCATCTACCAACCAAAACATCTCAGAAAACAATTGAAGAAAAATGAACGAGCAAACGTTTATTGCCATCAAGCCCGATGCTGTTCAACGTGGACTCATTGGTGCTATCATTTCAAGATTTGAAGTTAAAGGATATACGTTGAGAGCCATGAAACTTATTGTTCCCTCTCGTCAGTTGGCTGAAGAACATTACGCCGAACATAAGGGAAAACCCTTCTTTGAACCCCTCGTTTCTTTCTTGACTTCAGGTCCCGTTTGTGCAATGATCTGGGAAGGAAAAGAAGTCGTGAAAACTGGACGTGTCATGCTCGGTGCTACAAATCCTCTTGCCTCGGCTCCTGGCACTATTCGTGGTGATTACGGTGTCGATGTGGGTCGTAACGTTTGTCATGGCTCCGACTCTGTCGAAAGTGCCAAACGCGAAATTGCCCTTTGGTTTGAGCCATCCGAGGTTCTTTCTTTCGAACGCACTATGCAACCTTGGTTGTACGAGTAAAGGATTATCATGTAGTAGTATTCGCACTAGTTCCTTGTTTCAATGAAGATTAGCTGAATGAATTGAATTCATCTATGCACATATTCACTGCATACGAACGTAAAGGCATGGTGTTCATAATCCCCTTTGAAAGCGTAGACCTGTAGTGGAAGGCTTCGAGGGCTATGGGTTGACTAGGATGAATGAGAATGTGTGCAAGGTATGTCATGATGCACGGTGAATTGCAGTCTTCCGAAGTCGGAACAGCGCGGTCATTGTCATTAGCATTCGAAACGCTGGTTTTCAGGACGTCTGCTAGCGAATCAGTATGCACACAACTGAGAGCAGCATTAAATAAGTCCAAGACTCGTTTTGTAAGGATGTCTTTCAGAAATATAGAAACTCCTCCGCTCGAACATTCCCATGAGAGCAACAATAAAAAGTCATAAACCGTTTTCATAAACACCAGATGGCCGTACACATATTTGTTTGCTTTTTTCTGGTTCAAGGCGAGATACGCCTCTTTAAATCTGAGTGTGTAAGATTGTAGGGTATCTGACAGTTCCAAGGAGAAACTACCTGCACTAAGTTGTGAGGTATCTTGCACTGTCAGATCTGATTGCTTTTCTGTTTCTTGAATGGTCGTTAACTCATATAACGCTTGTTGATAACGTAAAACAAAGACCAGAAAGGAAGGCGCCTGACTTTCAGAACAAGATTCTGCAAAATATTTCTCAGACGTTTGCTTTAACAAAGATTTTGCTGCTTGCCTGTTGACTCTTTGCGAAGTTTTGATAATGTAAAGCAGTGGCGTTGGAAGAGCGTATCCAGCGTCTATCTTCGATATGTTGAGAAATGTCGATAGAGTTTCATAATATAATTTAGAAAAGAACTCTCCGAAGTGAAGAGAATTGCTCCTCCTTCCGATATGTATGTTGAATATACAATGAAGAAACTCGTCAACAGAAGTGCACCCGCTGATGAGACGCTTTGTGAGAAGTTCGACGAAGACAATGAGGTCAGTAACATCATGCTCCAATTTTAAAATATTGTACGCATGTTTCCTCACCAGCAACTCCATGCGTAGTAATTCGTTCTGAACGGTTTCATTCATCCAGACAGTCATGATTTGGAATATAAAAGGCGGAAGACGCTCAATGTCTGAAGGGGACGACGGCAGGAATCGGCAATGTTTAGTGCTTGCGACACGATTAAGAATGTGCAGTTCTCGGCCCCAGTTGCAAAAATTGGACAATATATGTTCCTGCATACTAGTTGACAAACCTTGAATTTGAAAGTAATCGAAGGGCGCAGGACGGAAAACGCCCTCCACGCAAGTAAAAATGTGGCCTTGGTAGCCCATTAACATATATATAATTTCGTAGAGCATAGACTGTTGAGAAAGCTGCAGTAATTGAGGCGTACCGCTACTTTCTTTCTCTAGGATCCTCTGTAGTAATGTCTCAGAGGCATGACTTACTGGGTCTTCGTATTGTTGGTAAGCATAATCCTCCGTGTGTTCCGAGACTTTGGCGTGTGGATAATACTGAGGGTCTTGAATATTCTCATTATCGGGAATAACTGGCGGTGTTTCCTCATAAAATGTGACGGATGTATCTGAATCAGAGGATTCCCAATTAGGAATATCCCAATGTTCCCCTTCAAATGGAGCGGAGAGATAAGTGTCATCCTGGTTTATGAGTTTCTCACTAGCAAGCTCGTCAGATATGTCTTCTTCTTGTTCTTCCTTTGGCCAAACAACATCTCTAGGATGTGCGCTTAAAGTCAGCAGCAAGTGCAACACATTAGCTATACCTAACTTCACTCTCCAGTTTGAAGACACTTGATCGAGCTCAGCCAAACGCGCATGAAGACAATTAGCAACATCCTCCCTTCCTAAAATACTCTGCTTTTCAGCAATTCTTCATTTCAGAAAAAGTGTTAACATAAAAAAACACAACATGAACGTTACCGAACTTACCCTTCTACAGAAGATATTACTTGATTATATGTTATTGATGGAGCATTTGTATTTTTAACATACTTTTTGTACAATAAGTAACGTTCCTTCTGTTTCAGCGAAGATTCATTTGAAAAAACTAGGGAAACCAATTGTTCAAGAATAAGATCAACTTCACTCATCAACAAAAATAAGTCAGAACATGTGTTATAAGGTCGTAGCTAAAATAGAAGTTCGATTCCAGATCACAAGGGTGGTACATGAAAAAGCAAATTTGCACCCGGTATGTAGACGAGGTTGATCATGTTTAACGTTCAGGAATTAATACTCACTGAAAACTCTTTTGAAATAACACTTCAAATGAATTTACTTGTAAGTTATATTACTCAACAAGCCAGATCAATACAGTCAAAAAAACTGCCGTACATCTTTAAGAAGCACATCCAAAATGGTCGATATAAATTTACTGTTCTTGACCCAGACGTACATAAGAATCGTGCACCCAAAAATCCCCATACATCTACTATTGTCATTAAACATACATTGATAAAACTTTGAACAAAGAGTCTAAACTTCCGTAAAAGATAGCCCGAAAAAACTGACGTTTAGGTTCCCAAAAGCACAACAATAAGTATAAGTGAACTGTCGTCGCGCTAGGATTATTAAATTCACAATCCAAAGAAATACCTTCATTAAACATGTGACAATGCACTCACAATTTTAATCGCTAACACGGACGGTCTGCACGAGCATTTATGATCGCAAACTGGAATTGAAGAAACAACATGCAAACGATAAGCCCGGCATTAAATGTACAAAACCAGCCCATATACAACGAATTAGAAACAAAAAAAAACTCGCGGTTGTTTTCACAAAGAGAGCCCACCCATACACATCACACACCGCATGTTCCACTGTTAGGACATAAGTGGAAAAGCAGCGGTAAATATAGACGCGTAGCGATCATGAAACAAAACGTCAAGCCCCTTTTAGCGCTCGTCGCCGTCAAGAACGTACACTTGTAGGAGAACGCGGAAAAACTCAATCATCGTTGTGAGTTCTAGGAGTGACGGGGCACAGACTTGCAACGATGCCATTGCAATGAACCTCAGCAAGAGAACTGTTCTTTGTCACGAGCTTAATTTCAGCATTTTGCATTTTGTCATCGATAACTTTGACTGCCGACTGTTTATACTTTCCTGCTTTCTTTTGTGGGGTCTTGTAAGTGTGACGATAAAATGCGAGAAACAAAAAGAGGTACGACGACAAAGTAAACACTCCCGCGAAGGCAGCCAGGGGATGACCGGCACAGTGACCCATGCAACCCTTTCTGATGCCGGCGCGGTGCATCAATTCAGTTGCGACGGCGAAGTAGATAAACACAAGATCAGTGAAGAACTGTGTAATCTGGAAACGCGTTACCCATTTCTTCCACCACACGCGGACTCCGCGAGAGGCTAGGTAGTAATAATAGTACATGACAACGTGCACCATCAGATTCAACTCAATGACCAGCCAGGAAATCGACGTTCTGCCCATGATTTGCGAATACACAAGCACAGCAGTGGCTCCATGATGGTAGCAATGCAAAAACTGTAACGGCTTTTTACGGAGAACGAGGAACACGGTATCGAAAAGCTCTAGATACTTTGAAATATATGCAAGGTAATAAAGGTAAAGCAGCGGTTGGGTCCAGGCTTGCTCATTGCAGATAGAAAAAAACAAACCGTGCTCACGAATAATGGGAGCAACTTGTTCAAAGATCAGCAGCGCAAGAAAGAGCGAACCCAAAGAGAAAACAAGATTGTAGTACTGAAAGACTTTGTTGAAGCGAATGGGGCTGTGAGACCGCATCAAACGCTGTCCGCCAAAAATTACCGTGTAATAACCGACAATAATGCTCGCCACGACAGGCCATGTCGACAAGTGTGTTTTGCCGACAATGAACTCGAAATTCGAAGGTCGCCGGCCGACAATTGAGTAGACAAAGTTGTCAAATAATGACCTGCGAAACGTTAGCACGGAAAGACGACGAAAGAGGGGGGCACGTTGTCCAGCACACAAAATAATGCGACCAAACTTGCTACAGACGTCTCGTTTGCGCAATTGCGCAAACGAGACGAGCCAATTCTGCTCGAATGCAACTCGCAGCATCGACAGCAGCACGAAACACCGCCCGTGTCTGTACTTACCACAAACTGACGGGAGCAGACATCGTTTGGTCAAGCAAAACCGTAGTGGTTGTGGTAGAGTTTGGATTTGTTTGTTTGGTGTAGTTAATTAAGGTTTGTGGGGGTACGAGCCTAGGTGTGAGGTGGGGGCCGCACAAGGAAGTGATGTAGGAGAAGCAGGATATCCAGGAAGCCCGAGTTCGACTCGAGCAGCAGCCAAATTAGGAGCGGAAATACACAAACGGAGCCTGCAGGAGGTGGAGAAATGGGCCTTCAGTAAAAAGCAGTAAATGTCAGAAATGGTAAAAACAGCTGACAATTGGCAGAGTCAAAGTTCCTCCTAGAGAGTAATGATGGTCAAATTCAATTCAATTCGATTGTTTCTCTGCTGGGTTCGTCTTTTTCCTCCAGTTCTATATCTTCGTCTAATACTACCAACCTCTCGTTCCGACGAATGAGCGACCTTTTAGTGACTGTGAGCGAGGGTGCGAAACAATAACCACAAGAAGTGAACCGCTGTAGGAGTGGTGGCAGGAGCTTAGCGGTCAGGCAAATTTTTGGCTTCTCACTGTATCACGTTGTAGCAAAGGAAACCCTGTCTCGTTGGTCGAAGTGGTGTTATATATACGCGAACGGAACGGGGGAGCGCACGGACGTAGACTGATCGCGGATCCCACGAGGGGAGATCGCATCATCGTGACGGCATGTAGACTCACACGAGCGAGCAAGCGAGCCCTACACGCCGACTTGGCACGGCACATGGAGAAGCCAATTTAGCAGACGAAGGCACCACTGGCAATGGGAATCGCGACAAAAAAGTTGCGAGACCAATCTAGTCCATGGAAAACACAGCACAGGTGCTTTTTCGCGTCAAGATGGTCGTGAACAGTTCGGAACAGTGAAATACGGCTGCTGTTATTTGCAGCCCCGCCGTGGTTCTGAATCTGGTATCCATTTGACGACGTCATTCCTGCGGCCACCATCCATAAGCCTTAAACGCGAAGACGACGCGTGTAGCTACCAGTCGACGCGAAGTTTTGGTCGCGACAAAGAACCCTGTGGCCGATGCGAACGGAAACCAGGGCATCAGAGGGACACGGTTATTCGTTCGAGACATCCAGCCTGTCGCGCGCACGGTGTCCTGAAGACAAAAAATAAGAAACAGACAGAACCGCCCAGTAAGGACTGCCCTAACCTACCAGCTCCGTTAATTGCTGGAATAAGTTCCGACATGATGTCACCCATTGATCGGTAGATGAATAAATAGAGTTTCGCATGCCTGGTATCTGCCGTGATGACGTTGATCCGAGGGTCGGCAGGGTGTTTGGGTGGGGGCGAAACGCGGTGCACCCTGGGAGTCTGCAACAAACGCCGATCACAGGATAAGCAGTGATGAGGGGACGGGGTAGCACCACCGTTGTCAGTTGGTCAATATTGCTTGCAATACACAACAGGCACGAGAGGTGGTGAAGGGCGAGGCACTCCTCCTCCCTGTTGAGCCTCATTCCCCCTCCCCCCACTTCATCACTTGATGGATATACATGCTCAGTCTTGAGGGGGCCGCAGGTGTCGGAGAGATGGTTGGCCGTTCTTTCGTAAGAAGTCTTCTTCTTCTTTGTCGAAGTTTTTGTCAGACGGCATGAGAACCTATGGTAGAGAAATAGTTAGTACACATCCCTGGTCGGTAAATGAGGGGAAAGTGGAGAAGAGGACAACGTACAGCTTTGTCGAGTTGGTTTGGGAGACCTAGTTTAAGTGGGTAAGTTAGCCAGGGTGCTATAACGAAGATTGGGGATGTGTATGTGCGGTACAATTCTACACGCAAATGGCTGCAGGAGTAGTGCTTTTTCCCCCGAATAGGCGTACCTCTGTGGCGACCTCTAATCTGTTGAACGGTTAGTAACGTAACAAGTTTGTGTTTCGGGCAACAGTGCTCTTTTACTCACCTCTAAAGCAATCATAACAAGCTTGCTCAGTATTTTGAATTCAGCTGAAAGGGAAGGTGCATTTGGATAACCTGTTGTTTGCACACGTATTCGTTAGTTTCCTTCTTTCGGGTTGCTTTTCGTAGTATATACCTAGTGATAGCCCGACAGTACCGTAGCCAGAAACGACTTCAAATAGAACAGCAAAGAGGTTGAAACTCTGAAACGGCGATGGCCGTGATTAGTACTGTGCGCTTTCTCGGCTCCAACGTACCGGTTCTTCTGCTCGTTCTAGTCGGCCACCTTCAACGATGCAGATAATGAAAAAACCTAGGAATAAATACCATAAATCATGACTCAATTGACGGCGAACATGCGTGAGAAGAAAACTTCTGTGATGATTTTGTGATCCGTCACCATTCTCATTCGTGCTTTCCGGCGGAGTATATATACCCAGCGACCGTTCCTTCGGTATCAGTATTATTAATTGCATTAAGCATGATTGGCTTAGTATTGCGTACCTCATACACGTTCGTTCTGTATATCGTTAGCTAAAGCGTGTCAGAGGTAATTGTTAGACGCGGCTATAGTATAGCTTACCTTCGGATACTAAGTGCGACCTATAAACAGAAGCAATGTGTTAACTTTTGCAATTTAATCAGGGAGTGTGAATCACTCGACAATAAATTTCTTGCATACCGGCTGTTTTCTTAGTTAGTAATTTTGTCGTAAACAATTCTCGACTTTTTTAGCCGACATACATAGGCTGAAATGTACATCATGAACATGTACACCGTTATCACGGCAGGCGCGATAAGAGCCACATCAACAACTGTAAAGCCGCCAGATCGTGTACAAGCATTTTGAAATATAGAATTTACGATTCTATAACCGACGGGTATTGTTCTCACATACGCATTATTCACCTGCGTTAATGGTCAGCATACTCCCATAGTGAACCTTAAGTTTACATTTAGCAGTAGAAAAAGTGCAAAAGTAATGGCATTTAGCCACTGATTTCTGTTAGAGAACTGGATAGCATTCTTGGGCAATAATTGAACTTACGAAAATCTGCCAAAATAGTACACGTGTTGTCTGTGTGTTAGTGTGAAACCATTGAGTTCTCATCCTTGATCCGTACATCTGGAGGAAATAATAAAGTGAAACTTCTTCGTGGATGCCTTTAAACGAGGTGAGCAATTTGAGGTTTAGATATTTTCTTACTCGAGTAAGAAGGTTAAGCTCTATATAGCATTAATACTGTGACACGTTCGGCTTCTGTCATTCTATACATACCTGAACGTATTGGGAGTTTTTTGGCAAAAGCCGACGGGATACCCAAATACACATTCTATTAGCCATTAGACATGAGGCACTTATTTTCTCGATTACCTTAATAATACAGGAAAAAGATTATTCCTGTCGTGTTAATTATAGAAAACTCCGAGAAACAGCATACCCAGCAAACAGCAAAGCTGTTCCAAGCAGTTGGGGGAAAATCGCCTTCTGGAACGAATTCAGAGAATCGTCCGTAAGCTTTGCATTAGCTTGCCGTACATTAATTGAGTACATACGGTATATCCTAGAATGATTAGTATATGATTTGTATATTCAAGCAGAACATACCAACATTGTGAAACATTGAGGATGAGGTAAAGAACGCCCTAGATGATTAGAAACAGTTCAAAACAAAACACGTACCACCAGCCATGATTGATACGCCGGTCTGTTAGCAATCGATATGAAACCTTTGCTACGTATATAAAAACTAAAAGGGACACAAAACCAAAAATGTAAAAGAAAGCTAAATACGCTGTCGTGTGTTGGTAAGCAGATCAAGAAGAAGCAATTGACGGCATACCGACAAGAATTACTACCAAAGATTGTAGCGCCCGGTATTCCATTCCCGCGAGCTCCTCGCGTTCCTCGGGACTCAATGCGTAGAATGCCTAAATTGAAGGTTAACCAGTATACACTAATAGCAATTGCCTTACCGAATTGCGTCCGATGGTAGGAGTGTACGAGAGATAGGGAAGCGATTCTCGCACTGTCTCGTCTGATCGCACTCGGTTTCGATTTCGCGGCTGAAAGCGCCTTGACACAGCGCTCGTAAATGACCGTGTAAATCTCGCCGGGAGACTAGCCAGACTAAGTTTTCTTCTTCTATGGTTTTGAATTGCGTAGTCCCTCCGTATAGAGGGCGATTCTCTTGATTTTTCGGTATCTAATTGTTAGCGAATGGAGACACTATAGGGCTCAGCTTATACCTTCAGAAGCCGTCCGTTGCCGAGTTTCGCCCCCAAAAGTAATTGTTCTTTCCGGTTCTGGATTAGATACTACGGTAGTAAGAGACGGATTTCGCGAGCCATCATATCGTGAACCATATGGTGAGCTTGAAGTGCCCAAATCAGCTTCATAATCGTGAGTAACGGGTCTGTTCATTTCCCATTGCCTCTCCTCTTCATCACGAAAGTTTTGAGGAGCCACAGAACGATGGAATTGATTCCCTTGTTCCAATAAGACTCGGATTTTTCGTTTCCCCACAGACTTATTTTGAGTTGCCGGTTCTGTAATTGTATTTTTAGTGTAGGTCATGTGCAACCTATTATTTAGCATAACTGCATCGTATCTTTTGTGGTAAAAGAATAATTTAAAACAAGAGAGGCCAAGATTAACTGCGATTACATTTGTAAATGCAGAGAAAATAAACAAGGTAACCTAATTGATGAGTCAAAATGCACATAATTCACAAGCTCATGCAAAATATTCAAAAAACAAGACATACTTGTTGATAGGTCGACAATGAACTGAGATTTACAGGTGCAATCCCACTCTGAGTGCATGCGCCTGAAACCAACATTAAGGCATCAATATAACGAAGGTGTCCAGAACAATAAAGAATGACAGATCCAAGAATTATATTTCCTACAATGAATGCATCTATAATATTAGCTTTCTGTTCACACCTTTTCCTAGTGCGTACAATGAAGTTCTAAAAAGCTGGTTCTTGAGCGAAGGTATCGCCATATATTTCTAAAACTTAATTTATCCGTCAAAAGACGACGTAAGTTCTTTTTCATGGCATTCCCTTAGTCCAATTGCTTTCAATTGCAGATTTCAGAATTGTCTGTGCTATATGCACGCCTTGCGACAATACCAGCACACCTAAATAAGCTTAAACTTGAACCCTCGACAAAAACTCACCACCAAAAAATCTTCCCCACGTTAACATCACGAACGTGGATGCAGCAAAAGAGCAAAACGGAAGCGACGATAAAATTTCCCTTAACTGCGTATCTAAACGTACCTCAAAGGACTGCATTTTTAGTAAGAGGAAATATAAATTCAGATGCAGTTTGACTCCACTGAGGTTGAATTAAATGGTCACGATGCATCTTACTTTAAGAACTTACTAAACAGAATATTTTCAAATGATTCGGGTATGTAATGTTATTAAAATTCGCTGATACTTACTAACAATTTCAGATTTCAAAGAGAAATTTGACTGCATACTGCAGTTTCAAGATAATATCGAAGGGATATTCAGTCATTATGCCCAACCCCTTCATACACAAATAATAGAAGGCTTCACTCATTTATTAGAGATTACAAAACCATCCTTTGATTTGGATTCTTGGGAAAACAAAATTCGGACACATTCACTCCAGGTATTGCACAACTTCTCAAATCGCAGTGCTTTCGGTCCCTATGCAAAGGATTTCGTTCTGCAGTTAATGCGACTCATTCGGACAGATAATGATGAGGTCTCTATTTTGGCATTAAAAATAATGATGGATTTGCTGAAAGGTTTCAAGCAAATCCTTGAACCTTGCGCACAACCGCTTTTGGATATGCTTACAGAGATTTTACAAAATGTCGCAACTAAACACGGAAAGTTCCAGACCTCTGAGAGCAAGCCCTTGTCAACCGAGCTGCTCCTTAATCCTAATCAACCTCCTTTTTCCAATAATCCCCCCCACACAGTCTCCAATGTAGACACTACCCTAAAAACATTACAGATTGGAATCTGCAGCTACAAAGTTGTGGCTGAATGTCCCGTAATCAGTGTTCTATTATTTCAATCTTACCCAGCTCTTGTTCCTCATAATATCCAACGACTGGTTTCGTTGGCACTGAGGTTGTTATGCATCCCATACACAGAGTATCGCAATCATGACACTACGGGCATTGTCACAACTGAATCTGGCCCATCAACCGAGTCTTCCAATAATTCCACTGGAAAGCATCTTCTTCTTGCTCAGGTCAAATTGCTGTCATTTCTTGCTTATGTGGTTCGCAGCTATCCGGGCATCATTTTACAACGGGAAATTATTCCTGAAGCAGTCATAAAACTTTTTAAAAATTGCGGACCAGATCAATGCGTGTTGCGAAAAGAGTTGCTGGTTGCAACCCGTCATCTAATATCAACGGATCTTCATTTGCTCTTTGTTAGCAAGATTGATGCTCTCTTAGACGTAAAACTTTTACTTGGAGAGAGTGTTGCATCATATGGTCTCCTTCGACCTCTTGCATATAGCTTGATGGCCGACCTGTTCCATCATTTACGCGAACATTTGACAAAGCGACAAGTTTTTGACATTGTAAAAATCTTTTCGCGTAACCTTCGGGACTCTTCAATTTCGTATGGAATCCAGACAATGAGCGCTCGACTTATTCTCAATATGATTGACCGAATTATAGGGTTCCCGGAGATTTCAGAAGCTACTTCGCTTTTGTTAACTATATTTAATAGCTTTGCGCTGAAGTTTGCGGAGATGAATCTTGCTCTTGAGAATTCGCTTCTTGATGAAAACAAACAGGCCAACGACGAAAGTTTGTTTAAGCTATTAAATCCTGTAAATATGGAGAACAAAAAACCACAAGTGAAAGAAGGTACATTCTTATTCCGAAATCTGACGTTAGGCTTGAAAACTGTGATGTATGGACTCCGAGCGTGTGAAAGCAAACGCATAGAGAATTTTGATGATATTTCTCTTGTGCTGAATAGACCTACACTGCTTGTTGAGGTTGGCGTTTTTCGGCGTCTTTTAATTGAAGTTAGCAAGGGTTTTGCTTTTTTCAATCCTTCTGTTATGAGTTATGTTCCCAAAAACGTCGAAGGCGAGTGCTTACCTGAACAAATTGGTCCGCTAACCACACCGAAAACGAAGGACGAAAAGGAATGTTACGAGGCGTTCGCGGCTGTTCTCATTCAATTGGAGCCTTCCGTATTCATTGAAATGTTTGAAGCAGAACTTCCTACATTCATTGATCTCATGGAGCAAAATCTTACTTTGTTCCATATTCCACAATTTCTTCTCTCCAACGAATCGACATCTTCCCGATTCCTCAGTATTCTCTTGCGGTATCTTGTTGACCGAATTGGAGAACTCGGTCTTACCAACACTAGACGAACAGCGATCATATTACGATTGTTTCGGCTAGTTTTGTTACGGTATCACTCTTCGCTCACAAGAATGAGACCGTACTTAGACCTTACGTATCAGAAATCATCGTAAAATGCATGAGATTGGCTCCTGATTCGAATAATCCACTTAACTACTACTTACTTTTACGTGCTTTATTTCGGGGCATTGGAGGTGGAAGATTTGAAACTCTGTACAAAGAAGTGTTGCCTCTTTTACATGCTTTGCTTGAGGCGTTTACAACTTTGTTATTTTCAGCGCGGAATGCACGCGAACATGACCTTTTCACCGAGCTTTGCTTAACTGTTCCTGTTCGGTTAAGCCTATTGTTACCGTATATGAGCTATCTTATTAAGCCACTTTCATATGCATTGAAAGGAACTCCGGAGCTTGTCAATTTAGGCTTAAGAACCTTTGAGCTTTGTCTTGACAACCTCACACCCGAGTTTTTGGACCCTATACTTGCGCCAGTCATAGACGAATTGATGGATGCGTTGTATACACACCTTCAACCATTTTCTCCGGTTCGTCATCATAGTCATACTGCTGTAAAGATACTGGGCAAACTTGGCGGACGTAATCGAAAATATTTGAAGTATTCAAAGGAACTTCCGGAGCAGGAAAATATTGTAAAAAACACCGCAATTATGGTACATCTTAAGGGCTCAGAGTATCCTCAATTCATTGGTTTTATGTCGTTGGTAAAACCGTTATCTGAGACTCTCTCATCCCCTTCATCAAGTGATGAACAAAAAACAAACGCTTTCTCTTTCTTCAAAGCTCTTACAAATATGCTATTTTCAGAAATAGAAATGCCCGATAATATTGCGGCCCAGTTGACGCATGCAAGCAATGTTCTAGTACAGAAGGATTTTAAATTCCGTCGTCCTTTTTCCAACCATCCAACGCGATTTAATAACTGTGAAGTATCGGGAAGTCTTGCTACAGAAAGAATAGAGGATGTTTTTTCTCGAATTATTAAGGCATTGTTTGCAGCAACGATGTCAGAAAGCTTAAAAACGGAAGCGCTTGAAATACTAAAAACCATTTATCGTTTAGGTGTATATTTGAATATTCTTCAAGCGGCGCAGGCTTGCACCTTGAATTCAATTAACAGTGAATCCAAATGTTTCAATATTTTGGATCCCTATCTTCTTGTGCATTGCCTTGTTGAATCTTTATGCCATAATACAGCAGTAATATATCCTTCTGTGAAAGATATATTCTTCTGTATCGACGATGCGGCATCTTCAATATTTGAGAAGAAAGAGGATGCCACACGGCTTCCGATTACTGCCATTTTATTCAGTGAACTTCGTCACAAGTGCTACGACATTTTATGGTATCGAAAATACGCTGGATGTTGTGGCTTATCCATTCTCATTGAAAAAGAAGACGTGTCTATTGAATGGCTATACGATCGTCAGATTGAATTACTCACGTCACTATACTATGTTCTCAAGGATACTACCTCGGAAATACCTTCTGTTTGCAAACATAAAGTAAACGAGGTGCTGGAGCATTTAATTAAAAGGATTTATTCTGATAAAACCAAATTTGAGCTTAATTCCGCATTTGTTGCACATTTAGTAATGGAGTTGTCAAACTACAATTCTGTGGTAAGGAACGCTTCACAAAATCTCTTGTCTTTATTAGCACAATTGAGATCTACAACTGTGACGGACCTCATCTTTCCATTTCGAGAACGCTTGTTGGCGCCCATATTTGCCAAACCCTTGCGTGCACTTCCCTTTCATACTCAGATTGGTTACATTGATGCCGTTAGATATTGTTTATCTTTGGAAAATTCATTTATTACCTTTACTGAGGAATTGAAAAGACTGATTCATGAAGCTCTAGCACTTACTGATGCAGACGATGGCGCACTCATCGGGGTCAATAAAACTACACAGTTTAAGAATGCTGCCTTACTTGTGCGCTTACCGCGTTGTTTGTATTGGGTTGCTTAGCGCTGTCATTCCTTTGCTTCACCTTGATAACCCAACAACACGTTCAGCTAAAAAACAGATTCACAGCCGTTTTCTTTAAATCGTTATACTGCAAGTCAACAGAAGTTGTTGACATGGCTTATAAAGGACTGAAAATTATTCTAGAACAAGATCCAAAATTGCCAAAAGAGATTTTACAGAATGGTTTGCGTCCAAATACTCATGAATATATCTGATACAAAGAGACTAATGGTTGCTGGCTTAGAAGGACTTGAACGTCTACTAACTCTGTTAAACAACTATTTCAAGGTTGAAATCGGAAGAAAGCTTCTGGAACACCTTAAGGTTTTAAGTTCTCCGAGTGCTTTGCGTGTTTATTCAAATATGCCTTTGGAGGATCATACTCAAATGCGTATGATTAAGACCCTCATAAATATTTTCCACTTATTGCCTTCGGAGGCAAATCAGTTTTTGGAAGAACTGGTAATGTGCGTGCTAGATCTTCAGCTTCATCTAAACAGAACAAACGATGATTTTTTTGGCGAACCTATATTAAGATTCTTAAGTCGGTTCCCTTCAGAGTCGTGGAGTTTTTTTGCTTCTCGCATTGACGACACTTCATCTTGTACATTATTTATAAACCTTCTCAACCTGCCTAACGGAGAAGTTTTGCGTCAGCTTGCTAAAGAACGTTGGTCTGCTGTC